TGCTGTCGTCATATTTCCAGCAGGGTGATGTGCCTGGATAAACGCAGATGAGGATGAGGAGCTCGAACTAGAAGAGGGAGCGAAGCTTGTTGATGGGTGCAGATGATTGCCCACCTGGTTGTTCTGGCTTAGCTGCTGTGCTCCTACTTGAACATTGGCCATTGCCCCTCCTGCACCTTTCAGAATGTTGCCTGCCTTCATTTGCTGCTGTAGGGCAATCAAGTTTCCTGGTGGGATACTGGACGCGGGCAGAAGGCCCGGGTGACTGATTACGCCTCTCCCGGCGGCGGGTGCAAGCAAGCTGTGTCCCATCTTGCCAACGAGGCCACCTTTCCCCGATACCCCCGGCGGAGCCCCTAGCGGATATTTGCCCGCAGTACGGGTAGTAATTCCATTCCCGGAAGGCGCCGCTGCGAAGACGTGCAGTCCGTTTTGTATGCCACCAGAAGTAGTACCTGGGGGAGCTACCTCTAGCTGGGTCGTGAGACCTTTTCCATTTGCAGTCGAGGATTGAAAAGCAGGCGGCTGACTCGATGCGCCGTCCGATGCTGGAGGTCCGCGAAAAGATCTCATCGCTTTCTCCAGATCTGAAAGTGGTCGAGTAATTGTTGATGATGCTTCACCAGCTTGCGCGTCTGCGTGGTCGTCTAGCTGCAACGCGGCACCAATAACATCACTACTAGTTGTAGCAGTACTTCCAGTCGCTGCACCACCGGCTCCTCCGTCTGCTGGCGGTAAGCCCGCCGCTCCACCGGAGCGTCTTGAGTCATATTGAGGATTCTTCTTCTTGCGTTGCACCCATTGTGCCCTATAGGTCGCTTCCTGCTTATTGACACGATCCGCAGTCAGTTTCACACATTCGGCTCTGTCTCGTTTCGATAAGGCTGCGGGCAGCCTGAATATGGAGTCCAAAACGTCAGCAAGGTCAGTATTGTTGTGCGAAGTCTGGCGTCCTTCTGCGTGACCCCCTGTGGGCGGAGTTGAAGATGATTCACCTGAGGCTCCGGAGCCCACCTGGTTTGCGTAATTCGTTACTACCCCATGCAACGTGAGGACAGAACTTGAGGAAGCAGCTGAGTTTGCCCTCAGTCCCGCGCCAGCCGAGTCCTGTTGCTCTGGGGGTAAAGGCTCTGGTTTAAACATCAAGAGGTGCCAACCCGGAGCGCGCTTCAGCGCTTCTGGCAGCGTCTGTTCCTCTGGCTCCTTATCCAAAGGCACTCCAAACGCGCGCTCCACCTCAACACGCTGGAGCTTACGGCGCGCGTTCCCCGACGCTCTCTTGCTGGCATCAGCATCAAGAGTAGAGGAGGCGGAAGCAGCGTAAAAATTGTTGTTCATCGTGACGGCGACGTTATTTTTTTGCTCAGAGGACGAATAGACTTTTCTTCCATGAAAAGTCATCTCCTCGTCGCCTACTCTCACGTCTTCCAATTCTACAACTTTCGCGCGATTCGGTAAGGCTCGGCGATTTAAGTCTGTTATCCGAGTCAGTGGCACCTCCTCCGGGCTTTCACCACGTTCTAGTGCCAAAGAGGACAGGACAGACGAGGGCCTCTTCTTGGTGGACGTGGCTGTTCCAGCAAGGGAACTGGATGAACTGGATGACTGTTGTAGAGATGAGCGACATCGAAAATGGTTGAAAAAATTGCGTCCGGCATCATCCTCTTCCATGGACGAAAGAAGAGGCGTTTCCTCTGTTCTAGCCTGCACGAAATGGATCTGTCGCGAGAGGAGTGTAAACATTTGGTCCACGGGTTTGTCGAAGTTCTTGTCTCTCGGCCACTGGTCGAGCAGGAGGTGGTCGTCGTAATTCAGGATTTCCAGGAGATCCAGGGCCAGAGGCGCATCCAGAAGTATGCTGTACTCCGGTAGGAACAGGTACTGCAGATAGCGCAGAAATGCGCGAAACTGCGGATCATCGATGTGCTCGCGAAGCGTCAATGCAAGAAAATCTTGATTCAGCAGCCAACGAGCAAAGTTCATTTCCCAATGGAGTCGTTCGGAGTCGTTAAACGTGGCCGCCAGTTCTACTTGCGTGCCACTTACAGCATCCGCCGTCTGCATATGCGATTGAGCGTCTGGGTCTGCTAGGTGTTCCACATCCATCGTGTGCTCACCCTCACTGTTGATCACCCTGTTTGGTCGTGGATCGGAAGTGTACAATTTTGCTTGTCGGAAAACACTGTTACGTTTTGAAAGCGAAGCATCGAGCAGAACATCCGTGGAGTCGCGGACCTGCGCTGCGTGCTTCCGAAGTAACCGTTGTTGCTTCTCTTGCACGCGCGTAATCGCTTGCAACCTTTCTGCTTGCGCTTCGAAAAACGAAACCGACTCTAGTCGTTCACTCGGCAGGCGCTGCAACGTTTGTTTCCATTCCGTCGCCAGCGTTCTGAGTCGTAGTGCATCAGCGCGCTGAGCCGGTGTCAACTCCCGCTTGCCCTTTCCCGTCATGCCGGCTAGATTTCGCACGAGCACATCCACAAACTCCCGCACCTGCGTCTCCAACATAGAAATGACGGAACAAGCTGGTGGAGACTTTGCTGGTCCAGAGGTTTGACCAGCAGCTTGAGGTTGAGGAGGAGGGCGAAATAATGGGTCGACCATGTAACTCGCGGCGCTCTGCGACGTACCTGACGACTCTAAACCTCGTGCGGTGACGAATTCTCGTGATTCTTCGCAAGCGTGGTACTCTTTTTTATCATCATCTTCTTCAACCGTGCCCTTGTCCGATGTACCATCCGCTTGCTCATTAGCGTCTTCTGCAATTGGCATCAATTTCTGAATACCAGCAGATTGAAATCCAGAAGTACTGGCTCCTCCTTTATCTTTATGATGTCCTCCCCGTCTATTTTTGTTCTTAAAAATGTGTCCAAAAGTACCCTCAAAATCTACGTACAGTAACTCGGCCAAATCGAATTCTTCAGTGGCTGGATTAACAGAGGATGCTGCGATACTAGACGACGCTGCCTCATCTCTTGACCGAGATGTGGTTTTTTCAAGCGTTGTCGTTGATGTGCTTTTCACAGTAGCACTTGTTCGACCTCCAGGTGTCTTGTCTGCTCTCCCCACGCCTGCTGAATAGAGGTTTGCGGCTGCGCACGCATTCAACTCATTAGCCAGCGCTTCTGTTGTTCGATCAATGCCGAGCTTTTGCAGCAGAGGAGTTAAAGGGCATGGAGTCTTTTTCTCATCTTCTGGTGTAAGGAGGTGCAACTGTCGGCACAACCACGGGATGCATTGTTCAACCTGCGCGAACTCCTCGAGCGTTTGCAGAACGCTGTCAGCTTTAGAGTGAATGCACAACTCCAATTCTTGTAGCAGCAAAGCGCGGCCTTCGATCTCGCGCCCCCGCCCTTGTAACAAATGGAAGATGAGCCGCGTGCAGACCTCAAGACGATCGAACAACGCAGCTCCGCACCTGTGGTTAACGTGCAGCTCGTGGTCACGTTGATGTTGTAATTGTATAGTTGTCATCTATCGAAAAAAGTGTAATGTAGCTATGCGTACAGCCAATGCTGAAGTTCTATCTTCCTCAACAACATGAACGGTAAAAAAATTGGAATGATTTCGATGCTTTCTCAACAGACGACAGCTAGTTCAACGAATACAATAAACAGGAACCTCCAGCGACTGCAAAAAAGCAACATGAACGCAACGCTCTCACGATATGCACATCCATGGAGCGCAGCACTAATATCAGCAGCAACTATATGATATATGTTAGCATGTTATTACCGTGGCTCCACCGGTAGCGTTTCAAGAATCATGGGAACGATTTCCTCCTCTAGTTCCCAGAGGAGCTGGCCAAGGGTCTTTTTCAACGGACAATTTAGTTGGAACTCCGCAGAATAGGCTCCCCCGAGCTCCTCTGCAGTTACAACTTTTCGTCGAAGGTGTAGGGCGCGGTCCTGAGCACTAGCGGCATCTCCCGATGTAGTTTTCTGCTCGTCGGCATCTCCTCCACGATTCTCTGCGGGTGCCTGTGAGGCCCATTCGATAATGGGTGAAGCGGGTGGTCGAGAATATGGCGAAGCGTAGTCGCTGCAGAGGTGGTACCACGGTGGCAGCAAAGGCGGCAGCTCGCCACCGGCGACCTGCTGCAAGCGACCTTTGGCCGTATTTGTAGAGGACGACGTCATTATCAACTACACAAGGACTCCTCTAGTGGTGTTACCTATACCGCAAGAACTGCTTCCTCCAGAAATCGTGGTCGTGCCAGCGCCAGATGACGAGCCAGGCGCTTCGCGTGCCTCCATAAACACATTACATATTTAAAGACCTCACTTTCTCATATCAATCATGTTGATGTTCATCATGGCTATGGCAGGTTGAGGCTGCCGGTTGTACTTAACCTCAAGATGATCGATCCAATAAAACTTCACTGCACAAACGATTACTCCTCCTGTTCACGTTGATGCACCAATCTCTTATTTCTATTTCTTATTTAATATCATTGCTAGTTTTACCACCTCAGCCTACACAAAGAGCTGTACTAGCAATGTCATAATTTCGAAGTCGTGTATCATTCAGATTGAGGTTGTAGTGAGTCTTTCTGGGAGGTGCTGGTTCTGGTTCAATGTAGGCAAAGTCCTTATTATTTCTTCATCAAAATTCTGCTCCACCTCCATCGTGTAGTGCTTGAGCAGAACAAAATTCTAGTTTCATTTTTGGAACGCAGGATCCCGCCAGGTACGTATCACCGACCATCATGAAAAGAGCACCATCATAAGACTATCATCTCAGAAGTCCATCGTTTTTCGTTTCGAAAATTAAATGATGTCTTTGCTGTCTTTGTTAAAAACTTATTAGACGACGTCGTGATAGTGATTGTTAAATATTGTTCATACTTTCCATGGCCCTGCACGCCTCAACTGTCGTAACGCTAACGTTCATGATTTTCATTTTCCGTAAATTCTGCATACTTACTTAATTGCGAACACAGAAGGTAGCACAAATAATGTCCTCGTAAACGACACCACAGTATCGATGTCGCGGACAGCGGCGTCATTCCAGAGCAGCGTTGAGTCGCTCTTGCGGCTAATCATTATCTTCATGCGCCAAGGTGCGCTTGGGAAAAATTTAATTGTTCTAAAAAAATGTGAAGATCTTTCGCTTTGAGACCACTTCGGAAAAAAAGCTACGACCCACCCAGTACTGCTTCGTCACCGGCGGGCTCCGCCTGCACAAAGCAATGCTCTTCAAAATAAGCAGGAGTTGACGAAGAGGAGCCACTACAGCTGTTGTCGCAAGTGTAAAAAAGAACGGTTCCAAACTCATGGTGGGACTTTGAGAGGAAAATCAAGGAGGGCATTAGCTGAAAATCGAATGACCGCGGTCCACCGCAATGTGAGCAAGGGGGTACTGAGCCCGGTCTCGTCTTCTCCTTCTCGTTTTCGTGATACCACAGGATCATGTTTTCTCTGCTGCCAAAAGCTTTGCAGGAGGACGACGAAGGTGCTGCAGGTGTAGTGGGCGAGGTGAAGGAAGGCGTCAATGCTTGTGATTTACTATAATATTCAAGATTTTTAGCTTGATCTAGTACATCTTCAGTCTGAACTTGTACAAAAGGCTGCGCCTGCTCTTGTTCTTGCTCTTGCTCTTGCTCTTTTTTGTCTAGAGAACCTGATGCTGGCGGGGAAGAGCAATGATCTGCACTTTCGCGACTCCCCGGACCATGACTTGTCGTCGTGCCGTCGTCATCGCCTCCACCTGCATTGTTTTCCTCGTCCTCGTCGTCAGATGAAGAATCAACTGACGTTGAACCTTCATCGTCATCGTCGTCGTTCATGACAACCCGTATTATGCAGCGTGGCCGCCGCCGCGCTTCTTTTTGGAATGTGTTGAAGGCCCTGTCGCGGTCGCGGCCGTACTTCTTCTTCCACTCTTCAAAAAACGCCATCTCAGAAGCATCCATATCCTCGTCATCTCCTGGTGCAGATGTCCCCTGTACTTGAGCTTCGCGAGGAGATGCTGCGGGAGCTGGTGAAGATGGATCAGAATCGCCCTCATCTTCTGGCGTCGATGATGGTGTAGAAGTTGTACTAGTCACTGAACCAGCACTGCCAGGAGATGTTGTCGTCGCCGAAGTACAGAATTCTGGGGAACTAAGCTGATACCCCGGGGGTGCTTCTGATACAACTTTCTTCACAGGAATAGGCGAAGGAGGTGGATCATTCGGAGTACTGCCTCGTCTGCTAGTCGTCGTGCTGGTGGAAACACTACAAGTGGCGGCACTACCGCTAGCTCCTATTGTTCCCTTTCCCGCCGTGGTTTTGTCTTTTTCACAAGTAGTAGCCTGCTCAGTGTTGCTGGGTGAAAAGGAGGTCGTCTTGGAGGTCGTGTCTAATCCGGCGTCTTGTTGATTTCGTCCTTCGACATGAGCGCGAAGACGCGCATCCGAGCCAGCAGGTGCACTCGGAGACGATGCGACCAGGACCTGTGGCTTTTTCTTTGCTGTGCCAGCAATTGCCGCAGCCCGTGCCGCATTCCTAGCCGCAACACTCTTGCAGCTTCCTGATGCAGCTGGCTTGTTCCCTCCTGCTGCTCCCGACCCAGACCACGAGTCGGTGGATGCCATTGTGGCACTAACTGTGGTTGCAGCTGCCGAAGTCGAAGAGATAGCACGTGTCTCAGGAGAAAATGATAATGATTCCCCGTTTGCTGTTTGTTGCAGTCTTGAAACGATCATATTCTTGGCGGACGCAGCTGCATCTACAGAAGATGTCGTGTTTCGTAGGTACTCTTTGTAAAGCTCTTTGTCTCGCCGATCTTGCAAAATCGAGGCAAAATCCATCTCTTCGTCCGAACTTGATTCTTCCGAAGAACTCGAGTCTGCCTCTGCATCGATCTCGTACTCAGACAACCACGCCAAACCTGATCATATTCTATTCACTTGATTATGAAATATTTACTGAGCTCTGTATCTAACAACTGCTACATGAAACAGATGGTTCGTTGTTCAATTTTTCTTCCTGTTCTTAAATAAAAATATTCACGTTGTGTTTAACTTTACTACATTTACAACTCCTACAGTTAGTAGAAAAGCTAGAAGTACCTAGAGGTTCTTTATCTCCTTTTCGATATACGTCGCTTGTTCGGTATAGGTCCATGACGGAAGCGACAGATCCAAGATCGTGAGGATTTTCGGCCATGTAGTATTCGTTCACACGTGGCAACTGTGATCGGAAGAGTCGAAATTGATCCGGGCACTTCCTGCACGAAAAGAGGTAGAGCATTCGATGAAACGCTGCTGGATTCGGCGCACATTGCTTGCTCGATTCTCCACTTCGACTAGCGTATATTTGCAACAGAAATCCCATTTGGGACCCGCATCGTCGGCAACACAACTCATTCTCTGAAGGATACCTATCATCAAGATGAAGATGTGCACTGCCATTGAATGGTATTATTCTCTTCATGATAGATGCTGATGGAATATTAGTAGAGTCATGTATTTCATGCATTATACTCAACGTCAACAGACTAGTGACAGTCGGTACAGAAGGAAAAAAAAGTCTATAAACTTTACCTTTCGGGGACAAGCCAAGCGGGATTTCCACCGATCTTGCTCGGGAAGAAATACCGACTCAGCATCCGCAGATCCTCCGGCTCCTCCTGGTAGAGATACCCATGCTCTACGCAATACTTCTTCTCCTCCAGCATCATGTTATTCGTGGACTTCAAATTGTGTGATGACACATGTGGAGAAGCGGGAGAACGAAAAAGACAATCAATCTCAGTTTTTATAGGCAACAATGGAAGGTCGTGTGCAATCATAAAAGGGGAGGATGCCGTCAAGGTCGGCTCTGCTTCGAATGAGCAAAACTAATTTTGAAACAAATCTCGAGAAAAAATAGAGATTGATATCTATGGGTAGTTTAATCTGAGACCAGAAACAAAGGGCTACGGTGCCTTAGGCCACATTTCAGCGCATCGCGTCGTGAAGAAGATCTCGTCCACCGCTTAAGTTTGTACTACTGATTTTCTTTACTCCTTGAGCACGCTTCGATCTTTAGCTTGAGAGATCAACGCATGTGGATCATCGTCTCCACTTTCTTCAATAGATCTCGATCTTTTTTGGGCAATCAAAGTTGATCTGCAACGGCTTCATTTTAGTTCATCTGAACTCGTTAGAGGATGATGGTCATCATCGTGGTCAAAATTTGCATTTCCAAGTTTCGTGTGATCTTCATCTTACACTTACTTCATTCAAAAACTACTCTTTGAATAGACAGACAATTATAATCGGCGACGAAAGAAGATATGACGGGTGGAAGAGGGTGAGTATGTAGCTACAGATTGACAGAGGACAGAATTCCTGCTCAACAAACAGATTGCAGATAATGATAATGAAAAACGCAAACGATCACTTGGATAAGAGTTTACTCTTTTCTTTCAATCTTGATCTTTGAGTTTCGGTCATATGCCTGCATTGACTTTAAGTCTACTAGCTGCTCAGTCTCTTGCTTCGGAATAAAATACATGAGGCACATGGAGTCTGTGCATAATTGTTTGCTCTCGTAAATTGTTCAAATCTTACAAGTGGAATGTATCGGTCTTCAAGATTGATTCTGCAATCTGCATTCGCAAAATCAGTACGAAATTTGCGTACATGCCTACCACATCTACTTCATCAGCATCTTCATTCAAGGTGGATGTGTTTTTGAAGTTGAAGCGTTGACATGATAGAATTATTTCTTGTGATAGTCAAAGTTGGAGGAGCAATATTTAATTAGAACAACTAAATCTAGAAGTACAACTTCGTTTTATTAAAGGTTTTGAGTTCCTGTTGCGGTGTCTAACAGTCCTTGAAGCGAGTAGATGGAGGTAAGTAGCATTTTTGCAAGGAGTTCGTCCTGCCCACGTCTGTACAGTTAATGAATCATATGAGCTATTTCTTACACAAGATCTCAAAATTGTCGCTGCAAGAACTCGGATCAAAGTTCGTAGATGAGAGTCATGAAGTGTTCATTTAACATTTTCCATCGAGGACAGTTCCTTGTTATCAGCTGTGAGAATCCGAAACGTGATATTCGTGAAGGATGCTCCCAACCGCTAGCATGCTCCTATGTTTCACTTGTTCGTTTAATTATGCAGGTGCCTCGACCGACAGCGCCATGCATGGAAGACGAAGATCCGGATGTCAAAGGAGTGTCAGAGATACTAAGCAAATACGCCAATGGATGCAGAAGTTGCTTGTGGCCATATAAACCCGAAAGAGAAATGTAGACGAAAAAACGAGAACGGAAATGTGATATAGATATGCGAAATTGGGGTCGTTGTCGTTGAGTTTAGATACACTATCTACTACCTCAGTCTCTTCCATGGAAGGAGCTGGAAGTGAAAGAGGTACTAGAACTGAAAAATTATCGGGTTGATCGTCCTTGGATTCAGGCTATTGAAATCAATCGTTTACAATCAAAAGACCTCATCCGTCGCAGCTTAGCTACCAGAAGGACAACATCATGATGATCATACAAAACCTTCAAAACTCACAAAAATTATGAAATTGCGCGAAGTAAGTTATGGACTCTTGTAAAAACGGTAACTTCGCCTCTACTTATTGAGTTTGAGAACAATTCGTGGAGGTGAACATCAAAATTCCAAAAACTTTTCCGCAGTTCCTGACGATCCGATTGAGCACTAACGTTATTTCTAGATTTTTTGACGGGGAAGGGGATGATAATGGCGTATGAAAGGAGGCATGGAATGAGTCTCGCGTACTAGTCGTACATATGGATACCGACACTAGTGCATGAGAGACTAACACTAAACAATATGATCCAGGAGATGTGTAGTAGACCCGATTGTTTCGGGTAACGGTAAATCAAAACTTGAAGAAATGTTATTTTCCCAATGTGTTTCGATGGATGATGTATCTTCTACGGATATTGGCTTTGGCAATGGCACATCACAAATCATAACAAACCTCTGCGTCTACATGCAGAATGCGTCGTTCAAGAATACTATCTTTACGGTTTACAAGAATGCAACGTGTTCATTACATCAATTAATTATACTCGTGTTTTGTAGGCGTTTACAGTTTGCGTGGATGATCGATCAGTATTTCAGCGTATGCTTTTTTGTGTATGTGCGCGGAAGGGGGCGGGTACAAATGGGATGAACATGAATCATACTGCTCGTATAATTTATAAATCCAACATCGAGTACAACAACATCAACTACATGGTTCTGAAAAATTAACACTTTCATGATATTGATACGACCCTCGGAAACGAGAAAGATACAAAACCCGAACAGCGAGGATGCTCCTTAACACTGACAACTACGATTACAATCCTTTGTTAGCGAAAATCTCAACGACCGGTTTTCCCTGCTTGTCCTTCAGATTTTGAAATCTTTCTTCAAGAAATTCGGGCTTCAATGTCATCTTCTGCGGTTGGAGCGCGAGAGTGAACGGCAGAAAGTAGTACATGCATCCAACGACAGTGCTAACCTCCGCGAACTGAAAAATACGAAAATAAAAGCAAATTTTGAATTTAGTAAGTATTGCATCAGTCAACGGCTAGGTGAGTTTGCGTGATGTTATTTGTATCACAGATGATCTCCAGGATGCTTCTGTGGATGAGAATAAACAACCTGTACATATAAAAGTCTTAAGTTGCAGGTGGACGCCAGGGCCAACAGTATCTCGTACAAACTTTTACTCTCTGGGTTCTGTAAGCATACTAGTACCTGCAGTAGCCTCTTGTTCCGGACGAGAGTTCGCAGGCCCATAATGATGATCGGCGGGAGAATCAAGATGGGCATCGGAGTTACAAAACCTCGAGTGGTAACCGTTTGCCATACTGCTTCGAAACCCGCTTTCGGAGACATTCCTAACTCCCGCCCATCCTTATCGCAGACCGGGATTCCATTCGTCCACTCCTCTCTTCGCGTGAGGATTAGAACGTCTGCCTGCTTCCCTCCTGCAGCAAGAAACTTCTTGTCTGTGTCTGATTTTCAACTTGATAACGAAGTAGCATTGAATACGGTGAAGATAAGATGAATGGAATTGTATCCCTGCTGTTTTACAAGCGTAGCCGTATGCTTCCGGTCGGTTACTTCTCTTCTGGAGAATTTTCTTTTCTGCGACGAAACACTAGCACGAAAATTCTATAAAAAAAATAAACCAGCTATTTACTCCTACGAGTCGAAATATTGCCATAAGAGGAACATGTTTGCCGTGCTGGCGCTGCACACTGCAACGTACGGAACAAACAAACCTAGGGATTGAAGGACTGGATAGGTGGCCACTAGCCGACCCATGCCTAGTGCTACAGTCACTCCCGCAAAGCAAGCAGACGCAAATGCTGAATTAGACGAGGAGTTCGAAACTATGCATACAGTTAGTAATGCCCCTTCCATATCGTCATCAGTACGATAACGATCTTCTACGTGTGAATGCCCCTGATCATATGGCCCTTCGTGACTACCGTTGTAACGATCTTCTAGTTCTATTCTAGTAACAATTGATTTTCATAAATATTGCGAGGTTAGTTGCGTCGACACTAGCACCGGATCGATTGACATAGTTGGTCATGAAATTTCCTGCCTGATTCATGAACTGCCAGAAAGCCCCTGCAGCGGGTGAGGTCGGTCCGTGCAGCAACATTCCCAGTGCCGTCGGGGTATTCACCGGTATAAAAGCCGCCATTCTGATGTGTCAGATGAGGCGATGTGAAGATCACGATCATCTAAAATACTGCAGAGGTAGTATAAAGATGAAATCTCGAGGGACCACTCATCTGATCTAAATCTCGAATTATATATAAAGTATCTTCATCTCAAACTCAAAGGCGAAGAAAATTATTGAATTCTGAGTACATGATTTTGACGAGCATCCAAAACTTATACCTTCCCGGTAGAAACATCACTTCCTCTGTGACAGGGTGGACCATGGATTTGACGATTTTCTGCGCTTCCCAAAAAGCAGTGTTCTCTTCGTCGGTGTAGATTCGTCCGCGCTTCCATGTGCTCAACAACGCTAGGGCCCGTCCCAGTTCCGCTTCTGATGTCAGCAGCATACTTGGTTCTATCATTTCACGGATCGCGCGGACCCGTCCAGCGTAGGATGGACCGTACCTGAAGACAAATTTGAATAAGCATGCAAGACGACCGTTTCGAAGAAAATAAGAAGGAAAGCTGAAAAATTACAGAAATCCTAAGAGTGTAAGCACTGTTAGGTAATGTAAGAAATGTAAGGAAACCAAGAGGAACGTCAACTCGAACAAGAAAAAATCGTGTTCTACTCATATGACAGAAGTGAGCACTCATCCTCAAGCTCAACGTGGTCCAGTAAGAATGATCATCGTAAGAAAAATACAACTGGTTGAAATTCCTATTCCGTATGTTCCATGAAGGTGAAGATCGTAACGCTCTTTCTTCTACTAGCAACACATAATATTTATGCGAATAAGAGTATCGTAACGACCGCCTTTCATTCTAGCAACACATCATATGCGAATGCGGAAGATCTAAATCGGCAGTACCTCTGTCCATCAGGATCGTAGGGCAAAATTTTCGCACCAGATGCGATGGCATCTGCATCGTCAGTCTCCGCGGCAAAGACGCTGCCACCACCTATGATGAGTGCTCCTAGCCCCAAGACACCTGCAGCAGATGCTCCTCCAGCGTTTGCCCATACCCTAGACGAGGGATGCGAGCCCTCTTCATCTGCTGCACCTGTCTTTTGGTTATTGTATGAAGCCAAAATCTATGATCATTATCACACTTTTCTACTTAAGAAACTTGATAATGATAACAGATGTTCGTTTCATAAATTGGCACGACTTTGTTCCCCTCTTATTGCTTCGTCGCGTGACGTAGATGAAGCTGTTTCAGCACAGGAACTGCTATAAGAGGTCCATCTCCGCGTCGTTTTTGTCGCGCTCGCGCCGCACGTTTTGGTGGAAGTATAATCTGCAAGTGGCCTGAAACAAGAACTGCTAAGATTTCTAGTTGCATTCTGCAGAGTGTAGACGTTCTGCCTCACTCCTCTGTGGTTGCCCTTTGACGATGAGGAGGAGGAACCACATGCACATACGAATCGATGGCTTTCGACGAAGCTGCCATGTCGCGCCCTTGCTTGCAACAAGCAACGACTCGTCGCGGTCATTTCTCGCGTCTTGGTAAGTAATTTGTACTTATTTGAGTTTTTTCGTAGTTTCGTGCTTTGTAGATGAAGATGATCACATCCAAACTGCAGCTGTTGCTCTGGAAAATAAGTAGCAGCTTAATTATGAATACAGCAAGAACTCAGACATCACCTCCAATTTTAAATTTCTTTCCAACAAGTGACTTGTGCCTCCTTCTAAAAAAAGCCCCCGGTCGCCGTTTTTTCATGGCGCGTTTTATTAGCGCATGGTTGCTCCAGAAGATGAAGATGCGTACTTATAGAAGTTCGGCTCGCTCAAAAATTGCGTCACATCAATGTTCAATCCGGAACTGCATTTTCATGCCCATAATCCCACTGTGTAGACTGTGTAGCTTTCACTTTTCATCTTTATCTCTTCTTAACAAGTAGTATGATGTATGAATGTTGACAAGCCACTCTCAAGGAGCCGCGATATAATTGATGAAGGAACTAAAATGATTTCGTCTCTCAGCATAAAAAATTTCGCTGTCTGTCATTGTCGTAGCTTGTCGTGCACGTCATCCTGGTGGACCTCGGGTTATTGCTTCGAAGATTCTTACGTCATGAGAAGGCGTGTGCATCAATCAACCACTCAAAAGGCAAAGTCGAGGAATGTGCGAAGGATTCAATGAAATTCGATTTTGTAGTAGACGATGACTACCACTAATCACAACTAATTTGGTAAAATCTAGTTCTAGAAGCGGACTAATACAACTCAAACTCAAATTTGTGAAGATGACAAGCAGGTCGTGGCGCGACCGCATCGTGATACATCAAGTCCTCTACAGAAAGGAGGACTTGGATGTTGTACTAGACAAATAAGGACTCATTGACAGCAATAGTCTCTAAATGCTGGTATGGAACTGGCTCACTTCTACAAAGAAACACCCACGAAAAGTCATCTTCATATTTTTCCTTGATCTAGACTCGATCAAGAATGGTCTTCGCGTTGCAGTTGCAGAGCTGGCGTCAAGCTAAGTAAAGTGTAGAAATATCGTGGCCCCCTCATCGTTATTGCTACCGTCTTTTTGTCCTCGGAACGGAAGAGCCGATGAGGATGGTCGCCATGAGAACTAAACCCGCGTCGATATGGTTACAGTCACTCGTGAACTGACAATGTAATTGGTTCTGTGTGCGGTCCATGAGCAGGTCTGCCACAACTTCCCCAAACATATTATAGACTTCACCAAACTTGTTGCCGGTGAACGCTCCTCCAGCCGTGCTGCGGCTACGCTGGTTGACATTGGAGTCTTGCTCAGGATTTGCTGCGAGCGCGACTTCGAAGTCGAAGCCTATGATGAGCACTGAATTTCGCGCACCATCGGCTGTCTGAAACTTGCAGTGGTACGGGAATTTTTGCTCCTCGTCTATGCCACTGAACACCTCGTATATCGGCGACCCGACTGCGTCAACTATTAGAACAACAATGGCGGAAATCAGTCCTAGCTTACCGTCTTTGAACTATAATCTCATTGGCCTTAGATTTAGAATTCAAGAAACTATTTTACTCAAAAGAAAGAAGCTGAGTGCTTCTGTGCAGAGGAGTGCTCCGCCTTTGTCTGCTTCTGGGAGGCCATTTTTTGATGCATGTTCTTTCATTTTGAACTATAAATGCATTATCTTCTACGAGGACCCTCTTCTGGTTCATTTGACCCTCGTGGTTATACAAGATCAAGAGCTCAACAGCTACACGAAGAGGACAGGTGGAACCCATCTTCTACTACGACCTCTTATCTGACTGGATTTCCCCGATCACTTCTGCGAATATTTTCTGCTAAATGCTCTTATAGTTCAAAGACGGTAAGTAGTTGTATCGATTTCCAACATAACATTATTTGGTCTTTTTTGATGCTGGCAAAAACTGTGGGAGGCATCGCAGCGTCAGTCGAGGCTGCAGAGCATCGAACATCGAGCCCGCCCAAAATAGAGTTTTTCGCTGCGGCTGAAGAGCGCTGGAGAACAAAATTGCCACGTTTGCCTCGCACCTCAGCGTCGATCCCCGGGACGAACATCGGAAAATTACTGCTCGGATTCGGACATAAAAAGATACTGAGCCTGAATCGGGTAGGTCTATGAGAAAAGAGTATGTGTGTGGGATGATGTTGAGGCGGAGGCCACATGGATGCAGATATGTATCATAAATATACATCCATAAAGGAACAACAACAAGTCACAAAACTGAAGAAGTACGTTGCATCATATTCTCTTTCTCAAGCTGTTAGGAGATGAAATATGAAAGTATAATAACAGCCTCCAGTTGTACTTGGTGTCCATTTTGTAGTTGCTCAACAACATAAGTATTATAGGAAAAGAGAGGTTACCGTCTTCCTCCTAGGGTTAAAGGCGCTGGGGGCCGTATCTCTTTCGTCATCGTCTTAGCGCCATCTGATACTCTCCCCACTGAAGAACGAGCGCGCCTCGCCTCACAATCCTCTGCTTGAGCCGCGTCTCCGCCATCTGGTTCTGGAGGCTTCCTACAAATAGTATCGGTAGTATTTTCTTCTAGCACGGCCGAAAAGAGGTGGACTGCAGGTAGTAAACGCAAATGTTCCACTGCGAGCGCCACTAGACATCCTTTACAGCGTGAGACGCTGTAGTCCAATGTCGTAGCTAATGAGTCTACCTCGCGCAAAACGGTCTGACACCCAGCAAATCGCGGACACACTACCTCACGGCGACACTGCTGCAACCGGTCCCGCAATCGATCGAGCTGATAAACTAGCATATTCGCTTCTCGTGATATGCTCGCAGCAGAGGTACTCGCAGGCGACGAGCTGCTCGTGCGAGATGAGTCTGCTCCTCCTGCTCCTTGTGAAAATCCTTTGTTCATGGCACCTAAAGGCCCCTGAGGCTGGCCCCCGTCTTGAATCTTCTCTAGGAGAGGTGGAATTAGATACTTAGATGGCCATAACATAAAAAAGATAGAGTTTCTCCTTCAACAATCAACATCGGCTTACTTCGTTCTAATGGATACATTGATGCAGCATCTTGATGGGTTAAAAACCATCGACATCATGACGATACGCAAATAAAAAATCAAGCATGAAGGACAACTTGAACTTTTTATATCAGATAGTTGCATGATACCTAGTACAGATGAAACGATGAACAAAATTGTCCGTAAAATCATGTGTTGCGTTTTCCGAATTTTTTGTGCTGTTTTCTGCAGCCTGCTTGCTGCTGTGAAGAGGGAGCGACTGCTCGATGATGATGTTGCAGCTCCTACCTCTGTTAAGACACAGCTGCTCGCAGCAGGCGATACAGAATTGCTCTTGGATGTCGATGGCAGACTAACGACAGCACTGAGCACCCCTGCTTTTAGCGCTTTATCACTGAGAAGCCCAGTGCCAGATGATGATCCAGGGAGTTTCAGGCTTGAAACAACGGTCGAACCAGTGTCGGCTAGTCGGGGAGACACAGTGGACGACTGGGTCGTCGCTGGCGTTGTACCTTATCCATCGAAAAACGAGATGAAGAGAGAGACTCTGAAAACTAGCAGTTGTACAGCAGCAACGCCGAGTTGTATAATTAAGTGAAGCATAATCATTACCAAGTTCAGGACCTTCAAGTTCAACAATTCGAAATATTTGCTATGTATCTATGTATATGGTAATGGTCGTATACGCCTTCAAAAAATCTTCCCTAGGTGGATACACCACGGAGTAAGTACCGCGTTCCCGGTGTAGCAGCCTCTGCTTGAGCGTGTTGATCTTTTGTTCGTAATTCTTTAGGCTCGTTCGGAGGCGATGCAGGACCGCCACGACCTGGAACCCATTGGTGCAGTCCTTTGCTGGCTGCAGGAGGTCAGTACTGCTGTCGCTCCACGCGAAGGCTCCAGCTAGTACAGCCCGACCAACTTCACCCGACGCGGCTTGCTGATCTCGCGATGCGACCACCAGGGTAGCCCGTCTCTGGCCCTCTCGAGGAGCTGCTGGATATTTGGGTGAGGGTGCGCTTTCTGGAGGCTGCACAGCATGGCTTTCTTTACAGTCGGATGCAGTAGCGCTTCCACTGGCTGTGGCCCGTGTTGCCGGCTTTCCACGATTCGGACCTGAAAGAGGGTCATAACTGTACTCTCAACCGTAAGCTTCAGCACCACATATTAATAGCATCACCATGGATGAAAGTATCACTACTTTGAGACATCAAAATTCGTTATTTATTCAGATACTGTTTACGACTAGTACCACGAAACCATGCACTAAATTGCGGGGTGGGACGAAAAGAAAAAAAATCATATGAAATCAATTATGGGTAGACCAGAATCATGTCGAATCGTTAATTATATTTATCATTTATTATAATTAAGTAGTTGTCCGTCTTTCTTAACTACAAAGAGTTTATTCGGTACTGCTGACCACGCTGAGACGGGCGTAGAGTTGCACCGTTCCGGTGGATGAGTCGCTATTGCTCCGCTTTCGCGTATTGGCGGCAGGTTCGACCGGCGTGGTACCGTCTTCATCTACCGCGTCGGCGCCCGCTATCTGGTGGCCCTGAGCAGCAGCGGTCGCTTGATCTGGTCTGTTGGGAGCCGATGGTTGTGCAGGTTGCGGTTGCGCCTGTCAAAAAAAATCAGACTCTTTTGGAATACTCAGCCTGAGACTGACCTGAGAACTCCTACGTCTTGTTTTGAATATTTATTCCGCAAGCAACAATATGGTCATGAAGGGTGGAAGTCTAAGGTTTACTACGAGGGAAAACTAACCGGGTGCTTCTACTTTACTGCTTTAAGAATCTACAAATCTACTATACCTTCGCCGCCGCTCGGAAAAGGCGTCTTTGCATGCTCGGTGTGAGAAATTTCTCGAACCTGAGTATGTTTGCATTGCCATATATCTATGTATATAATGAGTGACAGTAAGGCAAGTCGGAGGTCGGTTTGTTCAACGAAAAGGAAAATTTTGGACCAAAATACAAGGAAGAGAAACTACTAAGTAACCCGCCTATTGTACTTGAAGTAGATGTGGCCCAAATTATAAAAAGTACTTACTTACCATGATTCTGCGCCACCATTCGCCGTAACCGCGTAGCGCACTAGCATCCCAGCATCTGAGTTTTGTACGACTCGACATGGCATCCATTCTGCTGCATTCGAGGACCACACTAAACCTCCCGATGGAGTTGCGGCACTTGAGCAAGATGAATTAGTATTAGAGCTAGAGGTACCGCATTTTTTCCATCCTGACCTCAGCGAGCTCCTCCTTGGCTTTTTTTTCAATTTCAAAACTCGAAATATTAGTCAAAATGATTATAATCTATATCAGAGCAATTCATAAGGTTTCACAGCTCGCATGGCATGGAGTGCATGGACCACATGGAGTAGCATGGAGCTAAAGGGGGAGCTTCTTGCGCCCCTTAAAGCTCTGCGCTCCATGCACTCCATGCTACTCCGTGCACCATGCGCGCTATAAACTACTCTGCTATAATCTATAAGTAGCGGCACTAAATGGTGTTAAGGAACCGTTGATCTCGATCTTGCTGGAGGTCTTAAAAGAAGGTGCTGCTGGATCTGCTTTTTTGGTTCCCCCCTCCCATGATTGTTTTCTTGAAGCGTGGTCCTCTATTCCAGGAGGCCGTTCACTGCCAGTTTTGTAGTCCTTGATCGGACTTGATGATGTGACCGCGAAGGAGGGCATGTTTTCTACGAGAGTGAATACCAATAGTACGCTGTAGGTGGAGGAAGTGGTAGTGGATTGGAAAAACAAGAAGGGATAGAAAGTAGATGAACATGAAGGGGGGATAAAAATTATTCTTTTTAACTTTATGATCTACTAGAACATACTTGATAACATATTAATCAATACGGAGTCAACATCGCTTTACGAGGATGCCAATGGCAATGCTCTGAAATTTGTCAACCGATGCAGGCTGTGCTACAGTTGTACAGGAATCTGTTCTACTGCAGTGCAAGTCTCCTATACCATCCTCGTCTACCAAATAAAAGAAAAACAAGACATTGCCGATAAATTCGAAATCGAGTTCCTCCTTCCTTCTATCCGCTAACTAAGGCTTGGGTCGTCGTGCCTTGCCTGCAAAGACAAAGAAATAAAATTGACTACAGTCTACTTGCTCCCCTGCGGGTACAAGCAGGGCGGAACCTTTTTCTATAAGCCTATCGTCCTTCACAACGCTTTTTGTTTTCACATGAAGAATTCGAATCCACCTTACGACTATATCATGATGATTGGGTTGGAATCTAAATGCGAAAAGTATTGAACAGAGCAGGCATGTCGTATAAGTAGAGAGAAACTACCTCATCAATCTCTCGATCTCTCTGGTGCTCGAAGTGCCAGCTGGCTTCAAAATAAAAGCTTGCTCGTGCCGTGCTTGTTGGGTGGAACTCGATGCTCCTTGATGCAGGTGTCCGGAAGCTTCAGCACATGTCTGATGGCGCTGGCTGTTTTTCTGACGAGCAATGTTAAGGCAAACGTCGCCTTCGAACATCTTTATCATGGATCTTTGAAGGTCGTTGCAGAAAGAATGCAGCATGCGACCTGTCAGACTCTGAGTTGAGGCCCTGCGTCGCTAGATTGATGTCTTCACAAGACAACAACTTGAAATACAAACATCAATCAACAACATTCTATCCACTTGTTCCACATGGTAAATATGAATGGTTTGCATCAATGGAAATGTATCTATTTATTTTATTTCTTGCCGTAGCCGCGATCATACAAATATTTGGAAGATACTTGTGCTGGCTCTTGCGCACTTTCAGAGCAAGATGAATATCTATGAACGTTCGAGGGGCCAAGGCCCCCCCGATCTAACTTATTGAGGGGGGGCCTCCAGCCCCGGACCCTTTTTCCCGAGGGACCGCCGGGCGGGAAGCCCTCCAAGCGCCCGCCGTCGAGCCCTCGCGGCTCCTTGCCTGCACCCTACAGAACCCAAACCCCTGAGGCCGTTCAAGCACCGACGCCCGGGGGTGGAAGGCTTCCGAAGGCGGCAAGGCTTGACCCCCTTGCCGTCTTGCATGTACCCGACCGACCTCCCGCGTGGGGGCTCCTCACTGGAGGAGTTTGGCCCCTGCTGCCTTCCAGGAGGGCCAAAGAGGCCAGGCCTCGCGATAGTGGCCGCCTTCGGCGGCCTTCTTCCCCCGGAGGCCGTCCCTCTGATAGGGCCACAGAGTTGGAACGCCTGTGGGGTACACGCGGAGAGCCGCCAGGCTCCGCCTTTTGAGGCCTCCCCCCCGTGAGTCCTTACATGTCACCACCGCGAAAAAGAGGGCGCGTGGACGCCCCCACCGCTCCATCCACAGGAGGGGCGCCTCCACCCCTGGAACATGTATGTCTATCATGGCTTTTCAGACAACGAAATCAAGAAAATCAAAAACATAATTAATTAAAATTTATTTTTTAGCAGACATCAACAAAAGCAATTGTATTTGTAGTAGACTAGTTGTATCTATTGTATTCCTAATTCTAGTTATAGTTATTCCTAATTCTAGTATTTTTTGTTTTAGTAAAAAATAGCTTTTTTAGATTCCATTGTATAATTTGTAGAATCAAATTAACACTAACTACAGTGTAGCTCATCAAAAAAAAATGCTGTATTTTCAATAATTTCTGAATAATGGCATGCTCTACCTCTTGAGGTGACTGTTCTTTAATAAGCCCTCTTAGAAGTGCAATTATAATTAAAGTATATTATATATACTGATATAATATCGTTTTTGGGATAAACTGGTGCAATGAATTCGACTGCTAGTTGCAGTTCGTTCAACATATTCATGTTCTTGTCTTCACGCAAAAAAAAATGTTGATGTTCATGAACCATAAAAGTTGCTACTCCTCAACATTCGTGTCAGTGTCCAGAAAGTGAAATCAAACGAACTCACCGCTGTAGCTGTATTCTAGACTCACATACTACTTGCTCTTTCAGCTACTTGTATTTTCGACATCCAAATAATCATGTTAATAGCTGGAGTCTTCAGACGAAAGATCGTCTTCGCCGTCATCTTCCTCGGCTTCTTCTTCTTGTTGTTCTACTTCGTGCTCATTTTCAGTCAAAGCTCCTGCCTCGTGTTGTTTTTTTATTACCTCGGGCTGTTGTCCAAAGAATGGAGGCTGCTGCTCCACTCCATCTCCGCCGGTTTGAAAAGCTGTGAAATAAACGTTTTCATCAACACGCTGATGATTATCGCTATTTCCACGTGCACCAGGGTGTCCCTCTTCCCCGTCACTTTCGTATACAGGTGAGTATGCATCCTGATAGCCTACGCCCAGCGACGCGCCTAGTTCTTCGTGGTCCTCTGCCTCACCTTTATGAGATTCATGCTCTTCTTGCTCATCTTCTTGATACTGGTGTCCTGTTCCCTGTCGTGCCTCACCACTGAGAAGATCGTCATCAAACGTCGAAGAATCTCTCTGCCGACGTTTATTGCCGCCCCTACTTCTAGTGGCTCCTCCAGTATGCTGAAGACAATGTTCTCCTTCTGCTGGTCCTTGTACTTCTTGCAGCAGAGTAGGTTGCACATAATTTTTGACCGCATCCCTATAGTAGGTTTGAAGTGCTTCATCACTGATTGCTCCGCCAATGGTGGCATAGTCGTCATCTTCCTCGTCTGCGTGCCGCTCTTCTTCTCCCTCATAAGCAGGACGAGCTCGTCCTCTAGTTGCTACTGTTTGTGCCCTCTTACTTGCAGGATTTCCTCCCATTTGCCTCGCTAGTTCTCTGTCGCTCTGGCTATCCTCCAGAAAATCCACCTCATGCGGTTGTTGAGTATCATGCCACGTGAAAGTTGTTCTTCCGGTTTCCACCTGGTTCCTCGCGGCGTGTCCATCTCCCCTACTAGGTCGACCATCATCTCCGGCTCCCGCCTTGTAATCTTCTTCATAGAATTCATCGTCGAGCTCGTCAAATCCAGTTATCAGGAGTGAACGCTTTTGTTGCTCGTTCTGTTGTACCCGTGTCTCTTCACCTCTTTGCTCGTGGTGGTCGCTTCCGTGCGCATCATCCTCCGAATCTTAGAATCAGCGACGTCCACGCCAAACATGGGGATGGGAGCAGAGATCATGGCGCTACAAGAGTTGCGCCGCTTGCGCCCCGTTTCTGCTCCTGAAAAAACAATCTCATGGCGAAACTTGAGTGCTCTATTCATCAGCCTGATTCATGTGTATCTATAATCTATCGTTATCGAATTCGATATCCTTTATGAAACCAGATAAAGCTCATATTAACAGTTTCAAGTGTAGTTTTGTTGTGCTTAAGTAGGAATGAGTTTGCCTTATTTGCGCTTGTCGAAAACGAAAAATCAAATATACTTGCCTTAATCTTCTTCTCCCCCCTCTCCATCGTCTGTTTCTTCGGTTACAAGGCCATAGGGGTCGCATTCATCAAAGGGTGGTCGTCTGTGGTCATCTCCGGTTGGATCTTTTTCACCCGTCTCAGATGCTGGCAAATGCTGCGCACTCGTCGAGTGAGGCTCTGTCTCAACAGAATAGTAAATGGTCCCTCGCGGAGGAAGAGGACGATCCTGGCGCGATTAGAGCCAAGTTTTACACGACAAGGTAGCTGTAAGAACTCAAGAGCAACTTTTCATAATATTGGTGTTGGTACAGCGATACTGACAAATCTTCACGACAAATTCAATATTTTCCTTAAAGTTGTCGTGGCAGCTCTCCAGGACTGTTTGGCCCACCAGCGATGAAGGCGTGGTATATGGCGGGAGACACTGTCTGGTCTGATGCGGACGACGTTCTTCTCGTCCCAGGAAGGCCTCGTAGTAGCTCATCTTCTGACGAATGCTGATCATCATCGGTTGCAAGATCGTGCCTTTCGACGTCTTCACTCCCGATTTCCCCTCGCTTCTGCCCATGCCCTGCTGCGCCCGTCCTAGTGTTACTTCCATGCAGCGCTTCCATTCCATGATCGCCTCCGCCCACGCTCTCTGAGCTAAGGCCCAGGAGGTTCGCTGAAGCGAGTCCACCCGTCCCTTCCGCTACAATATCGTGGTTACCTGAAAATGGACCTGGGGGGCCTCCGCTTTGTCCTGCTCCAGGTGGAGCGGCAGCAGCAGCAGAAGCAATGGCAGCTACATTAGCTGCAGGGTGTGAAGCCGAATCGTATGAATGGAACTGCTGCAGCTGTGCCCCGATAACACCATACAACACAGGAGGTGCAGCCTTACTTAGTGCTGGCAGGTACGTTTCCAATTCATCGAGAGACGCCTCGAGGAGGTCTGGAATTGCCGACGAGGTATCCGTATCGAATCGAGGCGACCTTGCTGACTCCTTACCCTTGCCGCGCTCACTTCCTGAAGACGATAAGCTTCTCTCACTCCCCTCTCGTGGATTGTCCAGAGTAAGGAGTGCGTCAGATGAAACTTTTCGCTCTGTTGGTGTTTGCGTGCCTGATCGTCCTACTGGCCGGACGTGCCGATTTGCCTGCTCTTGCACTAGTAGGAGTCCATCTACTCTTGATGCGACACTAGGGGTTCGAGAATGTGGCTGAGACTCCTGTTCAACGCTGTGCTGGACTACTGCCGCCCGTGCTTGTACGCTCAGTCCACTAGGAGTGGGCGAAACTACTCCCGACCCCACCGTTGATGCCCCACCGGGGGTCAGTGGCTGTTGCACTCGTGCTGACGACGTGGTCTGCGGCGCCTCAACGACACCTCCACCATCAGACTGCTCCCTTGGCGTCAGAAGTGGTGTCGACGGCGCACTCGGTGTAGGTGGCACACTGGGCAGCAAAGTCGAAGTTCTAACTGATGGTCCTCCTGCTCCTGGTCCTGGAGGTCCTACAGGTGGCATTGCATTTGAAGCAGTACCAGCAGATGCTCCTGAGGATGGAAGTACTTGCCGGTGCACGTTAATAGAGGTGCCCGATGAAACGGCACGAGTCGGTGTATCATCATCCCACCAACTGGACAAGGTCTTTCGCTTCGGAGGTCCAATGCGTCTTTGCGCGCTAGTACTTCTACCACCAAACGACGTCTCGCCTCGTCCCGGCGTCCCAGGTGCTGAGCCTGTGGTCGCGCTTGTGGGTGTTGGCGGTGCTGAAGACACGGCCGCTTCACCGGGGGGAGCGGGTCTGCTTCCCGGAGGCGTTGGTGGAGAGCTGCGGGTCGGAGGCGTGCGAGGGTTACCTGCTAGAAGACTCGATGAGTCCTCGTCCTCTGCGGCGCCTGGGAGGTGGGCTACTACAGGAGAGTACGGCGGTGGTGGCGGTGGTGTGCCAGGCTGAGACCGCGTGCTAGAATGAACTATCTGTGCCTGCACAATCTGCGACGAAGGGGACGAGCCGGCTTCTGTAGATGTCCCTGTCCGACTCGCCACTTGCTGTTCTTCCAAATTTTGATACCTTAATAAAGCCTCTTGCTCGATTTGAAACTTTGTTCGAAAGGGATTCGCAGAAGAACCGTCTGGCTGAGACCACCCGTGTTGCGTTAGAGTCAGTTCGTCCACTGCATCAAAAAATCCTTTTATTCCTCAGCTGGCCCTGTCATTGCTCTTATTATAACTCGTCCGATGTCGATGCGTACTAAGTTACTAGTACTTAAGAACTGTGAACGGGCAGCTAATCAAATAAACAAAAACATCAAAAAAAGAATAAGAGGACATTCTTTGCATGCCTATGCCATTTGAGCCTTCCTAAATTCTGGGATGCGGTAGCCACACCAATTGGTAGGTATCCCGGCGGATTGAACGCAGGCGCGGCGGTTTCCTCTTCAAGGGAGTCTGATGGACCGGCGGCGGCTAGCTGATTATGAGCCATCGACCGAACATCTCCTGACGCTGTTGTCGGACAAATCCCGGAAGATGAGCCGTCTCCTGGCCGCTGTTGCGGTAGACTCTGATGTTGCCAACGTCGTGGATAAAATTCCTGATTCTGCTGTTGCTCTGATGCAGATGACGAGCCGCAAATACCAACGCCCGGCGGCTCCGGGGGTTGAGGAGGAAGAAGTGAATGCCCGAACGCGTATTGCTGCTCTGCTTGCTGTTGCGCGCCCAAGCCTGTTCCACCGAAGGCATTTGGCCTCGAATGGTGCTCCTGTCCTGTTGCTCCTCCAATTGCATTGGGCATGTGCTGCACGCCATTGTTCTGTTGTTGCACGCTGAAATTGTGCCCACCGTGTCCAGTATTGTTTGGTACTGTAACGTTACAGGCACTTGATCCATGAGCCACCGGTACTGGGAGTTGGTGTACGCCTCCACCGGTGCCAGAGGACGTGGCCGCCCGCGGCCCGTGCTGGGTTGGTGGACAAGGAAATGTTGGCGGTTGCAGTGGCAGAGGAACCTGAGGGGTTAGATGCGGCTGCTGTTGTGGCAGGTTCCCAGCCGCTCCAGGAGGCCAAAACCAGGAAGTAGCACGGTTAGACGCTTGATTGAGCCACGCGTGTAAGTTGTGTCCAAATGCTGGAGATGACTGCTGCGGCACCGGCATGGCAAGGTTGTTATAGCCGCGCAAACCCGGCATCATATGACCTGTGCAACTTCAAAAAATAGTAACAAACTCGCGGCCAGCAGATCGCAGCAGCTATGGGAGTTCGAACTTTCTTCCGTCTATCTTGTTCATACATAGGTTAGTATAATCTGAAAGAACTGTTACAAGAATTAGTACATCGACATCGTCAGCGTCGTGTGCATCTAATTAAAGCTCATACAAATTATTCATATTTATTCTGTCGAGGATCAAACACGCGAGAAAAAGAACCTGCTCCGTGCTCTTGCTGCAGCGCCGCCCCGCCAGCAGCATCTAGGTTGTACCCGTGGTAGCCCGCGCCGTGATTGTAGCCGGTTGCAAGACAGGGACTCGTTGTGCCATGATATCCTCCTCCTGTGGCAGCATTGTATTGACCTGCTACTGCTGCCATACACGCAAGACTTTCCGGAGACTGTCCGCTGGGATACTGTAGCGATGATGTGCTCGAATGTAGTCCGTGAAGGTCCCCAGAACTTTGAGCGGGTGAAGGAAGTTCAGATGTTGGCGCGGTCGCCAAGCCTCCTGCTCCCAAAGTAGAAGCTGCACCTGCTCCAGTGGTGCCGGCTCCCCCGATCATGGCAGCTGTGCCTGCTCCAGCGCGGCCTCCCACGTACAGATGCCTGTAATTCTTCTCGGCACGACCGCTCGAAGCTTCGGAGTCTCTCGGCGGCCGCTTAATGCTATGGCTATCCTGACTAGAACCTAAGAAACTCGACAGCTCCTCGGCATCCGTCGCTGTCGGGGGAAGACGTCGCTGGAATGCATTGCGGCCCTCGCTTGGAAATTGAGTGGATCCACCACCAGAGTTGCCTCTATCTCCAGCGCTTGTTGAAGAGGTAGTCCCTGGGCTTAACAAGGCTTGCCCCCGAGAAGAGACCGACAGAGTAGAGCCATCCTCACTGCGTTCGTCCTTACCTCCTTTGGTCGCTGAGGAGGACGTCCCTTGCTCTACCCTGCCTCTCTGTGTGCTCCATGCTTGTGAGCCTTTCCTGGAGTTATCCACGACGGGGCGCTGCGTTCCGCGGCGCCGATGCTCTTTTGTCTCCTCGTGCAGGATGTCGCTTTCCTGCTCTTGCTGTCTTCTCCTGGGATGTCTCATCGGATCGCCATCGACATTCCCCGTTTGTCTTCCCCTACGAGAGCGGCTTTTACCCGCACCACGGCGCCCGCGCGGCCGCGACCGCATCGAGGGAGGAGTTCGTCCATTTACTACTTCATGTTCATCGGATCTGCGCGAACGGCCTCGAAGATCGCGGCTCTGACTGCGCGACCTGCGACCGCCAACTTCCGAATCGCGAACATGAAAAAACTCAACATTTTCCTGTTTCTTCTCCTCGTCTTATGTAAGTTGTAAGTACAAGTAGATGCACAAAGCAGATCGCTGTCGCTGTGTAAGGAGCCAGCTAAGTCTTAGTCCTCTACTTAAGTTACTTTAATATCATCTTCCACAAGCATGTCGTGCATGTAGAAGTACGAAGCGTCTTGTTCTTCTATTCTCGAATCACAGAAGATGGAATACGAATAACTTCATCACCTCCGTCTGCGACTCATAAGAGGAAGAAGAAAAAGTCAATGAACGGACTTCGTCGTCGTGATGCTGCTCTTTTCCTGTCTTCGCGTGTCTCGATGTCCTACCATCTTCCTCCGATCGGTCCTCCCAGCTCTCTTCGCAGCTGTACGCTTCGTCGTAGTCGACTCTAGAGGACGATAGCTCGTCGCGGTTCGTCATTCGGCGATCAGCTGCTGCTCGTCCTGTTGTCGGCATCGGTTCATGACTACAGTGGCCGCCTCGATCCCTTTCCCTGCGCGAGCAATCAATTGTGCGCACCGCACTTGTTCCGCGACGGTGAGACGCGGTAGTTGAGGCGGACGAACAGAAATCAGCATCCCATTCAGAATCTCCGGGGCCCGCACGTCGCTCCCTCCTCCGGCCATCCGAGAAATCTGTCGTTTCCACCGATCTGATTGCATCCTCCTCGGCCTCGTCCAAGAGGGGCAACAAATTGTACTCCGTTTTTGACCGGTAATCATAGTGGGAGTCCCTTCTGCGTGGACGGCGGCGATCGTCGCAGTCCTTCTGTGGGCTCGGCTGCCTGCCGCGCCCGTGCGCGGGCTCCTTCGTCCCTGCGCGACACGAACCGCGGCGCCGCGAAGGCTCGGCAGTGTCGGGCGCTGTTGAAGATGCGGTTGCTGGCTGACTACCTCCCCTAGCCCAAACTGTGGCTGATGAATTTCTTCTGCTACCCTGACTAACAATAGTTCCACCCGGCTTGTGAATGTAGGTGCCGTGTTCAGTCGTTGTGGTGGTGTGTCTCGCACGATCGTGGCGTATGTGTCCTCCACCGTGATAAAAGTCATCCTTTGTTCCTTCTGTTGAACTGCGGCGTGCTGCGTTGTCATCTTCGTCGCTGTTGTCCGCGATACTATAGTGCTCTACAGGCTGGCAGCTGTTGCGGCGCGAAGAGGGAAGTGTCCCGAGTGAGCAGCTCGTGCGCCGACTTGTCTGACCTTGTTCCTCGTCGGGTGTGAGGGTTGAGACACTGCTTTCGTTCAGTCCTTTCGCTGCTGCTCCTCTACTAGGGAGAGGTGGAGTGTTGGATGGCAAAAAACCGCTCGAAGATGTCGTCGCTCGTCTTCTCATTTTGCTTGACTTTGGGATTGCGCTCTCCCTATCTGCTATCGCCGTTCCTCTTCTGGCCGCTCCGGAAGAACCACCGGAAGGGCCGGCGGCCAATGGCCTCCTCGCTGATGACGATCGTCCTGCCTCTTGTAATTCGTCTTCTAGCAACAAGCTAAAAGGGTTTATTTTCACTCCGTCTCTTCCTGGGCCGTCTTGTTCCAGTACTAGTGCAGCATCGCCCCAGGATCCGGGTGAAGGCAAGCCCGCCCTGCTCATTTGACTCTGCTGCTCGAGTGTGCGAGCCACCAACAGTGCGGCTTCGGGTAAAGAGAAACGCCGAGTGCCCATGCCTCCATTGCTTCCGTCAAGAGCGCCTCCCTCTTGCTGCGTCAGACTTGCAGCTGTGAGTGCAGAGAGCCTTCTGGCAAGACCGCGCACTGCCACGCTATCACCGGTTGCTGCACCGCCTCCAGGCATCCCACCTAGCGCTGGTGTTCCTGTTGCCGTCGTCTTTTGCGCTAGCACAGCATGGGCATCGCCCTCTTCATCAAGATCACCTATGGCAAGCAAGGCGCCTGCGGCTGAACGCGCAGTAGAACTAGAAGGCAGTTCTGGTCTATGTGCTTGTGCTTCAGGATTATGTTGAGCTGCAGCGTTGTTGCTACCGAACATCGCGGCACCGAAACGGTTCCGCAAGTCTTCGGAGAGGAGCAACGCTACACCGGCTCCGCAGACGGCGGCGGTCAACACGACTAATGCAATCGCACCGCCGCCGACATCACCTAGAAGTTTTCCTGTGCCAACAGTCGCACCTGCCGATCCTCCGCGCGCCGCACCATGCAACATATTGCTGGACGTGTTTGCTCTATCATTCGCGAGAGCAGGCGCTGCGGGCACTGTCGTCGAAAAGCTAGAACTGGAAGGAAAATTCTTCTGACCTATTTTCATTTGCCTGCGCTTAGCTTTCGCCAGCAGCGCCGATATCTCTGCATCAGTGTAGTCTGTACGCCTGGTCGACGTCCTTGTTGACAGCAGTGGACGCTGCTGCGTCGTGTTCAGTGCCCGCGTCAGCCCAGTGCTCGCCCAACTGCCGGCGCTCCGTGTTCCACCACCTGCTCGGCTGGTTGATGTACTAGTCGACGGAACGGCAGCAGCACCAGGTACAAGATTACTTTGCGCATCTGTTGGCGGCTCGTCGCGAGGAAAGCGTGGTGGCGGTGGGAAAACCGGCCATTGACCAAAATCTTCCAGACTGAAGCCTTCCAGTTGTGGATCCTCGCCCTCGTCACTTGTACTCCAGTCGTCGCGGTAGATATGGTCCATATTATCGGCTTTATTGCCGCCGCCGGGGGCTCCCATGGCCGGCAGCATCGACATGTTATCCAAATCCGCCATCCGACCTCCTTCCGTCGACCTAAATAAAGCTTGCTGGTGATGTTGATGGCCCTGCATATTTGTAGGACCTTCATGAAAGTTTATATGCTCTCCTTCGTTCGAGAAGAAACCTGACGGCTGCTGAAATGCCGATGAGGATGCGGCAGATCCTGGCCCGCGTGTTCGCCCCCCACGCGGAGGCCGCCTTGCTCCCTCCTCACCATCATCGTTGTGTGTCACGTTCTGGCTGGAAGATGGCCTTGCCAAAGTAGCATCTCCGTCTTCGCAAGTGCCACGCTGTTTTTGCTGTGATTGGAAACTTATTCCACGTGATGTATGTGTATCTGCAGCGCTGTACTGTTCAATGATCCTCTTTCGCTCCTCTTCCAACGCCAGCAAAGCCTCATGCATTTCCCGCGTCAACTCTGAAGAACCAGCAGCCATCTTGATGTTCCTGTTCTCGTTTTATCTTGCTCTTGATTCTTGTCATGCCCAACAATATCCATGTGCGGAGGACCACGACAGATGGTTCCACATCATGAACTGCACATAAAAACAAAATGGCGAAGTAGTGGGCCTCATTCTTGTTCAATATATTCCTAACCTCTAGTACTTCTTGGAATAGTTTTAAGTACATTAACGTACCTACCCCAGTCAAAAGACCTCAATTCCATACAGCATCCTGGCTGATCCTCTACAAAGCAAGAACTGGATCGCGTCTTTATCGGACTACATGTCGCAATGTCGACGAACAATTCAGAGGATGAATTGATGTTTCCTTGACAACAAAATTTCGACGGGTACCTACATCACTGAGTTTCAGCCGATGAAGTTGCTTTCATCAAGTGGTCTGGCTTCGCCCCGACATAGTAAAAAAGGCCATCTTCGCCTTGGCCTAATACTAGCGAAGCTCTTGTCATCTCAAGAAGGACTTTTGTTTAGAAACCTTTCTAGGAATTCTCTTGTCGTTGTCAGTCTATTTCGCAGATTAAAGATGAAATCGTCCACTTAACAAGAAGATACTTCTTGTATTACTGTTCGAGTTCTTCTAGTATAAGCATGATAACAGAAGTGAAGAATGATGAAGTAGATGGAGATGAAGATGTAAAATAAAAGGGAGTGCAAGTTCTTCACAGCGCGAGACTGGACAAGGCAAATGGTCCTCGCAACTATGCGCTTCCACTAGCATCCATGCAACTAGCGATCGGAACTTGTTGCGCTTGCGTCGTCATCCCTAGTACCTAAAAATAAGAAACTAGTTGGCAAATCGTGCGTCTGCTGGTAAACGATGTTGCTGCACCGAAGATTATTAACTAAGTACACAGAATCGTTGAATGTTCTTACTAGAAGTAGGAAGAGACAAAAAAAGTCCATACCAGTGAAGGCCATCAACATGCTCCTCTGAGGTGTCGATTATCCGCGTTATCAAGGTCATCTGTGTCATCTGTGTCAAACTTGTCGAACGCAGTACAATCTATTTTTACAATATCAAAGATTTCATGATCTTCTTTGTTGTCACTATGACTTCTACGTAAAACATTGATGTAGTAGAGAATACAGGAAAATGAAAAGTAGTTGACAAAATGTCCACGGTTCTTGCAGATGATACTTATATATAACTCATCTACTTCTAGTTACACACGAACAAGCTTTTGCCTCCTCGTCACAAGCCGTAGTGTAAGTACTCTTTTGCGTCAACGAGGTCTCTATCTGAAAAGAGACCACCTGGTTGCGAACGTGTTTAGAAGAGCTCAGTCAAATCCATCTTGAGACCCAGACTACTCATTATATTGGAGCACAGCTGTTTTGTTCTCGTCCACCTCGTTGTGGAACAGTTACAACTAGTACACAATCACAATCATGCTTCATCGAAACAAGATGGATTAATACGGTCGTACAGCAAGAAAGTCTTAACTTGTTCCTCCTGGCCCAGCTGCTACGTGCTTTCTTGCGAGACACTTCCAGACCGTAAGATGTCTCCGCGCGATGTATACTGCCCTTGCCGCGTTGCTCAAAACAACAGTGGACGACGCGTGGCTTTCCTGCGAGACACGATTTCGATTGGTTCCCTTATTCTTCCCATCAAAAAGAAGGGGTGCGTCTCCGCCAGATTCGTCTGAGTCCTCCAGCATCGCGGCTTCTTTTCGAGCCCTTCCTTAGAGCGACTCATTTTGTTGTTGTAGAAGCTTTACTTTCTTCTTTTCATCATCTGTAGTCTCAGTGCGTCGTCTCATACCATACTTCTAGAAATTTCTTTTTACTAATATCGGCGTTGTTTTACATCTTCGTTTTGATCGTCTTGCTTGCAGTATATTTGGTATTGGTTTTCGACTCTTTTTCTTCATCTATTTTGAGTCTGAGCATTCCTATTCCCTCGGCTCAGATATCAAAATTAAAAATTGGTATTCCACCTCTACTAGTGGCCGTAAGCTTCCTCACGCTGCTCGTCTGCGAAGTCATCTCCACCAGCACTCTGGCCGAACGCAAGCAGTGCGGGAAACATCACGTGTTCGATCAGCATGGCCATTTCACTCGCATAGAGAGCGTAGACTAAACGCGGAATTATCACTTTTGAAGATGTATTGATGTTTCCAGCACCAGTACCCCCGATTCCATTTGGAGGTGGACTTGTAGTCACTTTGGCATGATTCATCGTGGCGGCCATCATCATGGGGCTGTCGGTCGGGCTAGCAGAGGGAATAAAGGTCGCATTTGATACTGCGGCTCCCGGTGTAATTGGTTGCGGCACATCACCATCAAGTGTAATCGGTTGTTGGAGACTCACCTCTGGGTGTTTTGTTGAAGGAGCTCCTCGTCCTCGTCCGAGAACGGTAGAGCTGGACGAGGAGCTGATCGGATGCAACAACACTGTTCGCACATCAGCACGGCTGATTGCGAAGACCTGCTCATCAAGCTGTATATTCACGGCTGTCGAAAGCTGTGACGCAACGGAAGCGAGCGAAGCGTTGGGCTGCAGAAAAGCCGCGGGACTACTCAATATCTGCGAAGATTGTGGGTCCAATTGTAACAGGTCATGGGGGCGCAGCAATACCCCCAGGTCCATGAGTACGTCAGCGGAGCCTCCACCCAGCAGGTGGCTGCCGCCTGTGGTCCTGTCGCTCGCGCCTGACACATGATGGCCAGTACGTCCTCCCGCGGCACCAGTATTGAACGCGGAAGCTCCACTTGCCGATCCGGTGTAGTTGGAAGACCCACAGGTGGTGCTCGCGTGGTCATAGTTGCGCAGGAAGAAGCGCCGTGCGTGCCGTTCGTGGGAGTGAAAGCGTGTAGGAACGAAGAGCCAAGCGTGTCGTGAAAGCCGAAAAGCCTGACGGACTTGCGCGTAGAGGGACCCGCCGTCTCGTGACTCCAGGCGTAAGGTGTCTGTAAAGTGCGTCCGTCCGTCTCCACACGCAAATCGCAGGTCGCGGACAAGAACACGTAATGCCCATAAGCCCTGCGCCGTCATAGGCGCAATTACCTGTGGTGAAAGCTGCAGCTGGAGTGTACCAGATACCGCTTGTTCTCCACCTGTGGGGATACGCATGATACCCGTTCCTGCCGTCACCGGACTGTCCCGTGGCGAGGGGGGTGGTTGACCCGCGGATTCCGGGCTTATCTGCTCACCGCCAATGGGGCCCCCTCCGGCCTCCTTACTTCTGCCTCGCAACGTCGTCGCCACCGCTTCGGCGCCCGCTGAACCCAGACGCAAAAACTGTCCAAAGCGCCCTGCTCCAGTGCGACCTGCGGGGGATGCCACCGAAGTTTCCCGGCTTCTCAACCGGCTCATGGCTTCACCTGCGGCGTCGGCTTCGCCGAGGAAATCTGCGTCACAGGATTCGTCAGCAACAGCTGCACCAGGTGCAAATGTGCCAGGCTCAACTGCTGCGCCTCCTGGAGAGTTTGCCGAAGGCCCTCCGACCCTGCCTGCCATACGCATACCAGTCATTCCGAGTCCTTGCGGACTAAACGCTGCGGCCAATTGCTTGTCTAGTTCGCGCGGCAATGGTGCTTCATCTGTTCCGCAGAGGGCCGAAACCAGAATGCTGAGGCGCGTGAGGTCGGACATGCGAAGCCAGAGGCCTCCGCTGTGTGTGAGCGATACCGTTGCGCAAAAATGCGTGAGCCTCTGGACAGTCGTCTCCGTGATGTGCCTGTACAGTGCCGCACCGGCAATGCTCCGTGAAAGTAAAGAAGCCTGCAACAGTTGTACTTGCGCTGCCATGACGACCTGGTGAAGAAACTGTGCCCATGCAGCCTTCTTATTCTTATCCGCGCCCCCGATACTCGCTGCCGCTACTCCCGGCAACAGGAGAAAGGCGCCGCCACCTGGTGAGAGCACTCCTGCGCCGCGAGATCCTCCGGAAACGTGTCGGTCTAGCATCACCGCCGATGTCCAGAAGTAGTCGCAGACCTCGGCTAAAGAGTTGATGGTGTTCATCAGCGCTGAGCAGACTTGCGGAGAAAAGCTTGCCGCAATCAAGCGCATGTGATAGGTCTCCAACAGAGATGATTCCATATCGCGATGCACGCCAGCACCACTGGTTCCACGACTCTGCGCGCGTGCACTGGGGGAGCCCACAATGTTGCCCGCCTGCGAAACTGCAGTCGGAAGAAGAAGCGGACTGCTTCCTCGAGGAGTAGCATCTGGAACCTGCTCGCGCGCAGTCACGCCGTCTGGGCCGTCAGAGCCAAACGCAGCTGCGTCGAGGATCTCGAAAAAGCGCCATAGCTGGGACGGAAAGACAGAAGCGAACCCCTGGTGCGTTGACAATGAAGTGCGGCTGTCCCATAACACGAGGCCCTCTACAATCGACCCCATCCGCTCCAGCAGGCTTTCCGTTTCCGGCGGCAGAATAACTGCGGCGGCAACGTTTTCCGATTCGCTCACGAGGAGAGACGCAGGTATCTGGTTCACGGGATCTGGATCAAAGAGTCGACAAAGGGATAGAGGATTCGCGATGCGCACGGAACTGAAACATGATGCCGAGGCGCCCAGTGCTTCGGAGAAAGAACCTTCACCCCGGTCGCTGCCTCTCGTTAGTTCTTGCGGCGTTGCGCGACTTACGGCGCCCTGCTTACTAGGACTTCTGTCTGGTGAACCAGGAAGGGGCTGCTCCGTTCGTATGGGGTTTGGCGCCGGCGACGGGGTCGCTGCAGTGGGCAATTGCTCCGCCAAAAGGTCCACGTCTTTCGCAATCAGAGATGCTGAATCGAACTCCACCTCGACCAAGGATCCATCGTGCTTCTCCAAGGCACTTGCAAAGTCGCGCAATTTTGAAAGCGAGTTGTGCAGCAGGCGCTGCCACATGGGGAACTGGTGCAGCACCTGCAAAATCATGTTGAAATCTTGCAAATGATGCGCCACGTCCCCCAGCGTCTGCATCCACGCTTCCACCTTTCGGACCACGCGAACGTCGGCCAGCGAGTCTGACAACGACGTTTGGAACTGCGACTTGCGTTTTTCGTGCGTCAATCGTTGCAGCTTCTGCATCATATCGCGGCTCATCAACTGCTCCGCAAATCGTCTCCGCTGGTGCAAGTCCCTAATCGTGAGTCCCGCAAGCAGAGCGAGACCCATGCAAAAAAGTTGGGCGGTTCGATAAAGAGTGGTTCCTTCGCGGACATCGGCTAGCTCCGAGGAAGTAGTGGATACACCAGCGACACCTCTCGCGGAGGACGCGGTCGACGAAGATCCTATTGGTTCGAAAGCCAGATTGACGACCACGTAGGCGGGACACGTGAGCAGGAGCAGCAAACCAAAGTATAAGGGCGAGATGGGAACGCCGCTTGCTAGGCAAATGAGAGCAATGCCGTGAACTCCGATGCCCGTCTGCTGCGCGGGAATATCCCAACTATCCCTGTCGTCACGCAGAAGGAGGTGATCGCGCAAGATTTCATAACTGAAGCTTGTGTGGATAAGAAACAATGATCCGCAGACAAGGAAAAAGAAGTCGCCGTAGTATTCGGGAAAACGTGCTTTGTGTCTTTGGTGAGCACCCTTCTGACTGCCTGCACTTACGGTTAGACCCATGGTCAGGGAGCGCTTCGTAGGGAACCTAGACACGACTTTCTTGATTCCGTGACTAGTTCCGGAAGCTTTCTGCATTGCATTCTTGGAATCTGCGCAACTGCAGAGAAAGTTCACCGGACACATGAGGAGGCGCAGGCACCCACTAAAAAGGCTGTCGTGCCCGCCCCACCGTACCCCACCGAGCATGCGCTCCACGTAGAAGGTGAAAATACTGCAGATGAGGAGGTAGCAACTCACGTAGAACAGAACGACGCGCAACGGCAGATCGTGGATTACGCACGCGGTTCCGACGGCGCAGCCGTACAACGTCCAAAGCACAGCCACGCATCCTCGATGGTGTTTGCGCAATGTGCGAAACGAGAACGCGAGATACTCTCGTTCCACATGCGGCACGAAACGCACAAAAACCTGCAAGCGCCGCCGTGCGTACTGCCACCAGAGGGCGCAGCGTCCCGAGCAGCTTCCTGCTAGTTGTAGGTTCGCGAGCTGCGTTTGCAAAAATGCCGCGCTGACGCCCCCGCCAGCGCCCCCTTGGTTGTAGTGCTGTAAGTCCAGCCGAGCTGCAGCTAGCGTACTGACGTTGTGCAAAAGCTGGCCGCTTGTCGTTGGCTTCGGTGACCGGTCGATGAAAATATACTGCAGCCAACTGTCGTGGGGCCAGTCCATCAACAAAGATACTGGAAGGCCGCGCCGAAGCTCTCCAGCTTTTCCTGTTCCGGATCCGCTTTTACCTCCTGCTTCGGCGTCGTCCTGACCCGCGACATCATCCATTATTACGTATTGTGAGGCACGCTTAGCAGGCATACTCATAATTGCGGCATCATCCGGATCCGCTTCAACACGAACCGAATTACAACCAACGCCAGCGGTAGATGATAATCCATTATTCTTTCTCATGCCAGGTCCTCCCCTAGACTCCGCGGTGCTTTCAGGATCGTCGATCCCTATGTAATCACCACCTGCCGACCGGGAACTTCCTCCAGAAACGACCTCGGTATCTTCCATTCTTGCTTCCCCTTCTGCATCTCCTTGTCGTCTCCTTTTTCTCCGTCTCGTGTCGTCGCCATCTTCGGGTAAAGTAACAGTCAGACTTGCACGCGGGCGTCCCGCGCCGCCAGCTCCGCCTGGCGTGCCTCCTGCTTGATCGGTATCTTCCGCTCCTCCCGCAGACGAGGCGGATTTTGCCCCAGTGCGCAGGATACCACTGCTTCCAGTAGGCGAGTCCGGTTTTGCCACAGGGCTCTGTTGACGGCTCCGAGTCCGCCCTCCGCCGAAAATAAAAGAGAAGAATCTTCCTACAACCGACTTTGTCCCGCTTTTGACACTGGTCGGGACCGCTCCTGCTCTCTCAGTGTTTTTAACCGTATTTAGAAGCAGGTGGACAAAGAATCCTTCCGCTTGTATTTTTTCAGATTCACCGCATATTAATGTGGAGCTGATCATTCAACAACTTCTCGACTACCCTGTCTTGAGACAAAATGAAGTGGAAGTGCATGTAGCAATGCCGCCCAACAAGCACATATCGGTGCGGCTTGGTCTTCTACATACCTAGATCTTCTTCTATCTACTATCGTAGTAGTAAGTCCATCTACTTCTAGTTCTAGTACCTCTATGATCTACAAATATCGTTGTGGGTGTGGGAGCCTTAAATCTTGGTCTTCAGAAATCAGATTCGTGCCAGAACCTGAAGTCATAATCGAAGCAACCAGGCGCTTGCGATTGCTTTTGAACATTTGCGACACGCGGTTTCCGATCTTTGGGATTTGCGTTGGGGCCGCGAACATCACGCTCGTCATCGATGCGCCGCCGTAGCCCGCAGCGCCGCTCATCAAGTCGTCAAGTTGTAAAAGCTCTTCAGGCTGAAAGTAGCGCCATGCCAGGATCTCTTCTGCCCTTGCTCGCTTGTGAGGCTCCTTCTGCAAGCAGACATTGAGCAGTCGCCGCACTGGTTCGGACAGTACGCTCGATGAGGCCGCCCCTGACTGAAGAGTTCCTGCCGAGGCCCCGCCCGGAATCAATAGTTCCTTCGAGGCCGCGGCTGCATTCATACCAGGAAGGCCACCTCCCGCATAGGTGCCCTCGTGCTCCACGATCACGCTGGTGCCCGCAGCTCCCACGCCCAATTCGAGACTCCCCACGTCCTCGATCGCGGCGAAAATCTCCTCCAGTTTCCACGGCATGAGGCAGAGTCTGGCATAGGCAAACATCGGATTATCTATCTTCAACAATTTCCACAGATTTTTCGCCGTGAGCATTTCGACCACGCAACAACCAATCGACCACACATCCGATTCGAATGTGGCGCCTCCTTCCGCCAGCTGCTCGGGGGACCAGATAATCGGCGTCCCGATGTGAACGATCTCCTCTTTGGTCACGCCAGTTGCTCCTGCAGCACCAGCAGTGGTGGAGAGTGCGGCCTGCCTTTTCGGCAACGCCTTGATACTAGCTCCAAAGTCTGCAATTTTGACACCGCCTTCGATATCCAGAAGGATGTTCCCTGTCTTCAAATCGCAGTGCACAACGCGCTTGCTATGAAGGTAAGAAATCCCCTCCAAAATCTGTCGCGTGTAGCTCTGCAGCACCGTCTCTTGGATCGGTCCAAACTCCTCCAGCTGCGACTTGAGGCACCCACCCGACACGTATTCCATGTATATGTGGAGAAATCGCTTATCGATCATAACCGGGGCTGCAACAGAGGACGAGACAGCGCCAGCGGAGACCGGAGACGATGATGTATTAACAAGGTCCCCTGGCGATGCCGAAGTGGCTGCTGCACCACATGAGCGGGCGGGATTTGAATCATCGCCGGCCTGTTGTTCTGAAGAACTTTGCGCCGGAGCCGGTGTTCGTACCGTAGTGGTGCTTGCCCCGAGGTAGGCCACGATGCGGTGATGGGCTAGAGATTTCAACAGTGCCAACTCCTCGAAAATCTTTTTCGTGATCTCCTCTTCTTTATCCTGAATGAACTCCTCGTAATTGGTAGTGGTGTTTTCATTGTCCTCTGTCTTGTCGGCCTTAGCAGTTTCGTGGTCTTGCTCTGCTAATTTTTGTCCCGACGATTGGCCATAGCTCGCCTTTGTGTTGACAGTACTAGTGTCGACTTTGTCGACTTTTGCATCAACTGCCAAATTCCGCTCTTCTACTCGGCCAGGCATGCCCGTACTAGGACTCGGAAGCGCAACATCTTCTTGTACAGGAACCTTCACGTCGACTTCATCTTCTTCTGACGGTGGTGAAGGTCCGCCGCCAACATCGGATGCCAAGGAATCCTTGCTAGCACCTCCTGCACGGACATCTTTCTTTCGTTTCTTTTTCGCTTTTCGACTAGAGGCTTTAGAGAAAACAGAAGAAGGAAGAGCAAGAGTTCCTGCTGCTAGCGCTGCGTATTTACTCAGGCCGAACTCTAAAAAGTACTGTACTTCTTTAACAAATTTTTTCTATTCCATTCTTATATCATGATCATGAATGGACTAGCCTAGCGATCAGCAAGAAGACCATTTCGTTTCTATAAACATGGTGATGGTCAACAAGGTCAACAATGACAAAAAGTCTACTTCTTCTTCTGAGAGTCACCAGATATATTTTTCTTAACACCTAGTCCAGATCGCAGCGCAGGCAAAAGAATTTCCTTCACGGCAATCAGCTTGCCGCTCGTCCCATCTCGACCAACGTAGACAGTGCCAAAGCTCCCGTGGCCTATTTCTTTCCCAAGTTTCACGTCTTGCGGTTTTACATCTGCGTTGCCCGTCAGTGCACGGACAACCCGCGCCTGCAGTTGTCGTCCCCCGCCTCCGGAGTATCCCGAAATGAAAACAAGACCAATAGCGACGTTGGTTCTTCTGGTTCATTTCATCTTGTTCTACAAGAAGTGCATCAAATAGTACTACAATGACGAAGAACTCTACTATTCATTGCACTTTTTTTCATACTTCTTCATCTTCTTCGCACTCCTACTTTCGTGATTATGCCGAACGCAATGCATTTTTACATGTAAGTAATTCCATTGTCTTCCATAACTGATGGACTTCCTAGGCCACGGGACGCAGTTCCACCTCGGGTAGGCGATCCTCGTCGATCACGTCTCGAGGCAGGACTGCTAGTACCAGTCCTGCCAAATTTATAAAGAGCACAAACTTTAACTCATACTCGTATAATTCTAAGCAGGGTAATTAAACTTATAGATACATAGTATCGTTTTATGCTTTACTTTTAGGCAGAAGTTCAATAAGTACCTCAGCCTAATCCAACATAGATTCTGCCTCAGAATCCTTGAGTATGAGAAAGCGAAAGGATGTGCCTGTCATAAATTTCCCCTCTTTGATACTTGGAACCGCCTCCAGTTGAAGGCGACAGCATATTCGTCTGAGCCCGAGGGACTATGTCAATCATAGGTATATTTTCCAGTCTTACTGAAAAATGCTCTCAAACTGAAAATTGTGATTCAATTCTTGGATGTCGCTGCATCTACTCAGTACTCTTAGTCGTGATTATTTTAGCGGAAGTAGTCCTAGTGATTTTAGATGTCGCTGCATCTACTCAGTACTCTTAGTCGTGATTTTAGAGGAAGTAGTCCTAGTGACTCATTTTAGCGGAAGTAGTACTAGAAGCAGTTGTTGATCTACTTTTTATGAGCATGAGGTGGTACAACGAAAAAGAAGACAGATTACTCATGAATCTTCTGGAGACAACAAGAGAAAGAAAGTGGAATAAACAATGAGAAGACTGCAGGTGCAGCCAGTGTCTATGTCGATCCGATTTTGAAGAAACCTAAATAGGGAGACCGATGAGTAGTCTTGTTCTGCTGGTCTTCAACTCTCATCTCAGAATCCTGACTTGTACGGCATCTCCTTTGAAGAGCCACTACATGGGACGTGGGTTCCAGTTCTTGCATTAAGAATAAAAGTAAGAACCATTGTTAAATCAATATATCTCTCGCGCTTCTCCTCCTGTACTAGTATGAAGAGCCTTCTTGCTTGTTGTGTTCATCGCAGCAATTCTATTTGGCACATCTCACTGCCACAAACTTCTGTTCGTGCCTTTCGGTGTTCCGGTAGCGTCCTCAGGTAAGAACTCATACATTGGATCAAGCCCATGCAAATAATTCGCCTATCTCTCAAGGGGCATCTTCCTCGTCCCCAAAGCTTGTCGCCTGGCAATGAACGAAAAAGCATGTACTTTATTGGCATAAAAATCAATGATGACAATACGCGAAGAGGTCAAATTCATTTTTAAGAACAAAATAGATACAATCAGAATTTGATGAGCTAAAGACGGGAGTCCGAATACCAATGCGCACCAATGGAAATTAGAAATATATATTATAAGAACCTGCACGACGTGCCCGGCCGCATCATCTTCGCGTTCGCCTTGAAATGTTTACAAATTATCACGTTTGAGATTTCAAGTCGAGGATACTGTTGACTGTGAAGATAAATTTCAGGTAAATAAAAGTAAGTAGCTAGAAGTTGTAAGTAAGTAGAGTTGTGTGAAGCGCTAGAGTTCTATAGCAAAAGTACAAAGAGCCAAGCAAGCGGGACTTCTATCTCCGTGTCTCCGGGAATAAGTAACTACTACGAGATTCTACCACGAATACTATTAATTGGTGCTTGCATCTAAGACATCTGTAATCTTGCCGTGGCATGACTAGGACGTGAAGCGACAGCGACTCGAAGGCTGCGCAGATGTGTCAACAAGCAGAGGCTACAGTTCCTCGCGTAAGGCATGCTCATCAAGCCCGGCATGTTCTTCATCTTCAGCATAATCGTCGTGTTGATGTTCATAAGCAACATCGTCTTTGACGGCCAAAATATCTGCTGTCTTGGCGGCATAGTACTGCGCGCGCTTCATGTGCTTGTACACGATGCGGTATCCAAATTCGGCCAATGTCTCCGTGATTTCCCGTACGCAATCTTTGCGCTTGTTAATCGTGCACCAGGCAACAATATGCAAGTGCAGCCACCGGACCTGATATAATTTCTGTCCTGAAAAAGATTAGAAGATGAAGGGAGAAGCTGCTTCTCGAACCTGTTTTTTTCGGGACGTTAGCGTTTCTCGCGAACTTGTTACTTAGGATCCTCATCGAAATTCATCACGATCTTCTAAACAATGACTTATAGCACGTAGAGAACCTTATCCTTAAGATGATTCGCCAGGCTGCTCGCTTCCTGTTCTAATATTTCCGGAATGAAAGGCTGGGCCTGCCAAACTCTGCCGCATACCGCGCACAACATCATCGTCCGTTCCCGAGACTTTCATTCGAATTGCGACAGTGGCTGGCCTTCTCCTTCTACGAAAGCCTGCTCTCGTGAATGCTTCCTCTTGCTCTCGTACTTGGGTTGCGAAAAAGTCTGAAAGCAATCTATCCACCGTAGTAAAGTGCGTACACGACGAAGCCGCGGAGGAGTGAGAGTCATCAACGCCTGGGCCTGCACTCTCTCCAACAGATCCAGATGCACCACGCTCTTCTACTTGTTGTGGTAACTCTACTTTATCGTCGCAAGGCACCCACTGCGCTGCAGTCAGGGCATTCGGACCAGTTGCTGTCACACCAGCTTTATCGGCACGACGGAACCAGCCTACTTCATCTGCCACGAAGTGCGATGCACAGTGCAAAATGTACGCTTCGCTTTCCACTGTCTGCCATTTGCTTAGATATTCAGCCTCAATGTCGATAAGATGTTGATGGTCTTGCTCTCTCTGTTTGCTTCGCAGTCCACCACGTTGTGCTGATCCTCGTCCCTCGTCTATTTTTACAATTCCGTTTTCTGATGTTGTAGCCACGCCGCCACTTACGTGGAGGAGGCCTTGGTGCTGTAGTTTTGCTGCCTCTCGATCGGCCTCCCTGGTACGCAGCTCTAGGATCTTGTCTTCGTCAAAACCCAAATGTACGTCGCGCATTCTCTTTTCGTCCCGCAAAGCCGCATGCGTACGCTGTTGCGCGCGGATCGCAGTGTCGCTTCCGTCTATATTGAAAGCCCCGCGCCTTGCCAAACGCAGATACCCCGCCGCAACAACGCAGTCCCCGAAGTATCCACCTATTTCCACAAAAAAGTCCACAGGATATCTTTGAAGTGCCTCCACCACTGCCTCTGGGCAGTCCACAGCATGCAGTTTTCGTACGTGGTCCGCGATGATGTCTCGTTCCGATATTAAGTAAAAAACCGGGATCCGTGGGAACGTCGACGCCTTAGAGGAGGACAGGGACATAAAATTCTTTTTACCCAAAGAAAGTCACCAGCTGCGTCCTCGCACTCCTACTTTCCGGAGCGACGTTTCGCTACAAGAAGGCCATTGCTACAAGGAAGAAGGTCATTTTAGAGCTACCGCGTCGCATCCTTGAGTCCATCCCTGAGCCCTTTTTCCCCTTGAAAAAGAAGCCAGGGATGGTGCTGAGAATGCTTCAGCGGTAGCCTTAATCATTAGGGACTTAGACGCAAACGCATTGCACCTGCAGAAGAAGCTGGCCCAGGCATCATGAATTCATCTTATATATAAAAGTCTTTGTGACCGTGATGAACTAGCATAATGCTTACTCTCGCGTGCAGCGACTGCGTCAAGTTATGCGCGAGCACTTTAATATTCTGGACGCGATCAGCACGCAAAACGTTATCCAAAAAAGCAAAGAGGGGAGTCTCCGACAGAACACCGAGGCGCGTCATTTCCATCAATGAAGTTCCAACACGATGTTTCTTGTCCTTACCAGCTTCGTGATGATCTTCCACCGCAAGTATTTGTGCCAGAGACTCTAGCTCGTGTGGCGCTGGCTGCGTTTTGTTTGCGCTCAGTTCATAGAGTCGATCATTCACCAAGGAATCTCCACCAAGTATCAATACCTCGAACAAGCGCAGTATGGCATCATGCGGAGCAACCTCAGGACGCAGAACCCATGGCAATTCGCCGCCATCCGCATGCTTCTGGGACATGGTTTTCCAATCCCAAACCATCCGTATGAAGTAAGCTGCGACATACACGGCACGACGCCGCAATATATCTACATCTTCGAGATGGAATCGTGGTGATTGTCCGCCCCCGTCCTCCACTTGTACAACTACCTGTCCGTGATCAGTTCTTGTGCCCGCACTTGAGTCCACATGATCTAGATCCGGACTACACGATCCCTTCTCGTCTACTGATTAGAAGCAAGAGCTAAACAAGAATCCGCCACCTTCGTGTGGCACATCATTTTTCTCACGTTTTTTCACTTCTTGAAAAACCCGTCCAAGATAAAGATTGCTGCTTTCATCCTCATGATGATCGATGAGTTGTTACGAACAAAATGCAATCCATAAGCGTCAGCTGTTGAGTCCTCCATGTGGTCCTTGAAGTAGATCTGCATCTGGCCCTCGTCAAGAAAAACTTCACAGGCTTGTCGAACGAAGACGGGATCAAAGGTACGACGCAACAGCTTCCAGAAGTCTGCTCTCGTCATTCCTGGTGGACTTCTTAAGAGCGGGAACCGTCCACGAAACGAAGCCCACATAGTTGCCTTCTCCTGAAAATAAACGACATGATCGCGATCTTCCTTCATCTCGTAAAGCTTCATCTTTTCTACGTCTACTTCACCTCGTTCTTTATTAACTGGCGAGGAGGATGAATCCAGAAGAAAACAACATCTCTCCACGTGATAACTGATATTTTTCACCTCGTGTTCTTGCTCCATTGTAGCTCTAAGTGTGTCACCACTTGATGGGATTCTACTTTCCCGGGCTAGCTTAGAACTCACTACAATCCTTTTTTTCCCTCATCCGCCTCCGTTTTTCTTCTTGAAAACAGCGCACAGATGGGCTAAAAGATGGATTAAATAAGGCCGTAACTAGCGTGTTTTCGAGAAAAGGATTCTCGCTAGAGCAGCTTTCGTACGTGAGAAAGCGCGCCTGTCGTAGCAGCTCTTTTTTTTCTCGCATGTCCACCTCAGTTTCGTCCGGTCTTGCCTTTAATTGTGCCCATGTTGGCGTATCCACAAACTCCGCCCATGTTTTAAAGGTGCAGGCTGGCAGAAGTAAGTAAAAAATCATCTATATCCGTTATGCTGTGAGGCTGAGTGGATTCATCCCTGTCTCCCCCTTAAACTTCCCGTAAAATAATCAGAGAAGATCCGCTCAGCATGCCGACTCGCTTACAGGAGATAGTGTTACAACTGAGTTGTGATGAGCTTCATCTAGTACATGCATACTGCCCTTAAATGTTACAGCTTCCGCGGGAGCGCTGGAATTCACTTCCCACTGCGACTGTCCGGGTGGTACGTAAAGTCGGTCCTTACGCGGTCTCCCAGATTGCTCCATTCATGAAACGAAGTTGACGATGTAGAACTAGAAGTTGTGTCAGCCAACATTCAATTTCAATTTTTCGATCTCGCTGCTCAAGGCTTCTAACTACAAATCAAGTCTAAGTCAAAAAGACTGAACAAAGCAAAGTCCACACAAAGAGTATGAAAAGCTAACTTTTGATTGTCCTTAAACTTAAATTTACTCAAGTGAAAAACTCATTAACTAAAATGAATTGCAACATACATACGCTTCCCGTCGCTGCTGCTCAACCTTTTCTTGTTTGCGGAGAACTTCTGCTGGGGAGACGCCTAAAATACCCGACAGCAGGCATCGTCGGAAGTTTTGTTGGCGTCGGCGTTTCGAGTAGTGAGCCATTACAGCCAGAAGGGTCTTCAACAATAACGGAGAGAGCCCTCGCTGTTGCGTAAATTGGGGAACCGGCGGGTTTCCTTCGTTTCCAGCCCGTGTTCCAGGTGGAAATAGCATGAAGTACTGCCCATGATGATGGTAGAACATCCGTCCAAAGTGCGGAAAAAGCCTTGAGGCTGGTGGAAGACGCATGCCTATGGCATCATTCGCAATATTATCTTAGAGGCAGGATTTTGGTGCCCATGATTCCCGTTTGTTCTGCCTTTCTCCCTCAGAAGAGGCAAAAGAAAACAAACGGCAACAAGAACGCCTTTAGCCTACCCTTCTTAATTATCTTCGTCCTCGACGCCTCCACTTTTCTTGCGAGGAGCATTTCTCGATAAAGATGCACCATTCGCAAGAAGCAGAATCCTGCGAAGCACAGTGTCAATGCGACGCAATACCACACCCTCGTCGAGGTATCGCATACCACGATCGCGCGCTGCCTCGTACATCCCATGGCCTAGAATTAGAAGACAGGAGGTCGCTGGCAACATCAAGAATAGCAGAAGACTAGAGAGTCAAACAAGTACTACATCTGCATCATCCAGAAAGCATGTGTTTGGAGGAGATTACTCTATCAAGATCACCCGAGGACTCGAGCCAGAAAATAATTAACCGTTGTAGTTACTTCTGGTCCTCGTGCTCGTCGTGATGCTCGGAGTCATAAGTTGCATCCATATCAAAAATATGAGCGGCAGCGTTTTTCCGAAGAGAAGCAACACTGCCTCGATCATGTTCCAGCAGACGCCATCGGCTAGCATTGCCATGTGTGCGCCTCTATAAAAAAGGTAGTTTCTTCCATTCGTTCGTACCAGACCATCTTACTTTATCACATGTACATCAAAGTCAAACCACCTTGCATATCGAATACATCATTTTATTTCAAAGTGATGTTTTACATTTCCAAGTGCTGGAGCTGGAAGTATTACAGGAGGCAGATTAGATAGCAATGGCGAATAGGGAAAGCCAAAGCGGAAAACGAAAATGTTGGTGATGTTGGTCCTCGTCGGCGTCGGGTATACATGTTCCAGGGTTCAGGGTAGCGCCCCCCCCCGAGCGCGGCGGGGGCATGGATCCCCGGGCCCCTTTTGGAGGCGTCTGCCGGGGGTGGAAGGCTTCCAAAGGGGCTCAAGGGGTCTCCTCCGCTCCCTTCCAGCTGCCTGCATGTCCTATGTGCTAACCCCTCGACGCAGCAGTGTGCCGGGTGTGGAAGGCCTCCGAAGGCCGCAAAAAGCGCAAGACTGGACCCCCTGAGCCGTGTGGCCTGTACCCTCCGGGCCCTTGGTCATCGGCCTGCTGGCTCTTGCCGCGCATTTGATAAGGGCAACCCAGCAAAAGGGCCAGGCCTCGAAACACTCGCCGCCTTCGGCGGCCTTCTACCCCCGGAGACCTCTGGCCGGCAAGGGTCGGCAGAGGCCAGGGCGTCTGTTGGGAACATGCAGAGAAGCGCAAGGGGGCGCCCGCTCCCAGTTTTGACGCCTTCCACCACGAGAATCCGCGAAAAGCAGCGCGGAAAAGAGTGCGCAAGCGCCACCCCAGGGCCTTCCACAGGAGCAGGGGCCGTTCGTCCCCGTCTCATGAATAAAAAATGGAAAAAACTACAACAATATCTAGATTAACAATATCCAGCATAATCTAAACCCAAGCCGCCACGTCTCAAGTCACTGTCGCGACTTCGCGGATCAGCCGGACTGAGCAGGCTCTTACGCTCCGACTGCGCTAGGTCCATGGCGAGCAGTTCCATCATGTTCGGTGCTTGCATGTTTGTCCAAGCTGTGAGGGGCGACAAGCGCTTCAAATGCTGGACGAATTCTAGCCTCCAGTCTGCCGCAAGTGAATCCTTCTCATCTGTGTCTAGATCACGATGCCACACTACTTGCTCGACAAACTGAGGACGAGAAGAGGAGGAGACTTGTCTCTCAGTTTTAGAGCCAGCATCTATCCATCTCGGAGGTCCACTCATCTCGAAACCTTTGTTTCCCATGAACAAATACAAGGGAACAAAAGAGTACCGAGATGTTGAGAAAGATGGATAAAGCTGACCTTAGCAGTTGCTCCCGCTCCTGCTACATCAGCTTCTCTTCCACCTTCATTTTCATTCGGAAAAGCGGGCGCGTCGTCACCATCAAAGTTTTGTCCGCCACAGACGACATTCGAAATATCGTTCACCTCACCCGTTTCTGTCACATACGTATTTTCCCGCTGATATATCGTCCTTTTCGTGTCCTTTCTGCTGTTTTCTGTCTCACCGGATTCTTCCTTTTCCTTAGCTGCATTGCCAGCTTCTTCTTTTTCGCCATCAATATGGATGGCGTTTTTTCCATCTAGCCAGACCATCGAGGCTACCCTTTTCCCCCTAAAAACGTCTAGCCTATGGGGGAGCCGCGATGGTCGTACTAAGAATGGAATTAACATCATCCATAATCAACACTCAGGGCTAATGGCTCCTGCGTGTCCAAAGCACACCGCATATATTCATCTCTGTCGACCATTTCCCCACGTTGCAGGCGATCTTCTAGCTGCAGGCGTCGCTTAATCGCTTTTGCTCGTGTTGGAGACAAGTAAGTACCCAGAAGCCATCTTTTCTTGAGACATATTTTCATTCTTGTTTTACTTTTATATAAATTAATACTTCGCGGTTTTCAAGAGGAACTAAAGAGAAAGAGAAACCGCCTAAAAGTAGATGGCGTAATAAAGACGGATTGACATCACTACGCTTAATCGTGTCAACTGTCGACGCATCATCTCGCGGTAGAACGCACCCGAATCACTATGCAGCAAATTCGTCCACCGTCGCATTAGGGTAAAGTCGTCTTCCGGCTCCACACGCCCAGTCATCACGTACAGATAGTCGGGGTCATCCCTGTGTATCAAGTTTGGACTCTCAATTTTTAATTTTGATTCAGCCAGTAAATTTTTAAATCTATCATGACTTCTAATTAGCTATGATACCGTTTATTTCGTGTTTCGTCGTCCTCGAGCTTAATCATACATAACAGTTGTATCAGAGGACATCAATGACTATCATGATAAACAAGAATTAGTGTACTTCCACAGTTCCTCTGGAGAGAGCTCTGGATCGCCGTATATGCCTGAGCCCATGACCATGTCCTGAAAGAGGACATCCTCAAAATTGAGGTACGAGTACAAAGGTCTTTCTGCCAGCATGTGCGCCAAGGATTCGCAATTGAAATTCTTGCCGTGCCACTGCTCCGCAATGGCTGGCGGGTCATAGCCGGCAGCCAGTGCATAAACTTGCTTTGCGCGGGAGAGCAGGACGCACCAGGTAGAAACAAGCAACAAGACGAGGAACAACATTGAGGATTCTCCATGCGTTCGCATCGTTTTTTTTGTCACTTGTCGTGATGTCAAGAACATAATCTTACAAATCGTTCGCGTTTTAGCAGCAAGCACGACTACGTTATCTTCAATCAGGCTCCTGCTAAAAATATGAAGAAAAAAACTGCATTCGCTTGCAAAAAATGAAAAATCGGACGGAACGGGATGCGAGGCCTCTTTCGGGTGCGTTGGCCGCGACCGGGATCTTCTTGCATTATTTTAACTAGCTAGTGAAATACCCTAGTAAAAAACTAGCTACTTCAATGGTGAAATGAGATTTTTTTACTAGTTGAAAGCGAATGCCGTTTTTCCTGTCATAAAAAGCGGTCACGGGTTCCCTCATGTCGGTCACGGGAGCCGGACGGGCAACACGCCAGTCAACGTCTGATCACATGAGTCGACCATTTGACGTCGAGACCTCTTCGTAATAATTTCTCTGCTGTCGACAATAACAAGCCCGACTCGTCTGTTTCGGATATCTTTGATGCCATCATTATAATCTTTATTGTTCCTATTACTATTAGATTCGCGCGAGGCCCATCCGCCAGATGCGATTCACGCCGTCCGGCGCAAAGATCGTCCACTTCCTTGCGCTAATCCACCCTATTACCGCTCGCTTCCCCTAACGCCGCCCTTCAAAGACGAACCACAGATGCATCATCTTTGCGCAGCAGGGAGACCTCATTCAGGAGAACGTCGTGCCATTTCTCATATCCGACATTCCATCCGCGATGGATCCTCGCGCCTATTCCGTTGTATTGTTGTAGAGTTTTATGCATAGGTGGAAGCATCTTCAGCAAAATAAAAAGTGCTTTCTTCTTGCTGGAAGTATAATAGCATTAGCTTGCTGTATTTGTGGTAAGTTTGTGAACAACAACTCAAAACAAAGCACATAGTGATAAAGAATACCCGTAACCCGGCCCGACCAGGCATAATCCGTCTCTCCATCAACAGACAAAAGGAAGGGGAGGATGACAATGACAAACCGAAGTTACTAATTGAACTTTATAGATACGAATTGAATTCCGTAGATCTGCAAGTAATGAGAATGACGATGACGTTGACCACGACCTGCGCACATATATAAAAATAGTTGACCTGAGATTCTGCATGGGATACAACATGGACAGAGATGAATAATAAAAATAATAGGCAGCGCAATTACAAGAGCAGCGAACAGTCGGTCTCAATTTGCGGCGAAGTCGGTGCTGACACCTTCAAGTTCAACTTCGTACACATATCAAATAGGATGTTGTGAACCTTTTAACGAACGTAGAAACGATGGGGGTCGTTAGCTGTAGAAAAAGATATTCTTAAAATCATCATCAACATCTTCATATCAGACGCCCTAATCCTTGTTGAGCCTTGTCCTTCCACCCAACATCAAAATAATAAAGGAAGAAGGTATTTCTAGAAGTGCTCAATCGCTTGTAGACTAGTACACAAGGAGACGGAGAAGTAGAGTCAATGACAAAATATAAATAAATTCATGATCACAGTTCAAAAAGCGGGAAACGGTTTCTATGTAGCGAAGTAGACACCGCGTTTTTCTCTGTCCTGTCATGGTCTCTTGTAGACCATGACTTATTCTTACTTTCTTCTAAAAATGCCATCTCTTGCTCCCTGCGAAACTCGTTGACGATTGCCTCTAAAAAGACGACGGCACCAGCGATTCCCTCATATAATGACCATGGATGATCACACCACCCGACTGTAGTTGACGTCGTCCCTCTCGATTTCGTTAGAGATGAGACATCAGAGCAGGAGCTCGATGAAGATACAGAAAGTTCGCTTTCATCCTGAAACTAAATAAACGCCATAATCTAATCAGGCCAATCTATATATTAGGCCCTTTTCTATAGCGAAAGCAAAACGAAAACCAAAAGAGATATGAAAAGAAATTTAAGGCTTTCTTGGGAACAAACACGAAGTGAGTCAGCAAGAGTAGATCGATGATGTAATATTAAGATGCTGGAATTATATTCGTATAAAACAAAGCACGCAGAGCCCTAATTTTTGTAAGAATCTTGTTGTGACTGCATCCCACTCGACGATTTGCATTGTGAAAAATCCGGCTGCGCGAAGCCACCTGCTAGGACCAAAAGCCGTGAGCGGTCGAATGTCGGATGACGATGATGATGTTGGCCTACTAGATGAGGCTCGTCCTGCTCGACCACGACCAGCACTTTTATTACCACTCACGTCGACTTGGTGCTGGTTATGAGGACCGCCGCCTGCTGCAGCAGCGGAGTGCTCGGGAAAAGTGCGGTGGAGCGCAAGGAGGGCGAAGCCGTTACCCGCGGTGCCATGACACAGTCCCACGCCCTTCTGCAACACGCCGAAATTCGCAACTAGAGCGCCCAACTGCAAGGCTTCTTCCATATAACGGGCACTCTTGTGTCCAAGACAGCGGTGAGCCTCGCACAGAAGGAAAACAAAACCAGGAGCACCGTGACAGAAGTGACACAAGTAGCCATCAGATTCATTTGGCCTCGGCCGCTTGCTTGATGACGGTGAACTCTCTTCGTCCCATGATTAGAGGACGCAGATGATCAACATGACCTCTCTTGTACTTGTTGTTCGACCAGGATAAAGAACATCATCATGATGAAGATTTTTCTTTTACTTCTACATCGAAGCCTAAGGGATTCTTTCATCTTCTACCCAGACGAGTTCCACCACGACGACCAGCTCCTTCTAGTACACAGGGTCAGGGAGACGGACAGCAACTACTGAAGAAGAAGATATTAGTGCCCTTCATCTATCTATTCTATGAGATCATGATAAATATATAATGGCAGTGATAGAGCGAATTGGATCAACGATTAGCATACTTAAGTGCCTTAAAGGGTCGCTGGATAATTCCCATCAGATCCGCGAAGCTTGCAATTGTCTAAAAGCCAATTTACGGAGGATTCTACGTCGGCCAGATCCTCTTCGCTGAGCAGGAAACCGAGCCGCCGGGCGCACAGAAGCACGTAGTAAATACCGGCAAGTCCATGCGCCGCACCGAGGTAGTTTTCGTCGAACCAGCGGTAACTTAATACAGGCTCTCGCCTCAGCCGCTGAGAAAGTTGCCGTCCACTCGCCATCATCCGACGTACAGTTTGGAAAATGCTGTCGGCCAAAGCTGTCCTCGCTGTCGACGACGAGCTGGAAGTTATCTTCACTCGCTTCTTATCCCCACTCAGTGCTGAATACGCCTGTTGCGGGCCCGCAGGAGGACCAGTAACTACAGCACTATCAAACTCTAGCCACTCCCAAACCAATAAGAGTGCAACTAGACAGCCTTAGAAGAGCGCGAAATGATTCGTGTAAGTAGACATTCACTGCATTTTTTCACCGTTCATTTTCTCTTCGGGAATCCCAAGAGGAAAACAGATCCGTCGTGGAAATGTTGAATTGATAGAGGTGGGAATGATTAATTACAATTACTGCCGTTTTTGAATCTATGCGGCAAGTTGCTTAAGATTATTTCCCTGACGTCTCGTTCTACGTTCTAAGTCATCTACTAGCCTGTTGTTGAATTGTCAGTTGTGGCCGTAATACCCGGTGCGTCCGTAAAGCCACTCGTCTGGAGTCTCTGGTGCATTGTCGTACGCGATGCCACACAGCTCTTCTATAAGCTGCAGAATGCGAGCATCGACGCCGTCATCGAGGCCGCCGACTGCTCCTGGTGACGACATATCATCATCTACTACATCTTCGCGGCTGGAAGATAGATTAACCTTCTCCGAAAACCCTGCCGGCGACGGCGTCGGCGCGTTGACCACAGGTCCACCCTCATCATCTTCTTGACAACCTCGACGAGAACCAGTATTAACGCTACTGGTGGACGAAGTTGCAACATGGGACTGGGAGGCAGATGAAAGCTTGATACTCATGTGCAATGCGATTTCCGCGAGCACAACCCCAGAATGACCGCATAGCATCGACGTCCGCAAATCCAAGTGTCGTGGTCGCTCAGTCTTGCGTCGCCACTGTCGACCACCGTTAGCGAGGTAAAGAGCAGCGATCTCCGGGTCAAGCATAAATGAAAACATCAAACAAATTTAGAAGAGGTCGCCCTGAAAATACTAATCCACCTTGAAGACACGCGTGGTCTTGGCGCTCCTTTCTCCTCGTGGGACAGCTTCCACCTGCTTCTGAAGATGGATTAGGAGGACAAGGCTTAACTAATTCCGGGTCCTCCAGTGTACACCGAAGAGTCACAATTGGCGCCAGGAGGTACCTCAGCGAGTGAACGCAAAATCGCCTTTTTCAACGCTACCACTTTTTCTTCGTCAAATGTCGTCGATCTTGCAGGCGCAGTGTTGATGGTCTCTCCTCGATGCTGAAGTTGATTGTGCCACGTGCGACCCTCGAGTGTGTACATATCTCTTTTGCGAGCACCACTCGAGGACGACGTACCAAGAAACGAGCTGATCGCCATCTTTCTTAAGCCACAAGTTGCAGAAGTAGCTTTCTAGAATGGATCGTAACCTGTGAAGCTGAAGTTCATCGGTCAGTGGAAATCAATGATACAAACTTAAACAATGCTGAGTAACCGAGAAAGACCAAAGACTTGATATTTCTCTAAACTCAGGATTTCGCAGAGCCTAAGAGCTTCAACTAAAACAAATTAGTGTTAGTAGCTTAGTAGATCCAACAATGAGTAGTTAGAAGTGGGAGTAGTTAGTATAGTAATTCAGGTTGACATGAGATCAATAAAGCCATAGGTCTTGTCCATCTTCGGTTCGTTTTCGACCGGTGGATGGTAAATTTCTATTTCAAAGACGTTGTTATTGTTTTTGGTTAAGTAGCTTTGTGTCAAAAATCAGCTCGAGCTAGTGTACAAAACGAAGAAATATATATCTGATGCGTGCTCCTGATATGCAGCTGGGTTGCTATTTTTTTCTTTTCATTTGTTTTGTTGCCTACAACAAGCCTAGCGTTATTTCTGGGGATCTTCTTGTCTTTCCTCGATCATCTTGGTTTCCTTCGATGCTCAATTATAGGTCTGTCTGCCTGTTCTATAGCTATGAACGTCCTCAAGGTCCACGTTTCTCGTCCTGGTGTGATTTCAGGAGGTGGTGCTTCACGTATGTATCCTATCACCAAAGAGACAATACAGAATGGCTCGTTCTTCTTCATCAACACGTTACATTCCGTTTCGACACTTCTCCGCATCGCGGTGGCAAGGATTTTCTTCCCTGACACGACCACTGGTTGAACAACCGTGAAAAAAAAAAAAAATTCGTAGTCGCATCTCCTCAGTCAGAGATACTTCTTGCATAAGAATCGACGTACTGGTCTCTCCATTCCATGCTTGTAGAAGTTCGTGTGAGAAGTATGATGTTGAAGATCATCATACTTTTCTATCATCATGTTGTAGTCCTTTCTCCTGTTCTTGTGGACGAGGAGATCTCTTTGATCGTGTATGATGCCATGGCATGAGTCTCACATATCGTGTACGATTCGCAAACATCAAGATAAAAAATCATATCCAAGAACTATGTCCTCGTCACACAAATTGCCCTGGTATAGTCCGTTTATAATTACGAACCAACTGCATTGAACTATGGAGAAGTCGTAACAAACTGCTTCCACGTTGCAAAGCAGTAGTTTGAATATTCTATGATCTCGGACTTTTAGTGCATTGGTGGATACACAGAAGGCACTAGCTAGTTCATCATGGCACATTTCAATCAACGAGCCATGACTTCTAGCAGAAATGACTCTGCTCACTTTGAGTTTTGCAAACAACAAGAAACCGCCAGAAATTATACATAGCATTGCGGAAAAGACTAAGACGATAGAGATCAGATATTTAGAACATGAAATATAGATTTTTTTAAGTATGATTTTATGTTTTTTTTCACCCTGACAGTACTTCTCAAAATCAAATTATCTCCATTCAATAGTACAAGAATACATGGCGTTATGTATACTCGTCAACCTTTTCATAACCGTTGTAACAGTAACCTCCAGCCTGGCTTTTAGTCTGAAAGTCGTCCGCTAATGATAAAATGCAGCCGTGCGCGTTCAATCGAGCTTCACCTTTTACTTTCAGTGCCTTGCAAATGAGTCTTTCCTTTTCCTCCACCTGTTGTAGACGCGAATTACAACTTCTATGCTGATTCCCGGTGATAGAGAAGCAATAAACGAGGTCACGAACGCTAACAACTACGAGCATTCCTAACTCCGGCCGCGCTGTGGTGCCGTGGCTCGCTGTATGGGTAGTGGAAATCAGTGTTTTTGGTGTAAGATCATCTGAATGGTGCTGGTATTTGGTCGCCTGTGTTTGATCATGAGGGAAAACAAGAAGAGTAGCCTTGTGATCAAATTCAGGCTACCAAAAACCAGAACCATACATCATCATGTGGTTGGTTATGATAGAAACGTTATTCTTTGATACGATTTCGTCCATCATCATCACCGTGTCCCATATAGTACTACAAGTCGTCCACCTGTATTCTTAGTTCTATTTCAGAGATCTCTATCGATAATCGATTCATCATTTTTTACACAAAACAAAGATCCTCACAATGAAATAGAAATAGGCACGAACGATAAAAATGGAGTACTTTCGGAAGAAGTGAATTCATGCGCCCAAACTCATCAAAAATTTTTTCAACATAATTATGAAAAGAAAAGCTAGCTTGCTATATTCCATACATGTTAAGACCAGATATACAGTGACAAAGCTTTCTATATAAGGCAGGTTAGACACTACTCAATACATTTATATGGCACACCTGCTTCAGTTTTATCGATGTGTCATATGGAATGCTCAACAGGATGCCGTGCTTTCTAACAGTAAATTCTCATTAGCATTACCGTGATGATGTAAAAAAACTTCAACTACCTATAATTCGTATGAGTATGTCTGTGTAAATCTGACTTTCTTCATCCAGCAACGACCGCTCAAATTTTAGATTATTTCCCTCCCGAAGATCGTTATTCATGGTAGCAAATATTTGAATATTCATATTGATGTTCAGGTCTCTTCATCTCAGCAAGTCCCAGTCGGTCCTCCTCGCCATCGGGACCATTTTCGATCTTCATAATCTTAAGACTAAAAATGGTTATGATAAACTACAGACAACAAACACCACGATAGAGGCAGCTTCCAAGGCATGTCGTCCGAACATTTCAAAAAGAAGAAGGAGACAAGCATTTTTATCAGAAAAGACAAGTAGAGCTGTGTAGTTATCTTGTCCTGCTCCTGGAAAGAGGAATACTGTTGTATGAAGCAGGAGAAATGATAATATTACGACTTGTTCATCTTCATCGCGTCGATCACAATAGTATAAGTGCGTTTACTCGTCAAGACCAAGCAAATCATTGAAGAGCGATCATTCACGCAGCCGCTTCGCCTTCGCTGTCCTCAAGGTAGCCGTCCTTTTCTTCGTCGTCATCGAGATCGTAAACATCCACGAGTCCGTTGCACGTAGTTGCCGTTGCTCGCGTCGCTATAATGCCACCGAACGCCCGAGCAGCCGTAGCCGCTCCTCCTAGTGCTGATACGCTTTAGAGATGACTGCGGTTGCCACGAGCCCAAAACCTCTTACATCAGCTATCGATAGGATCGATGATGTTGACCCAGTCAGAAACATAAGTAACAAGAAGGCTTGTATCTATAATCTCGAGAGCCTTAGAATTCAAGAAACGATCTTTCTAACAAAAAACAAAAGATATTTCGTATCTTGTGAGAACGCAATGTTCTCTTTCTTCTGCTGCTGCACTGCGTGAGGGCATTTCTATGTGTGTGTGTTCATTCCCTAAAGGTGTTGTTGGATGAAGAGACAAAAAGACTCGGCACTTAATTAAATGTAAGGTCAATTTTAGGAGGCCGCAATAGTAGTGAGTTAGTGGAGAAGGTTTGTATCTATAAAAAAATATGATGATCGTCACGAGAGTCTTCTAGACCGAAGTTATGGTTAATTGATTTGTATACATGATATCTATTAATTTTAATATTTATACCGCCCACGTGCCCCCGGCGTGTACATCACACGCCGGGGCAGGGCGGAAGGGTCTGGCAAATGCTACGAGTTACATAAAATCCATACGGCCTACCGGCGTGCTACGAATTACGTAAAGAGTGGCGGGCTATGGAATAAGCAAAGCAGCTCCGCGCTACAAGCTACTACGTGCTACATAAACCCCCGCCCTGGCAGCACCCGAAACGCCCAAAAGGAACTACTTCGAACGAATGAGGCAAACGAGTAACCAAATACATACGCCGAGAGTCAAATCCTTGAGCAGATCACTCCAGGCCTGCTGTTTTTGGTTCTCAGCGTAGTGGCTGGGCGAAGCACTGCAGTCGACTCCGCTCACCATGAGAACCTCGCCCGCCCCCTGGCCCGGGTTTTGGGCGTGGGTCCCCTACTCTTGGAGTGTGTTGCGTCTCCGGCTGGCATGGCAGTGTCACGAGGGGGGCCCCAGGCTTGTCGCTTTCGGTTCTCCGCATAGTGGGCGAAGCACTACGCCCGACGCCGCTCACCATGAGAACGTCTACCGTGGATCTTTTCCGTGGAGAGAACTAGGGGGCGGCCCCGTTCTACTCTCGGCCTGTTTGCGGGGTTTTACTCTTTGCGCCGTTTTGGGTTTTCCATCCAAATCCCGCAGCTTTATGGTGTCGCGTTGCTGCCTACGCTTCAGCTGCTTCGCGTGTGCTCTCTGTGAGCCATTTACCCTCCCAAGCTTTCGGCAAGTTGCGCTCTATCGCTTAGCTTCCCTATCTGCTTCTGGCTTTCTCGAGAGGTGTGGGCATGCGTCATCTCAAGGCTTTGATTTAAGTGAACAAGAACAACGCCACGCGAGCAGTGCTGTGCGGCTTTCATGTGCTTGGGCGATGCAATCTGTGAGCCGCTTAATTTTAATATTTATATCAAAGGTCAGAACAACATTCGTGACGCCTGCCGTAAGAAGAACCGAGGACTCCCACTGCAGTTCCAAGAACCTGTGAGTCGTCAGAGTCGCCTCTCCGTCCCCCGAAGAAGCTACCTTTCTTGCTCCCCAAGCGAGGGGAGCAGACACGTCCACACAACAGGATTCCCGCGACCAACGCCACGGTCACGCACAAAGCCCCGCTGCAGGCATATCTCCAGAACAAACTGTCCTCTGGTGCTAGCCCAGTGTCACCTGACGAGAGAGCATGTGCAAGTGTATCATGTTATCCTCATTTTCCTGTGCATTCTTGATTCTTCTAGCTAACTCAAAGGAGTACTAAAAATGATCAATCATTTAACTGAACAAAACAGGAGGATGGGAACCACGCACTCACGCCTGTTCGTCTTCGTCAATATTACAACTATAAAGTACTTAAGTGCATCTATATACTTATCTTCATTAGTTTTAGTAGTAGTACCTTCTATATTCAATATAAGTTCGTTGAGAAACCATTACATACAACCATCGGGAAAGTTTCTTACCTCGAGCCGATGAAGTTGAAGGTGACGTTCCGGTCGATGCGTCATGATCGTCGGACGAGGATGTCTGAGACGATACAGACACGGCATCGTCGTCACGATCTGACGGAGGCGAACCTGACCGCTGCCCAAGCATGAAGAGAACCTCTTGCAGGGGCGTTTCGGCAAGCGCAAGAGTATTGGATTGCGCCACAATCCCCAACGTATCGCCTGTACTTCTACTAGTCGTGCCAGAAGTACTCGAGGAGTCTCTTTCCCGAGATGTTGGAAGGAGTAGCGAAACTGCGTCTCTCGTAGTTGTGGTTGATGACGTCGATGCGGCGGTTGCATCCATCTCCGCTCCAGTGTTGTCCTCCTCTTTACTAGCACCATTTGCAGCAGCTGTAGCAGCAGGTGCAGAGGATGAAGATGCATCTTTGGCATCTTTCCCTCCATCCTGAATGTCTTTGATCATCTTCATCTTCTCTTCTTTGCCCTTAAACATTGTGATTTTTTCAACCTTGTTCGCTGGACGCGTCTGGCGGCTCTGAAAAGAACTCTTCCCGGCGCGAAGGAACTGAGCCCAGTGTCTCATCAAAAAGTCGTAGTTCTCGGCCGCGCGCCGGTTTCCAACGCTGTCGTTGCTCTGTGTCAGCAACGTAAACCGCACCATCGCAAGAAGCTTGGATCGTTGCTCTGACAGGTCAACCAGAGACTGCACTATCGAATCGCGCATGATGCGAGCGCGCAACAAACGTGGGCTTACGACGTGGTCATGGTGCATAAAATTCTTCTTGTGTTGTAATTTGTTGAGTCCGAGGACCGGAGATGCCCTTTGCTGTAGACGGGTTTCGCTTCGTGGCATGTAGGCCTTGTTCCTCGCATGTACGTGTCGCCAGTTTGCGACCGGAAGGGGCGTCAACGTTTCGTCTTTGGCACGAAAGATGTCTTCTTGTGACCCAACAGAAGCATGTTGCCGCGGACGGATCGATGAAACGACTGAAGGCTTGCGGTTGAAGTAAACATTGTCATCGGTACCTTCTTGGGAGGCAGGTGGTGGCCCATCCGTCGAGGCCGGTGATGTACGAGTGCTGCTGGACGTAGTAGTTGTAATTTCTACCTCATGATCTGGACGAGACCCTTCTGGAGAGGATGCTGATGCGCCCTCACTTCCGACTGCCACTGACGTCGACGTTTTGAGTGGTGTGACCCTAAATGGTTGGAACCAAGAAGCAACAGACGGGCTTTCAGCAAAAGAGAGGAATGAAGACCCCCTGTTTGGCTCAGGCATGGAAAAGCGGCGCCTGGTTGTTGTTGATGGCATACCAGTATCCGGGATTGCGTCAGCAGAGTCCGTGTCCGTGATACCCTTTGATGTTGTCATGTCTGATGTGGTCGTGCTAGTACTATCATCGTCTTCGGAGTTGCCGTTGCTCACATCTTCAGAGCCGGTGTCTTGTGCCTGGGTAGTCGTCGTCGATGCAGCGCCCGAGTAGAAATTTCGGCGGTAAAAGTTCCACGAGTCATGTGCTTCGCCGCGAGTGAAGGTTGGAGTGCTGGCACGCAACGGCTCTCCTCGTCCTGTGGTGCCCGTCCTCCTCGTCACGTTCGAAGACAATACAGGAGTCGACCCACGACCCCCAGCGGAAGATGTATCGAGCATCGACGTGGTAGTTGTTGTGGTCATCTCTTCAGATGACGCATTTCCGTCGCCCGGCTGAGCCCTCGTCTGCAGCTGTTCTTGACGCTTCTGCATGCCATTCCGGATGTGTCGAAGTCGCTGCACCTTCAGGGCATCGATAACCGCGTGCTTGCGCGCTTCGACAAGACGTTGGTTGTCTTTCAGCAAGGCACGAACCAGGCGATTCCATCGTCCAGCCTTTTCCAGCTGCGCAACTACCAATTGTAGACTGCGCTGACCCCGACGCTTCTCATCCACCGCAGCTTTGTAGGCGTCAAACACGGACGCGATTCGTGCAGCACGAGAGCGAGAAGCAGACTCGTCCCTGACGAGAAGTATGTTGAAGGAGGTGAGGGATGTAGTAGTCGTGAAGAAGCAAATTCGGAAAAGATGAAAAAATGAGAAATGAAGAGGATCTTGCTCATCTCGTAAAAAAAACACAATGCGTGATATTGAATAAGATGAAGTTCTTCTTCTGAATAAGTACAACTCCCAAAACGGAAGTGCTGGAAGATAAATAAGTACACTCTCATCTGCGCCCGAGCATCGGCAGTGAGAAACTTAATGACAGGACGTCCGATATTTCGAACCACGCTGCTTTTGCTTATGTCCTTGATTGCTGTTGTCATCAAATCCTCCAACCGCACCAACTGCATCGTCAGCTGTGACGTCCTAACAATTATTTTATCAAGACGAGGAGTTTTATACAACATGTCGATCATTGCCAAAGGATGTTGGCGGAGTCTCATAAGTAAATGTAGAAACATGATGATCACACAACCATGTTGTATAATTGATAAGATATTCATCAATTACAATGCATCCTTTTCTTCGATTTACAAACAATCAGACACTCATGTTCACGTCTGTCGTGTTTCCCGGTGAATCTGTATCTGTTCCACACGAAGACAGTCAACAAAGTCTGAGCAAACAACCTAAGCAAGTAGTAGTAGTAGTAGTATACCCAATCTGGGGGTAAGTTCAGCAAAGTTAGAGGTAGTAGTTATCTTCAGTTCAAGTGTCTATTACGTATCTGGCGATGCAGGTGCTAATCCCGTGACTAGTTCCAAATTCCCGTTGTTACAAACGAGCCGTTGAATGCCACCAGTGGCCTCTTTGAGCTGACCCATAGATTGGCGGAACGAGTCTGCGCTAGTGTTAGAGTGGTAGCGGTTACGACCACATTCGCATCCTGAAGAACAGCATCCCTGGCATCGTTTTCCATTTCCAGTTCGAAAAATTCAATAAAGCCAAGCAGGATCATGGATGCTGTGTGTACAGTCGAGGTTCAATCTTCTACTTATATGATTTGGTATCTTGTTCTTCAGAATCAGAGGTACTACTAGCCTTAACATTACGCGCAAAAGAGTGGACTGCATCCGTGAACGAGTTTGCAATCGGCGAAGAACTGAACATGAACAAGGTCTGAGACGAACTGGAGGACGAAGCAGAAGAAGATGAGGACGATGGAGGCGGCTCAACAGATTCTCCTCGTTGTTCGAGGTACTCAGGCTCAGGCGACGAGATTGCAGCAACTTCCTCTCCTCGGTGGAGGTTCGGTGTATCGAGCAGCATACTAGGCGGCGACGGTGGGCCAAAGGCGGAAGACGATTGTGCATTCGGGGTGTCTGCGAGCTCCTCGAAGTCGTGGCTCGAGGCAGCTTCAAATTCCATACGCTTGCTCATCATCAGCGTCAAAGGGTTCAGGTGGCCCATCGCTGTGAAATTGTTGAGATATCTTCATAGATATCTTCATATGCAACTTGAATATTTGGAACAAATAGGTAGTCGTTTAGGAGGAGTATTAATATCCTTTGTGAAGAATAAATTTGTTTTCAATCACGAACAGCGTTAGCATCATGTACGTAATTTTGATTCAAACATTCACGGGAAATATCCAAAAATACCAGCTGCCGAAATCTTTTTGCTGAGCGCATTTGCAGCGCGCGGTGCGATTTGTTCGGCTTCAGAGACAGAAGTCGACAAGCGAAGGGCAACACCCTGTCCGAATGAACGCACGTCCTCCACAAGCGCTGCGGCATCCTCCAGGAGTTCGCGGGCAGCCTCTGCCGGTGGTTGAAACGGAAACCTCATCTGCTCCATGACCAAGCGGGCCATCGACAAATAATCGTTGAGGCTCTGGAACCCACCTGGTGTCGTCACGTCACTACTAATGAAAGGAGGAACACTCGGAGGAAATGCACAACATCGACGTCACAGTTCTCGTACAGTAGAGAACAAAACCCGCGCTCCCCAAAGACTACAAGGACAGCAACAGCACAAACTAACAAGTCAATCTATAAATGAATAATTATATAATAATCAAATGAGACGCCCCATATATACAGTTGCAGTACTTGAGATTTGCTGATCGCAGGCAACGAACATCTTCTCTTATAGCACAACTACGTGCAGCGCACAATGCTCCTCATACTGTAATATCCAAATAACAAGAATACCTCCTTGCATATCATCTGAAAGTAAGTTATCATCGTCCGCGTCCCGTTCAGTATCAGCAGAGGAGGCTCCAGCACTGCTCGAAGAGGACATGATTGCACGTACGAGCGCATCTTCTTCTCTGAGTTCAGAGTCATCAAATTCCAGCTCTCCTGGCCCATGCTGGAAGTGTTCGTCTCCTTCAGCGTCGACGGCCTGCTCTTCGCCGGCCGAGGAAACACTGCGGAAAATCGAGGAGAGGAGATCAGCTGCGTCTTTTTGATCCTGTCCTACTTCTGTTTTCACTTTCATTTGTTCTTGTTCCGAAGCAGTAGTTCCAATCATACTTGCGCTAGTGCCATCACTCACCGCAGCACTATCTTCGTGATGGTGATCCCCATGGTAGTCGTCGTGTTCGCCCAGCTGGAAGATGTCATCTCCATAATTCTCAACATTAGAGCTACCGCGTCGCATCCCTGAGACCATCCTTGCGCCCCTTATCCCGTTGAAAAGGAGGCCAAGAATGGCGCGGAGGATGCTTCAGCGGTAGCCTTAACAACATGATCGTCATCATCATCATCATCATCATTTAAGGTTAAGTGGTATTCACGGAAGTATTCTTCATCTTTCTCAGACTGGGCAACTTCTGCGAGTGAAGTGGCGGACATAGCTTCCCACCGATCCGATTCGGCGGCGCGCGTGCGTTCGCGCTCATACTCGACAGCACGCGTGAACGCGCCGTTGAGGTCGCCCGACGGCGTCGTCGCAAGCAAGCGCTCCAATTCATCGGCTGTGGGGGGCGCAAACATGTCTAAATCTTCATCCTTATCCGACATGGCGAGAGCTCGATATGGGTTCGCATTGATGCTGTCACTAGAAGAAGATGACGAAGATGTTACAGAACTAGTCGTGGTCGTAATCTGGTCAAGAATAGCGCTGCGGGCTTCCGTGGAAGATGAGGATGCCGTTTCCAAAAAGGCTGTGGCAGATCCTGTATTTGCCTCTGCTCCAAACTTAGCACGAATTTGATTCCATCTTCCTTGGTCCACACATCTTTTCAGGAATACCTTTAACCTTTTCCCGGAGCCTTTACGGCTCAATTGATCAAGGGAAAAAATCACATGCACCTTCTAACGAGATCGACAGACCCCTTCCCCTTGGTGGAGAGAAGATGAACATCAAAAACGGAACGTGCTATGAAATTATGAAAATGAGTCAAAGTAGACATAACATCATCAGTGATAGAAGACGAGGCTAGGTTGCTGCTGCTACTTGAGATACTAGAGGCAGATCCAATAGCGGCAAAAGCGAAATCTGAGTCGATCATCAACAGACGTCGGAAACGGTCCGCGAGCTCCTGACGATCGGCCTCCCACGCCTCCGAGGAACGCAGATATTGCCTGTCGTCCGACGACGAAGCAGGCGAAGCCTTTTTCGAGGAAGAAGTTGCTGCTTCCACATCATGATCTTGTTCTCCATCATGCGTCTGCTCCTCAACGTCATTATGCGTCGCGATTCCCGCAGCTGCTGCCAGAGCTTCTTCTTGCAGGCGCTCGTTGATACGCGGCGTGCTGCTACCCGACGACGACGCCGAAACATCCCCTCGTCGGGGTTTGCGCCCTTCGATCGAAGGCCCGTTACTGTTCGCTTCGAAGTTAGTCTCACCATCACGAACCTGTTTCTTGTCGCCCTCCAGATCACCACTTTCGTCAAACCTCGCGTCGTCTGCGGACGACTCGGGAACCAAACTAGCTAGCGAAGAGGTACTCGTAGCCAAGAGCGGAACATAGCCCTCAAGGTAGTCCACACGCCGGTCTTCTTTTTGCAAAGCAGTATTTTCTCGGTGTTCCACAACTTCATCTTCCTGATCAACTTGTTCCTCCACATTTCTCGTTGTGCTTGTGTCTTCAGTAATCATGTTCATGTTCGTGTTCTCGTTCTTGTTTCCTTCTTCGTTTTCGACGTTCTCGTTGTTTCCTTCTTCGTGTGCGTCTTCGTCCTCATGATCTTCGTGAGCATCGTGTCTTCGGTAAAAGTGCAAGGAAGAATCTTCGAAGTTATCGAAACCGACAGTCATGATAGCACCCGGTGCGTAGTAATCTACAGCACTGTCATCGCCTGCTCGCCTTAGACCTCTCCCCAATTCATCTTCCCCGTGGAAAAAAATCCCTCAAGAACAATGTGCGCCAACTATATTTCCCTTGTATCTATTGGGGTGGGGTGCATACTGTTCTTGAGGGATCATCGCTATTATTATTATAGCAGAGATGGACTACAGGAAGCCTTAATCGCACACTGTCCACATCGTACAGGAAGCCCTCCACTTCGTCCACGAGATCGTCCTCCGTGACGGCAAACCTGGTAAAAAATCCCTGACCGTGATCTGTCTGCGTCGTCGTGTCAACACTCCTTCTCACTGGCGCTGCTGTTGAAGCGTGTTCATGTGATACCTGTTGATGCGGTCCAGCTTCATCCTGCTCGAGGACCTGTGGCTGCGACGAAGGTGAAGATCGAGGAAAATGATCTTCACCAGCAGTAGTACTCTCTTCAACATGTTGTAGTGATCCTTGCACTTCTGCCGAGTTCTGAACGCTGTTGACGGCGCTATTGTTATCCCACAAATACGAACTGGTCGACGCATTCACAGCAGCAAAAGGTATGCCCCAAATCTTAAAGCTTTTCGTTTCGTCTTGTCAAACAATGTCATGTGATATCTATTTCTTTTCTGACCCAGAACTTGCAGTTGCAGTTTCTTTATTCTTTACGTTTACGAGGAGAAAGTACTCAAAAATTATATCGTAGTTCATATTTGACTCGTCCCCGTGAAAAACAGCCGAATGTCGAACAAGTCGAACAAGTAGGACGGACCAACTACAATAGTCAAATAGAAGATACATAGAACGAAAGCACGATTCTAATGGTAATGCTATCAACCTCATCAACAAAGATTATCCGCAATGAACTACCGTCCTCGACAACCGCTCTTAAAATTCGGGAGAAAAGAACCACTGCCGAGATGAAAAGATCCAAAAGCACTCGCATCCAAGAGCGTAATGTTCACGACGACGGGAACTAGCATCGTCGCTGCCGGAGGCGTGGCGTTCAGCGGAACGGTCGACAGGACTTGCGGCGGTGCGTTATTGTACTGGTCCATCATATTCTGGTCTGCGCTTCCCACGTACCCCATGGAAGTGCCATCGTGAGAAGAAGAGCGGCTTCGACTAGCCCTTTTCATGTAGATGCATGAGTGTGAAAGTGAAAGTGCTTATATAAAATGAGAGGTCGTTTCGTCTGAGTAGAACATTGGAAATGGAAACTTCTCAGGAGTCCGAAATATTGCAAGGACTACTTAGCTTCTATCAAATTTAGAACTAGAAGTAGAACTTTGCTGCAGCTGCAAAAATAATGATTATAAGTTGTTCCCCGGTAGTTGTAACGTGATTTAGAACTCTGCAAAAATGTAAGTTTATCTTACCGACGGTGCCATGGTCGCGGTGCCGCGTGCCAGAATCGGTTCCCGTTCAAGCGGCCAAAGTTGTGAACGAAAAGCTGCAACGTCAGACGACGGCCATCTGGTGCCACACGGCGATAGTTCGCCTGCGGCGCCCGATCCCATTCGAAATTGCCAAGTTCCTGTAGGGTTGAAAATATGTTCTAGTTGTAAATGTACTTACAATCTTCAGACAAGGAATTTCACTGCCATAGATCCAGATCGAATAAAGCTTTGTTGTTTGACATCATCGTCATCAAGTCAAAAACTTTCCTTTTATGAGATTGAGAAGATAAAGAAATCAGTGGTAGTATTTATATAAATATTAGTACTGCCCCAAAGCGACGAATGAATTGGCTCTTCGTGCGAACGCGCGCAAACGAGTCGACACGTTTTTCGTAGGGTCGCGGAGCAAGGCTCCACAGTTTACCCGCACGGTCTCCGTACCTTGAAGTGATCGCTCTCTATTTGGTAGCTGGGCGTCGTAAGGCGAGCATGAGCGATGCTCTACAGTAATGATAAAGTTCGCAAAGAAAAAGCATACCATCAGTCTTGAAAAAAGCTTTGACCTCATCATGCTCAAAGAAATTTTCAATGAATGGGAGACATGAAGAAAAGAGCCAGCAGGAGGTTTTCTCTTACAACTACTTGCACATCTCCAGGAGGAAACCTCTTAAAACTTCATGTCCCTTATATATAAGAAAATAAATCTAGCTTGCTACAAATTCTATGATGAAAACTGCTTTTCAAGTACCATTCATGAAAAGCGCGCTTTCCATAGTTGTTGCCGTCCAAGGCTGTGCGTCGCTCGTGATCAAGCGGCGACTTCCACCATTTGGACCATGCCTCTAGGCCGTACAGCTCAAGATATTCGTGATAGTGCAACAAATTGCCATCCGGAGAAACACGAGTGGCGTACAACGGAATGGCTTCGCGCTGCCAGTCGGCGTGCTTACCATGCAGTCGAACGAACTCGCGGCGCGACAACTCCAATCTATGTGCGAGGGATCATTTTTGAAGTCCAACAACGTATATGTAGTGCTCGTCTACTAGAATTTCTACTTGTTCCGGGTGCAGATCAACCGTAGTGGTCGTGTATCTTTAGTCTTAGTGCACAATGGAGCGGTTGAAATATCAGCATACACTTAACACTACTTGCGGTTGCGAAGCGTTCAGAAAAATAATAACAGTAAGGATGCACTACTTGGTAACAAGGTAAACTTTAACCAACGTTCGGAAAAACGATAATTCTTACCCATCGCGATCCAGCCTGGTTTCTACAGGTACGCGCAGGGGCGAGTCGTCCTCAGAACCTGGGCTATCTTCGCCAACATATTCCACATCACTTGGCTCTCCTTGCTCTTCCTCTGAGCTGCTGGCGCTAGACAACTCGTTGTTGTCCTGGTCCCGATTCTGATGATCTCCACCTCCAGAATTAGCACTTGATTTCGCTTCGGTGCTAATTTGAATTCATAATTTCTCATTGATATAATACTCGTTCTCCCTTGGAAAGTAGAAATAAAGTAGTAAAAATCTAGTTCATCCTAAGTGAAAGTGATTAGTTACTTCTACTTGATAAATAAAAACTGCAGGAGTAGAGTCTGCAGGGGATGGATTATCTTCTGCCTTAACTAGAGCAGGCGGAGATGAGAAGAGAGAGACGTCGCTGAAACCTGCGGAAGCGTACGAGCCAGAGGAGCTCGGATTGGATGGCGAACCGGATGAGGAAGAGCTCGACGAGGAGGTGGAAAGAGAGGAATCACTGGAAGACGGCGAAGACGAGTCGTCACCTGAAGGAGAGGACGGACTTCCCCCTACGATAGAAGTGCGCTGACGGAAGTCCTTGCTACCCTTTGTCGACAGGCCACGGCTGCCATCTCCCGCAAACGCGGAAGATGAGGAAACCACACCTCCTGCGTGGAGGTTGTATCGTGCACGCCTTTTGTACAGTAAGACGTCGTCGTTGTCGCTGTTGCCGCTAGCGTCGGAATCATCCGAGGAAATCGGAGACGACATGGCTTTCAGCGTATTCGCTTGTTGTTCCTGGTCTGAGGAAGCGGAGGACACGACGTCGAAGTCGTGCGTTTCAACCAGATCACGCGGCTCGCCTGCAGAATCGATGGCCTCGTCCGCGAAGTGCACGCCGCGAGCACCAAAGGCCGCAGGTGGAGGTGCGCCGCCGGCCGTCCGCGGCGAACCAATGAAAAACTCTTCAACTGGCGAAGTCGGACTGAGAGCAACCGAAGTCATCGACGTCGGACTTCCGGGAGCACGCCCTGTGGAAGACGATGGAGAAGCAAGAGCTAAAGGCTCAGGGCGCGCTCGTTCTCCGAGAAGAGTCGTTTGCTCCAGCTCCAACGCAGCTCCACGCCCTCCAGTAGAACCTCCAGCTCCAGCAAGCGAAGTTGACGAGGAGGATGAGGAAAGAGCCGACGAAGTGTTAGCAATAGCATCTTCTTTCGTGGTTGACGTTGATGTAGTTCCCAGACCAAAATTGCTCAACAAATGCAACTCAGCATCCTCATCATCAGACTCTGCATCAGCCCAGCGAGCCACCCTCTGCTTCTTTCTTAGAGATGTTCTGCGCAACTTGTAGTTTGACTTCTCGTTCTATTATATCAAAGACAAAGAGCTTCAAAATACTTAACTTCAGCAGCTTCCTGGAGGAATGGAGTGGAATGTTGCCCAGATCAGTACTCCGAAACTGTCGACGGGACTATTCAATACCGTGCTTCACTTGAGGACCACCCATTTCCATTATATAAATATACTAAGTACTTAACACAGAATTAGAGCTACAGAATGATCTTCAGTATCTGCTTTTGACAAATTGTATTAAACAAAAGAATCCTAACTTTCGAGTAGTAGCTTCGTTTGCAAGACCTAATTCCGCCTCAGGCCCCACCGCAGTTTCGATGTCAGACTCCATCAAGGGAGTAGTGGGCGTAGCATCTCCATGCTCGGCGGGTTCGGTAAGAGCCGAAGGAGATGACCCATCTGGATCCGCGGAACGCTGTAGGTTCTGATTGTTGTTGTAGTTATTTGCAGATGCGCGTCTTGCGGACGATCCAGGGAGATGATGTGTTCCTTGTTCACCGTCAACATCGGATATGACTTGTTCATCTTGATCCGACACGCCATCTACGTCGGGAACTGTAATTGGAGACCACCACGCACCCTCAGCATCCTCCAGACTACCAACAACATGGTCGACGTGGTCCTCTTTTTGTTTATGCTGATGATCTAGTTCTGCGAGTCGTGTATAGAGAGCACTTTCGATACCCGCGACAGCGTTGTATGTTTTGATCTTTTCTTGATCATCTTCATCTTCGGCCTTCATGGCAACATCTTTGAGAAGACTATCACCATGCTGCTGAGGAGGTGCTCTCGACGAGAAAGATAAAGTGGCATCAACATCTTCAGCATGGTCTCCAGCATCGCTTTCTAGCGACTCTGTTTCGTCGTTTTCTCCGATGAAAAAGCGCTCCGCTGCGCGGCCGCTGCGACCGGACGACGCAATCGAAGTGGCTGACAATGGAGTCGCGCGCGAAGACGCGGGCGACACCGTCGAGCCGGAAGCTCCACTGGGAGAGGCACTGCTCGAAGAAGACGAACCCGAACCTGAGTCAGAAGAGTCAGAAGCCGGCGAAACAGAACCGGACGAGGACGCCTTTCTCGATTTCTGTGAGTGCAGCGCCGAGTCTTGTGCGCCCATGATGTCGTCGTCACTGATCAAATCGACTACGTCATCATCGGTCTCGTCAGTCAGATCAACCACCAAAGAGGGCGAAAGATTCTCGCGCGCATGATTCTTGTTCTTTCCGTGATTTCCCGTACCACGTTTGGACGACTTGTTCGTATTTTTTTTCACCTTGTTGTAGTTTTCAGATGTAGTACCATGAGCAGCTTTTATATTCGTCTTGGTAGAAGTCTTCACTTGATAACTTCCATTCGTGTTGTCATCTGCCGGAGCACCAGCAAAATTTTTGTTAGACTTAGAGGAGCTTCTAACGACCTTCTTCTTTTTAGCCTGAGTTGCTCCCTTGGCCTTTGACTTATCCCCGGCATTTCTGGACGATGTTCTGGCTCCGCGACGCTTTGGTCGCGGCCCTTCAACAGGAGAACTTGTTTCTTCCACCTCTTGATCCAAAACCGGCAAAGTCGAAACCGTATTTGCCAGGATGTAGTTACCGGCTGGACAGGATTTTCCGGCTGCAGCGCGACCACGAGCAGCAACAGAGCGAGTGTCATATCGTTTCTGATATTGTCCCATTCCGCGCTGTACTTGTTCATGTTCTGCAAAAACATCAGTTCTTGTAGCGATAGTAGTAGGTGCAGCAGTACCTGCGGCCGAAGAAGATGAGGATCCAGAAGATGTGGTACGTCCTATGTTCACATTTTTCTTTTTGGCTTTGGTACCAGTGCGAGGGGATGCGGATGCCGCGACAGCTTCCACAGAATCACTAGCCAGCATCATGTCATCTTCATCCATAGACGCGGTGGATGTAGGACTCGCGGTAGCCACTCCACCAGAGAAGGCCAGCTCGGTTTTATCATGTGTGGACAAAGCTGGAGCTGCCTTCTTCTGCTTTCCGGAGACCCATCGCCGGCCGGTGCGCTTTGGACCACGACTCGGCGGGGGATCATAGATATCGTAGGGATCCTCCAAGTCTACCACATGATCCCTCGTGCGGGACCCTTTCACGCTGGAAAAGGCCGCAAACCAGCCCAGCAGCGCCAATAGGACGATCTTCAGCATCTTCGACTTGGTCGGTGTGCTGGAGATACCTTTGACGTCTCTGTAGTGTTAGTTCTGCTGAACTTCAACCGCAACAGATACGCGTCTATACCTATGTATACGTATGGAAAAGGAGATACGAAACAAACACTTGAGAAACGGCGACAAGTATACTATCCACCTCTGCTGCAGCCTTCACTGCCACACGTGTCGCAAAGACAAGAAACCGTCCTCACACAATTATTTCAGTTCTCAGAGTGCCACGAAGCCTCGTCTGCTACTGTCGCAAGGCAAATAACGCACCTGCAGCCAGCGGCCAGGATAGGGCGGAAAAGAAAAAAATGTAGAAAGATTGATAGGTTGATGACGAGAAAGTAGGAGAACGGTGTGTTGAGATATGTTGGAAGATTTATTTTGGTACAAGTCGCTGTTGTTGTTGTTGTTGTAGGCGAGCAAGCAAGCAAGACACTCCACCACCTTATGACGAATGATCTAGCTCTTGTTGAACTTGAAGTTGATGTACTTGAAAGACAGAACTTTGCTGTCAAGACCACTTTTTAGAGATACAAAATACAAAATTTGTTCGACGATCAATAATTCTTCTAACGGTTAATATATTCTTTGAAATCTATGCGCTCTTGATCTTGATGCTCTTTGAGATCATCCATATATAATGGAGTGGTCCCGGGTGGGATAGCGGTCCAGAGTAGAAAGTGGGCCAGAGTGGAAAGCCGAGATCAGAAGAGGGGATGGGTGGCAGACAAAGCGATCAAGAACGGTGGACGAACACGAAGGAGAAAAGGGAACGAGGGGGACAAGGAAGTGCCGGAAGAGCAGGGGAGGGGATGAAAGACGGGGGAGGCAGGGGAGATGAGAACGAGAAGAGAGGGGCGCCAGAAGCGAAAGGGCCCGAGGGATGGGAGGGTGGAGGAACTACCAAGAAAAAGCCGAGCGGGGACAAAACTAAACGCGCCAAACAAGCGAAGAGGCAAGCAAAGACAGCAGAGACACGCAAGCGGCACGCCGGGCGCAGATCTCAAGACGATAATCTACTTGCGCCACGCTGCCCTTGCAAAAATTTGGGGGGGAGGCGAGGGGGGCGATCTCAAGGACGCGGCAGAGCTATTCTGGCCGGCAGAGTCGACCAAGGGAAGGCCACAAGCGGCCGCACCGCTATGATTATGACAACGAAGAGCAGATGCCCGCCCCCTCGCTCTGAGGTCGACAGCGTACGGCCGTTCACGATGGTTGGAATGCCACACGCAGCGAGGCCACCGCCGAGCGACTGACAAGCCTCAAGCGCGGCCACTTCCTCCATCGCTTGGGGCGCGTCCTCCTTGCTGGCACTTGGATCTTGGTAGAGGGCGAGCGAGACAGCAACGACCACACGGCGCAACAACTTGCACCAGCGGCCGCAGACCAGCGCCGCCGAGCGGTGCTCGTCTTTGTCTTCTTGCCGCCTCAAGCTGCTCGCCCCCGGTCAGAGATGGAAGCTGCGCTGAGCTCCCCGGGGGCACTCAGCCGCCAGCAAATACGGGCGCCCAGTTGCTTCCCTTGGCACTGCCGCCCCGACTTCAAGGCACAACCGTGGCAAGCCTGCCGGGGTACCAAGGTGCCGAATCAACAGGCCCCCCAAGCTAGCGCCTTCCCTCGAGAGGATTGCCCGTCTCCTGTCTATCACCAGATAGGCGCCTAACACTCGCAACCTTTGGCATAATTATCACGGCTGCGACTTGGTTCAGGGTGGCAGAAATTCCACCCCGGACCGGTTTGGGCGGGAATGAAATAAACTCGCAAATGCGAGCGCTCAACCCAGAACCAGAGCGGGAGCCAGCCTCCTGAACCAGGTCCACCCTGAACCGCTGCATAATATATGATATTATATATGTTCCAGGGCGCGGGGGGGCCGGGCGCCCTGGACCCCTTTTTGAGGCCTCTGCGGGGGGGGAGGCCTCAAAAGGCCCCCCCGCCTCCCCCTGTCCCCTTCCAGGTGCTTGGGGTGGGTCCCCTAGAGGCCTCGGACGTAGGTGGAAGGCCTCACGAGGGCCTCAAGGGGGGCCGCCTCCGCTTCCTCCCAGCTGCTTGGCTGTCCCGCAGAGGCCTCTGACGTAGGTGGAAGGCCTCAAGGAGGGCCAAGGGGCTCGCTGCCTCCTTCTCGTTTGCATGTACCCTACAGACTGGAGGGGTTAGATGGCAGCAGTGCACCGGCAGCGGGAGGCCTCCGAAGACGGCAAAAGGCGAAGGGCTGGACCCCCTGAGCCGTGCCGCTTGAACCCTCCGGGCCCTTGGTCACTCGGAACACGCTGAGAGGCCCAAGGGGAGGAAGGCGCCACGTTTTGACGTCTCCCACCACTAGAATCCGCGAGAAATCCTCGCGGAAAAGCGCGCGGGCGCGCCACCAAAGACCAGACCACAGGGGGGGGGGCGTGCGGCCCTGGATCATATATAATATTGTGTTTGAAGTACTGTACTTAATATCGTTATGTAGCGCCGTCATTAGTAAGCTGACCCGAGACTACTTAGTACCCTCACCAAACGCAACCGATACTGACGCTGACCGTCTTGGTTGGTTCTTTCGGATATTTTTGATCACTTTAATTCATGTGACCGTCGTCATGAGAACTGCATGTGATCGTCGGAAAACCAAATCAACAACTACTTGGTTTTCATTGATCAGATGCTTTAACACTCGTCAACACTTCGTCTGTTCTAGTGGTGCAAAAATCTCTCCTCTGCTACACCGCAACGTTAAGCAGAAACCTCTGAAAGTTGCAATGCAAAAACCCATAGCATAACCAACCAACACCGAGGACACTCTAACGCTAACCAAGCATTGATCAGAGTAAATATATGTTGAAAAACCGATTCATCGTCTATCGAGACGACCCGCATGCAAGAAGATGACGAACCAACACTATTGCTCACGGGCCTTCGGGGTACGACCCGTTGACATCTGATATAAGTAGACGCCACTCATTTTTTATCGCGTACGTTGGAGAAGCTCGTCCCGCTATTTGCAGCCTTTACAGTTCTACGAATGCATTGCTCACCCGAGAAAAGCATGCCTCAAGCTGCATCGGTTTGGGTTTCACTATCGCCTCCTGCTGTCAATGTTACATAGTGAGGATTTGAATCTATTCGGCGAGCTGCCTAAGATTTCCCTGACGAGTTCTACCCGCTAATGTTACATAATATTGATATTCAAACAATTCTGTCGTTTATTGCCCTTGAAATTATAGTCATAGTTGTGTAGCACTTTCAATGATTGTGTACTGAAACGCCACGCACTATATTTGTTTACAGATCATCATCGTCATCATCTGGCAAGGGCACACTCGCAGGATCTATCGCTGGCCTACCCAGACCACCAGGCGCGACCCCGTGCTGCGCCTGTGCTTCCGGGTTCAGGTGGAATTGAGGATGCTGAAGCACAGGTGTTGCCGGCATAATTTGGACCCCACCCTGTGGGGCCAAGGGTGCACCTCCATGACCCATGCTGGCTGCGCCAGGAACAACAAGTCCTCCCACTACAACTCCCGGTGTCGCTACTGTTGCTGGTGCCGAGACTCCATGTACTCCTACTCCTCCAGTTGCGGCCGCCGGAGCTACTAAATGCTGCTCATTTGGCGCATATCTCCATAATTGAAGGGCGCCGTTTTGGAGACCGACGAGGCAAAGACCGGCCGCACCGATCTGCCTCACGCAGGTCACATTGTGGACAGGAGACTGCTGAAGCTTGTCTAAAATTCGCCAACCGCATAGCCGTGTCCACTCAGGTAAGCGAAAACTACTCAATTTTCCGTCTTGGTGTCCGCAAATCTGGTGAACAAATTATAATCTTGTTAGGAAAGAATCATTAAAGTTTGTTGTAATGCTTTCCTTCTCTGTCAAACTCTACGCTGGTACTACGTACTTAGTGGTCCGGTGATACTGGGTAAGATTTAAAAAAAAACTGTACACCCTAGTTACTTAATTGTAAGCCTGAGCATGGATTTTGTTTTCTAGCACCACGAGCACGACGACGACGACAGATGATGTAAATATAAAAAGTAATACCACTCGCTCTCCAGCAAGCTCTCCTAACGTCATGACATTCTTCATGTTTGCTACCGCGTCTATGCTATGCTGCTTTTTTCCTGTGGCCGCATCGAAAAGCTGGATGCCACCTCCGCGCGTGGGTGCCGCAAGAAACGTTTGCTGACTGCTGGCTACCTCGAAGGGCATCAACGCATTCAATGCTTCGGAGGTAAGCTTCTCCGGTTTTGCCGACTCCAAACCCTGGAGCGGAAGCCGCAAGAGCCCTTTAGCGCTTGCAACGTAGATCCAGGTGTTGCCGATTACCTCAAAGGACTTCACTTCCGCGTGCAGTTCTGTTTCGAATGCGCACTTTGCATTCACCTGGCCCGCCGCCGTTTGCTCGAGCTGCCAGCACTTGAGGGAGCCGCCGTTGTCCCCGGTTATGACGATCCCCGACGCCGCGTGGCGACGAATACAGGTCACGCGCTTCGTGTGGGCCTGGAAGTCGAACTGGTCGCCTGTGTCCTTCGCGAAAACCTTCACCTGGCCGTTCCCGAGCCCTACAAAGAGGCAATTGGCCTGAAACGTCGCGCACCAGATGGCGTAATCCAGCTGAATTGTGTTTTGTTTCTTCAGAAACCAGCGCTTCACTCGGCAAGACGAGGACGCAGATGTTGAGTTGATGTTACTACTTGCCGCGGCTGCAGCTCCAGCACCTCCGAATAAGGTCGATGAAGCAGTAGAGGAGCCAGCACTTCCCGGAGAAGTGGAGGACATATTCAAGTTGCCAGCGATCGAATCCGTTTCGCGTTCCTCCAGTCCCCAAGCGATGATCTTCTTGTCGCGCGACAGAGTATAGACCATGCCTCCTGTCGCGTCACTAAGAATCTCGCACACGTCCGTTCCGTGAGCCTCCTCCGCTGAGACTGCACTTTGTCGAACCATTGCGGGATCGTCTTCAGCGATGAAGGATGCACGCTCTGACTGCGTTTTGATCAGAAAGTTCTTGTTCTTGTTGTTCTTGTTCCGGTTGCTGTTCTGCAGCTGCTTCTCTTGCTGCTTCTTCTCCTTCTGGCGCCGCCTCTTTTCCTCCTTCTTCAAAGCGTTGACGTTCTTGCGGACTGCTGACGGGGCCTGTTGCCCCCGGCAGACATCCATCATGCCGCCATTGTTGGAAGAGGAGGAGGTCTGTGGCTGCTTATTCTTCTTCTTGCTGCCGGAAGTATTCGTAGCTTTCTTCTTCTTGTTCTTACCCCCCATTTTTTTTCTTTTTCAAGAACCAAGGTACTTGTAATATAGTAAATCGAAGATCGATGATGTTGCGATGGAGAAGATAATGTAGAAATCAAAAGAAAGATTGACCGTTAAGATAAAATTGCTAAGTAGAATTGCGTGCCACTACCAGTCCTCGTCCTGGGTCAAAACTTTTCACCCAGTCTATTGAAACTTCTCCTGGCGTCACTTCTAAACAGTTCTAACCTGCTTTGATACCAAGATTGGATAGAATAAGTACTCTTGAATCTGACTCCTTACTGTCCATATGCTGTGATGCATTTATTTACGCGAGCAAGAACCGGGGAAGCCGGTCCGAGCCTACGAGCTAGGATAAAACAGGGGCGACAGCCTGTTTTGTAAAGAGCTGCGCTCGGCTCACAGGGCCATCTATCTGGGCGAGATCAAAAGTGACGGATCTAAGAGCTTGAACGAAATCGGTGTCGACATATGTGATCACAAATTCAGACATGATCATGGATCATTCATCGTTCATTTAACCTTCTAGAATTCTGTGATTTCATTCAGAAAGATCGTCATGGATTGATGCGTGTTTTCCGAGAACGTTTCTCTAGAAGCTGATCCTTGTTTTATCATTGTTTGAAATTGAACTGAAAGGCGGACGCCGGGAATAAGCAATGAATGTGAATTCAACCGAATAAATATAGTTATAAAGTTGCAACACTGATGTAAATGATTATTAATCACGATCAAGTCCGGCATGGTGCGGTCGTATCGTCACTCGTAGTCTTAATCCTATTACAATCAAAAAATTGGCTTTCCTTTTTGCTCGGTCGATCATCTACTTTTGACCTCCTGCTCCTCTGAGTTAGTAGTAGTTGAGTTGGTGAAGCCTTGGGGTCAACACGTCTGAAAAACTTTATCGCGTCTTTCAGACCAGAGCAAAATCCAGTTCCTTCCAGACTTTAAAAGTTCAAGCTCGTCCTTCATAAATTTTTCTGCCTTCACAACTACCAATTCGTGTCCTCTAGTATGCCGGTTGCTCATACTTGAGAGTTAGATGAGCCAACGTATATCTTCTATATTCTTTAATTGATCTTGGTTCTTCGTCGGTTCTGGTGGGGTACACCAAGTGAAGTACAACTGCTCGTCAAATTCATTTAGATACAACAGTATGACAATGACGAAGGCTAAACAATCTCGATCTTTTCTACCATATAAATCCATTGACTCACGCGCTTTCACGATATTTTTTAAAAATAGGCAGAGGGAGAACTTCAACTCTAAGACTAAATACTGTTGTAAGTGTAACCTTATTGGGGTTATTGCCTACTGTCGGATCCATGACACTTTGGGTCTTCTAGCCGAGGAAGATGACCACAATGAAAGAAAATTAGCTCTGCACAAACGAAATTATCTTTCCACGTTCTCGTTCTGTGAAAGTCGCTCTACTTGATGTAGTCGTGAATTATCACGTCATCGAATTTTGTCAACCTCTTTCTTAGAAAAACAAGTCATGACCCATCTCTGCAGGCGAACGGGCGGACATGATGTACAACAACAAGATCATGAATATTTTTTTTCAAAAGTCAAGATAAACATTTCCAAGGGACCTACCAATACAAATACCTAGATACAGAAGCGATCGAGTTTCGTCTTTATTGCCTGCAATGGTTGCAATGTGAAGAAAGGCGCATGCAACTTCTTGTTCAACCTTCATCGTGATAAAATTTGAAAAGATCGGCTGCTGGAAAATGCCGAACATGCAAAACCATTACCAAAACCAAAATTGAATGAATGTGATAAGCTGTTCTTTGGTGGAGTTCTTCGAGGAGGGTACTTTCAAGAACAAGCCATGGTAATTTGAGTTCGTATACATCAAAATGTCATTATAATTATTTTCTATTTATAATAAATTCATCATCATATCTTAGTGTTAGTAAATGTTATTCGTAGTAATAGGACACGAGCAAGACAAGGCTCATCAACAAGATTGCTGTGGAGTACGAGTACAACTAGCGATCTTTTGAATTTATAATACACCCAAATTTCATGAATGGTAGAATACAGACGCCACAAGATATAAACTGCAACTCACACGTTGAAAAAATTCCAAAGCTCAGCGTCAGCGTCTAACAGCAACATCTTCAACAATCCAGACTCTTATATATTGGAAGTTGTTTCCCAGCACGTGCTTCGTCCCTTTTCTCTTTAGGTATCATCATCTGTCCTCGTGGCAGCGGATCAATTAGGTACCTCCATCTGGTACTAGTAATGTTGAAAGGGTCGTGCAGAAATTCGGCATCTAGTACATCACATCGACAAGCCCCCTTCACGAAAACTGCATTTGGATCGGATTCACGTCGCCGATGCGCATCCGCTTTAAGGCAGGCTCCTCCATCTCATCGCTCCTTCGCTTACCCCCCATCAAGAGCGCTGTGCCTGGAGTAGCTAGGAACGAAATTATGAGGAGATGAAGGTCAACATCTGATCTTGTTCGTGCTAGTGAAACTGAAATTCTTCACTACTCCTGCATGGCATCAAGAACAGGGGTACAACTAATCAGAACTACACCGATATTATGTAAGTGAATGACTGCTGTACCAAATGTTCCAAAAGGTGCGCCACCAAGCTGGTCCTGGACGCCGGCTCCGTGACCACCGGACGTCATGCCGAAAAGGTTACTTACAGCAGAAGAGGTCACCGTATCCGGCCCGATGACTTAGACAAGTTGTAACTGGTAGGTACTGGTGGTGCTAGAAGTATCAGTACCACACAAAAAGAAAAGGCAAAAGAAAATGGGGCAAAACTAGAAGATCTAGAACTGCTTACAACGAGAGTCATAAAGCATGTTCGATGTTGCGGGAGTCGAGGATGTCGTCATCATGGACTGGTCTATCATGCAGTTGTTGTTCCCGTTCTGCATTGGCGTCATGAACAGGTTATTCTCTGTCACGCCTCGCGCGGTGGAGGAGTGCATACTAGTCGAACAGCTGCTGCTGGAAAGCCTGTGCTGGGATTGCAGCGGGTGCGGGTGAGAAAGTGACGTCACTAATAGTCCTGGAGCCCCGTCTGCAGTGAGATGTGAACTGATGTTAGAGCTGCTCGAGGTATTTTTTTAGTATTATTTCATCGTCATCCCATGCGCTAGGTATTCGTCCTTGTTCAAGCCCAATGAATTCTATTGCTAAGGAGCAGCTAAAATTGTTCTGTCAAGGGAAGCCCGTCTTCTCTTGGGAGGATCTTGTTCGGATATAACAACTTCTACTAAGAACATCATCCTACAACAACATAAGATTATAATATATACACCGATATGTCATCCTCACGTGAGACATGGCACTCTCCGTTAAGTGCGGCGTTATTCGACCAGCATTGTCGGACGACAGTAGACGAAGAGATTGGAAAACTACTACTACGACTACTACTCATACTACTAAGACCTAGCCGCCATAACCATGTGATTGTTGAACTGCTGGTGTGAAGCTTGTGTCGTGGACGTGGAACGGCCCATCTCATAGTCGTAGCAGAGATCTGAGCCCCAGATTTCGGAACGACCACCGTGGTACGGCCGGTAACCGGCGCTAGTAGAAGAAGTGTCCGCCATATTGTAGCGCTCAACACAGTTCGCGACAAACGACGTCGACATGAATTTAAAGTTACAACAGGATGCTATGTATTGATGTCAAGTAGATAAGTCTAACACAACTAAGCAGTGAGTTGACGTACTATGATCATGAAATTAAAGTCTAAATCGTTCGAAGAACAATACTAGGCTTCCACGCTTTCGTCCTACCAGAGTGAGGACTACTTCATCTTGTCTTTGCTTGGATCTTCGATAGTGATTCGGTCTCGTCCATTTCCACTCCGTATGTTTCTAGAAGAATTCTGTAGAATAAGTGTCATTGATTATGCAGTACTAGATTCATCAACATGCTTTCTCTCGTTTCTGATTGAACCATAAAAAACACTCGTCTTCTTTTCTCTCAAGCGCTCGCCTCCCAGCTTTGATGTCATCTAGGCATTTTGACAGTGACCTCGTCTTGCCTTTGATATTGCGATCAAAAAATAAACTACCGATTCGAAATAAGTAATTTGCCGAAAAAAAATAGATTTGCCGTCGGCCTCTAGTTCATCTTATTTGCCGAACAACTGTGAACAAGAACGAGCTTTTCTGGAATTCTTGACCTTTTCTTTATATTTTCTTGTGCGCAAACACTCCTCTAGAGGCTTCTGCAGATGTCGCTGCATCGTTGTCCATCCTGACCAGCACATGCTCAGGTGGTGGTTGGACACAGTCAGAGATTCGCTTCATCTACTTCGTTCAACAAGAATCATAACGTGGTGCATGATTACAACAGGAGTGATTTCAATTGCGTAGAGGACTATCATATGCAACAATCAATCTGAGTTTGTGTTGTATGCGTGTTATAAAAACTTGTCAATGCGTGGTAAACCTAATCGCAAGAACTGAGAGCGAATGATTAGATAAGACCCTCTATGATGCGCAGACATTTTCACGTTCTCTCCATGTCCATCACTTTTTACAATTACAATCCATTAGTCTACGATATTTTCCGTGGTATTTCTAAAAATTCACTATTCAACATACATCTATTCAAACAATTACAATAGCAAGACTGACGAAATGAAAAAAAAAAGAACAGAGACATGTGCAAAAGATCATATACATAGATACAGCGAAGTATTCAGCAATAGTAAAAGAACAACGAACTAAGTATTCATCGACATCGAGCGAACAAATAACAAGCGGTTGAAGGAAAACATCGGAATGTTTTCATTTGTACTATAGCAATGATGATTGAAGTCTGACATTATTACACCTGTACTATCAGTGAAAGAAAGGGAGCAGCATGTATTCGTTATAGCAAAACATAAATTTGGATTCTTTTAGCCCTTGGGTGGTCTGTGAACTGAGACCTTGCCATTAGGATGGTGGACAGCAATGCTATTGCTGTTTCCCAGCGTGAGCTTGCTCCCTTTGCGCTTCGACTCCCTTACCAGGCTATCCAGTATCAGATTCGCGGAAGTCTGTCATATGATTGGATTTGAACGTCGAAGTCGTATTCGATTGTTCTTGTGCAAGTTCACAAGGTTAACACGCTCTAGCTCAATGAATCTCAATCTAAAAAAAAATGTTCTACTTCTAACAGTTGATGAAAGTCATTTCTGGCACTGGCAACCGAGAGCGACTACATCTAGCTAAGTAGTTGTAGACGTACACCTAGAGGTCATGTATGTATGTAATGAAAGTGCTCCAATGTAGTCCTTGATCTAACTGATATTCATTTGTTCTTGTAGAAGTACCGAGGAGGCTCCAGAATTCGGCTCCGCGCGCTTGGAGATTTGGAGATTTGGCACGGAGGAGGTAGTGCTGCGGCGGGCAGGGAGTGCGATAGCGATTCCCGACTTTTGGGCCATTTTGTCCAGAACTAAGTCTCGTTGCAAGCTTTGCAGGCGAATTCGCATCGCTATCACGTTCGGATCATTCGAGTCCAGGTCATCCGTGACCTGTGCTAACCGGTTATTGACGTCACTCATCGCGGATGCGGCCTCCTCCCGTCGCCTCGTCACCTCATCAAGAGTAGGTGCCGCTATTTCGGCTTCCAAAGACGCTGATGATGTTCGACCACCTCCTCCCATTGTAAAGGTCGGTGTATTCAAAAGAGAAGACGACGACCGTGGAGGAGATATGAACATCATCGGTCTGCTGCTACTGCTCCTGTTTCCCGTCGATGCCAATGTATTGCCAGAGGAGTCCGACAATCGTCGAGCAGCTGTAGGCGGTAAGGCGGGGGTAGACCTTGACATCGAAATGCCACGAATTGGCTCCGACGAATCACTCGGACTCGCGGCTTCGCCTTCTGCCGCGACCATACGACCTCCTCGCGCGTCGTCAAAGGGCGCACTAAATCCACGGACGAGTGATCCTCTATTATTGCCTCTAGTAGCTTTGGCGGTTGAGGATGTCCTCTTCCCCCCAGCGCTCGCTCTCTTAGCTTGCGCGGCCGCCTTTTCCTTTTGTGATTTGAAAGCACTCATGAAATCAAGGTGCTCCTCATCACCACTTGACTCCTCGTCCGCCGCTGCGGTGTCCTGGAAACCTTGTTGCTGAGCTCCAGCGTCTTCTGGCCCGCCTGATTTATTTTGCGGAGCACATGCATATGATCACAGCCAGTAGATTATGTAAGAATGTTGGAGAGATTCCAGTCTTTTTTTTGATGAATGTCCTTGATGGGCCACAGCAGAAGTCAGAACAAACAGAATCATGTAGCAGAAAAACTCATCTAGTGGAAGATGAAGATAGTACAGGCACATGAAGGGAGTAAGCCGAGGGAAATTATCCAGCTATTATTCTGAGAAGTACTAGATACAACATGCTGTTTATCTAGTACTTTCATGTGTGTATCCATGAGCATGATGATGCTGTTCGGAGCACCCGTAGGGACAAGTTCTGAAAGTTTATCTTTCAGACCAATTACCTTTTAAACAAGAACATGGACAAGGACATGCTTTCAAATGCAGCTTTCTTCCTATTGCAGCCATTCCTCAACTATGACTCTGAAAAATTCTCATCTAGAAGCCATTGATTGAGAAAATAGTACCTCCAGCTGATATTCGGTCTTCCTGACTTGCGCGATAGGCTTGCGTAGTTGACGTACTTTCGCGAGTAAGCGGTATGCCCATCGCAACGCTGTTGCAACCAGGCACTTTCCTTGGGCCCACCATCGGACTCATCTCCATTTCATTTCGATTAACCATTGCACCTGGTGAGAGCGTCCCGGACTCGACGTCGGCGTCTGCTGTGCCTCCTCCAGTAGCAGGGCCTGGGGACGCATTACGACTTCCACGACGCCCTCCTGGAGGTGAAGACGGGCTATCGCGCTGCTTCTCCTTCACTAATTGCGCATTGTACTTGGCGCTGATGCCGGTTGGGGCGTGAGTGATGTGCGTGGGGTCATCGTACGAAACTTTTGTGTTGTGGTCCCAGTGGCCGGCAGGAGCGTCTCCCAGAGAAATGTTGTCTCGCAATGAGCCGCGGAAAAGGCTCTCATGTGCTTTCGGACCTTCTCCGAAATTCCCACCAAACACTTGGTCGCCAGTTAAAACTGCAGCGGCACTCGCTGGAGCTCCTCCTGCATTTGCTCCTAACACGCGCGCAGATTGCGCCCCACTCTTAACTCTGCTCGGATTTCGCGACGACGTCGTCGTCCTCGAGACCTTACTGCCACTGTTCGCGCTGTTCACTTGCTGGACCAAGACTTTCATCATTTTTTCGCGCTCTGAGAGGAAGTCCGCAGATCGTCCTAATGCTGCTAGTGGGTCACTCGAGATTAGCCTGCTCTCAGGTCGCCCACGCCAAGATCGTCCTGTCCCCGCTGCAGCCACACTCGCACTTCGTCCCCTGCTTCTAATTATGGGAGATGTTGTACTTTTAGAGGCAGTAGAAGAGGCAGCGGATTTTCCTCCCATCCTATCGATTGACGAGCTCCAAGTGCTGGACAACGTCTTCCCCGATCGAGCCCCTGCAGAAGGGGAATCCACTAACTCGTATGCGAAGGAGACATCACGAGAAGCACTTCCTATCGTGCCCAAATCAGCTGGGGCTGTGTTGCGGATAGAAGCAGATGTTGTTTCCGGCTCCCCCTCGTAAACTGTGTTTCCCCTGCTAGCTGACGCCGACGCTCCGGGGGACAGGTGGGAGAGTTGCTGCATAGCGGCAGCACTAGCACCGTCGGCATGAATCGACGTTCGCAAGGCGCTAGTGAGGTTCTGCAAACTTGCGCCAAGGCCGCTGCCCTCGACCATCAACTCCTGCTTCAAAACCTGTGCAGTGTCTGTGAGCTCCTGCTTCATCTGCTCAGTGTGCTCGTCCAGTTCCAGTTTGCCATGCTCCACCAGTAGCTCGCCGTGTCGCTGTATGACCATCATCGTGTTTCCCATCGCTTCGTCTGTTACTAAGAGCTGCCGTTTCAGCAGATAGTCCGCTGTAGCTGTCGTGGTCGCGCCTTGATTGAGCCCGTCGGCGGCCTGGAGGAGGTTTTCTTGAAAGTGCTCATCTACTGTATCGAAGTGGCGCTCTAGAATTTGATTGCGTGCATTTTGTGATTCCTCAATGAGGTCAGCTCGCCGGAGCGCGATTTCCGTCTGTCGCTCTCGAAAGTCAAGCGGCTCTTCGCTCGCCCCTTCATCTGCATCTGCTGGACTCGACGAGTCCATGAAGGCTTTGGTGCTTGGGCCTTGGTTTCGGGCTGGCAGTGTATAGCTTGTACCTATACCTGACGCTTCTATTTGTTGTGGTCTAGTGGTAGTGCCTTGCTGAGGCTGTCCTCCGGGAACTGTGTACCAGGCAGGCACCGGCAGACCTACGCTTGGGCGTGCGCCTCCTCGAAGCAACTGAGCAGTACCACCAACAAGTGACGATCTTCCAGCCCCTCCGCTACTCGGACCTGCCTGCACTAAGGATGTCCGCGCACCACTCATGATGGTGCCCCCCGCAGTACTAGACAACTTGTTCGCAGCACCTATTCGTGGCTGCACTAGAGAGCCTCGCATTGACGCGTTTGATCCTTTCAGCTGTGTCGACGGCCGGTCGAGCCTGAATGGCATCCGAAACAGTGGCTGACCCGCTTTCTGTTGGTCAGTACCCCCTGTAATTGTATCACTAGTTGCTGACACTCCCAACCTGCGAAGTCTGTCCAGGAGGCTCGCCTCCGAGTCATCCACGAGCAACTGCACTAGCTTGTCGCGTGCGTTCTGTCAGAATTCATGAAGGCAAAAACGATAAGAAACGATCACTCATGTCCATTAACGATAACGCCCACGAAAAACCAATGCGTCTACTTACTTAATTTTTGGGAAGCACAAACACAAATACAGAAGCAAGCGCTAAGGCAAATCTTCTTCATTTCCTATCAAACCCATCTTCAACCAAAAGCGTTCAGGGAAAAGCAGACTTTTGGAAACTTATGCAATCTACACAGCACCAACAGCAATACGGCCGGCTTGTTCCAGCTCCAGAGAGATTCCTCGAGATGACCCCAAAACCAACAAAATCGTATTGAACAAGTTTATTGTAAAAACGTGATGTAAAATAACTATGTATATTTATAAATATAGATATCAAGTGGTTCCCCGGATGTAGATGATCTTATAATCTTGGCCATGTTCAGCACCTTCTCCTTCTACTTGTCTTCTGCCTGGTTCGTACCGCAGCCACCTGTCTTATTTTATATTCCTATAAAAAACCAAGAACCCAAGAATTATTAAAACGATATTTATAAATATATATTATTATGTTACCTGTCCACTAGGACCAGAGACGAAGATTAGCGGCGGCATATTCAACTCGCGCGACGTTGAACCAAGCTTCGCACTGCCGACGGGCGCAGCCTGACTGAGAGAAACGCTCAACAAGGCAGGCCCTGGTGAATCCTGTGCCGCTTGGTGAGGGAAGGATGTGCTGCCAAGGAGCGCAAACCCCTTCGCTTTGGAGTCTCTTTTGCTACGCCGGTGTGCGAGTATCTGATGCTTCGAGGGAATCTCCACTGGCACGTGTCCGGTGTCGAGCTCCTTGTGCATTTGGGTGATGAAGCCGCCAAGCTCTTCGAGGTGGTCACGCCGGTCAGCGTAAGAATCGTCGTGGCATTCATCGTGCGCATTCACATCCCGGAAATAGGTTTGGCGCTTGTAATAGGCCATATCCAGCGCCGGCAGCGCGTCATAGTTTTTGCCGCACTCTGCTGCGGCTTTGATAGCAGCCTCAAGAGCTACTGGATCCTCCTGTTCCTGCTCGTACGCATTTTGATTGTCACCCTTCATCGCGTGCTTGACGCTACCCTCTGAGTCAGACGTCGCCGGCGTCATTCCCTCGACTGGGGTATTACCCAGATCCGGCGTTCCATCTTCTACGACTGACTGCAGCCGCCCCCTAGTGTCCTCTTCTTCCTCCGAAGAGGAGGAGCTCGACGCTGCGTCATCGGTGGCCCCCGCACTAGCTAAGAGAGAGCTGCGTCGTCTAGGGGGTTCTTCGGCGGCCTCGGTCTCTTGAGGGCCAAAGTACTCTGGGTTGGCAGCTCGCCGTACGCGCAAATAGTGCTGAAATTCATCTTCCTCCTCATCTCCTTCTGCTGCAGTAGCATTTTCTGCGGTAGTATTTTCGGATTTTTTCGCAGGTTCAGGCTGCACAAAACCCGTCTTGCGATACTTTTCCTTCACATCTTCACCCAGCTCGGTGCCGGTAGCGAAACCTACAGCCTTCGGGGAGCTTGGGGTCGGCGCAGGGACAGTGGTTGGAGGCGGTGGAGGTGGAAGGGCAGATGTGTCTCTCGCGCTCGACACCGACGCTCTGGAGGCCGCAGACGAGAACTCTCCAGTGAATGACGGTCTGCCTCCCGACATCATGGAAGATGCCGAGAACCTACTATCGCGCGCGCTCGACATTGGAACGCCGGTTCGGCGATACGCCTTCGAAATCTTGTCATTCAGTACCTCGGAATGAAAAGAGACTTTGTGCGGAACGCCTATCGGAGGTGCGCCTCTAAGCTCGGTCGTCGTCGTATCTCCCAGAGTAGCTGCCAAGATATCATCCACCGTACTCTTCGGTGCTGTCGAGGCTCTGCTCATTGGTCGCTTGCTTTCGTCCATGCTGTCAGCTTGATCCGACGTCTCGGACTCCGTTAGATTTTGGCTCTGTCCCATGCCCGCGCTCTTCATCATGGCAACGGTCCCCCGGGGCTTCGCGATGACCTTCTTCTTTGTGGCGGAAACTGCAGTGCTCGCATCACGCGGATCGTACTCCCGAATCGATTCCAGAGCGTCGGCAAAAACAGTCATCTTCTTGTTACCTGCTGTGGTCTTTCCAGAGTTTGCAGGAGACTCGGAGCCTACTATGTGAACTACCGGGATAGATCCGCTTGACATCCGCTCCTCGCTGTCCCTCCCTGTGACTGGAGCACCTCGCGCTAAATTCGACATTGTAGTACCTCCAGTAGCAGTGATGTTCAAATTGAGACTTGCAGTAGAAGTTGTCCCACTTCCGCTTTTCAGGAAGGCTGTCTTGCGATAAGCCTGCTTTCCTGAATCGTCGTCACCCATATCAGCAAGACCAACAACCGCGGCTTTACTCGAGACGAAACCTGTCTTCCTGTACTGTTGCTTGCTCTCGTCGTCGTCGGCAGACGCTGTCTCAAATCCTACAACAGGTGGGGAATTCTCTTTCTTTACAAAACCTGTTTTCCGGTAGAGTTCCTTCGCATCGTTCCCATAATCGGATGCATCAAACGAGACCGCTGCGGGCGCATCATCTGCTCTAACGAAACCCGTTTTGCGATACTGCGTTTTGGCTTCATCATCATGATGTTCAGCCTCGAAGGAAACTGCAGCTGCGGGCGCATCATCTGCTCTAACGAAACCCGTTTTGCGATACTGCGTTTTGGCTTCATCATCATCATGTTCAGCCTCGAAGGAAACTGCAGCTGCGGGGTCATCATCTGCTCTAACGAAACCCGTTTTGCGATACTGCGCTTTGGCTTCATCATCGTCATGTTCAGCCTCAAAGGAAACTGCAGCTGCGGGCGCATCATCTGCTCTAACGAAACCCGTTTTGCGATACTGCGCTTTGGTGTCGTCATCGTCAAGCTCAGCCTCGAAGGAAACTGCAGCTGCAGGCGCATCATCTGCTCTAACGAAACCCGTTTTGCGATACTGCGCTTTGGCTTCATCATCGTCATGTTCAGCCTCGAAGGAAACTGCAGCTGCGGGCGCATCATCTGCTCTAACGAAACCCGTTTTGCGATACTGCGCTTTGGCGTCGTCATCGTCATGCTCAGCCTCGAAGGAAACTGCAGCTGCGGGCGCATCATCTGCTCTAACGAAACCCGTTTTACGATACTGCGCCTTGGCTTCGTCGTCATGATCAGCGTCGAAGGAAACCGCAGCTGCAGGCGCATCATCTGCTCTAACGAAACCCGTTTTGCGATACTGCGCTTTGGCTTCATCATCGTCATGTTCAGCCTCGAAGGAAACTGCAGCTGCGGGCGCATCATCTGCTCTAACGAAACCCGTTTTGCGATACTGCGCTTTGGCGTCGTCATCGTCATGCTCAGCCTCGAAGGAAACTGCAGCTGCGGGCGCATCATCTGCTCTAACGAAACCCGTTTTACGATACTGCGCCTTGGCTTCGTCGTCATGATCAGCGTCGAAGGAAACCGCAGCTGCAGGCGCATCATCTGCTCTAACGAAACCCGTTTTGCGATACTTTGCCTTAGCCTCATCATCATCATGCTCAGCGTCGAAGGAAACCGCAGCTGCAGGCGCATCATCTGCTCTAATGAAACCCGTTTTACGATACTGCGCCTTGGCGTCGTCGTCATGATCAGCGTCGAAGGAAACCGCAGCTGCAGGCGCGTCATCTGCTCTAACGAAACCCGTTTTGCGATACTTTGCCTTAGCTTCATCATCGTCATGCTCAGCGTCGAAGGAAACCGCAGCTGCAGGCGCATCATCTGCTCTAACGAAACCCGTTTTACGATACTGCGCCTTGGCGTCGTCGTCATGATCAGCGTCGAAGGAAACCGCAGCTGCAGGCGCGTCATCTGCTCTAACGAAACCCGTTTTGCGATACTTTGCCTTAGCTTCATCATCGTCATGCTCTTCGTCGAAGGAAACCGCAGCTGCAGGCGCATCACCTGCTCTAACGAAACGCGTCTTGCGATACTGTGCCTTAGCTTCATCATCGTCATGCTCAGCGTCGAAAGAAACCGCAGCTGCAGGCGCATCATCTGCTCTGACGAAACCCGTTTTGCGATACTGTGCCTTAGCTTCATCATCGTCATGCTCAGCGTCAAAGGAAACTCCTCCTGGAGGGCTGCCTTTGACAAAACCCGTTTTGCGATACTGCGCCTTGGCTTCATCTTCGTCCTGTTCAGCGTCAAGAGACAACCCTCCCGCAGGGTTGCCCTTGACAAAACCTGTTTTACGATACTGCGCCTTGGCTTCATCACCGTCACTCTCCGCGTCGAAGGAAACCTCTCCCGCAGGGATGCCTTTGACAAAACCCGTTTTGCGATAATGCATCTTGGCTTCATCTTCGTCCTGTTCAGGTTCAGCGTCAAAAGACACCACTCCCGCGGCGTTGCCCTTGACAAAACCTGTTTTACGATACTGCGCCTTGGCTTCATCTTCGTCCTGTTCAGCGTCAAAAGACACCCCTCCCGCAGCGTTGCCCTTGACAAAACCTGTTTTACGATACTGCGCCTTGGCTTCATCTTCGTCTTCCCCCGCCCCGTCAAATGTAACAGCTGCAGGTGCGTCGCCAGTTCTGGCAAACCCGGTTTTCCTGTATTGTTCCTTCACCACATCGTCCTCCACCTCTCCGCCATGATCAAAGCTAACGGCTGAAGGAACATCATCTTTATGAGCGAAGCCTGTTTTCCGGTAGCGTTGGGTCTCTTTGTCGTCATTCGAAAGCGCACTGTCACGAAATTGAACTTCTACTGGCACTTCTTCCTTTGGCGTGAAACCGGTTTTCCTGTACTGCGTTTTGGCTTCCTCATCCGCCTCAGAATCCACATCGAATCCGACTGTGCTCTTACCTCTATTAGCAACGGTTGCGCCAGCAGTTGCCTTTGGCGCACTAGCTTGATCACCTGCTCGAGCGGGTGGTTGCATCAGCGTCGTAGTGGCAAGGATCTTAGCCTTCTTGGAGTCCACAGTTTCATACTTGTTCATGTTTCCTTCGGTCTCGAATTCTTCGACTGATTCGACCTTTCGCCGGAACATCGTGCGACGCCCTTTCTTTTTTTGTTGCTTATCAACACCTTCTTCCGAGGATGAAACGGACAGTAGAGAAGACGAAGTCGGAAGCGAAGGTGAGCTACTGCTCTTTCCGTCCACTGCTACAACTTTTTGTGTGCTGTTAGGAAATGGGTCATCGGACATGCGAGACGCCGATAGGCTGTCAAGTGGCGAATCATCCGTGGCGAAGGACACCCCACTCCCAGCGGCAGTCTTAACGTGGGATAAGCCCGTTTTTCTATACTTTTTCTTTTCCGCATCTTCATCATTGTCGTCTGTTTCCGCAAATTGAACCACACCAGGCGCATCCTCAGACTTCACAAACCCAGTTTTCCGGTATCGCTCTTTTTTCTCAGAGATATCCAGTTCGGAGGCAAAGCCTACTACAGGCGGGACGTCCTCTGGCTTTGCGAAGCCTGTTTTCCGGTACTTTTCTTTCACTTCCTCATCCGCGCCATCTGCAGCGACACCGTCAAAGTCCACTACCGCAGGAACATCAGAAGGCCTCGCAAAACCGGTTTGTCTATACCGCTTTTTTTCCTCGTCGTCGTCGCCGGCTTCGGGGCTGAAGCCGACGACAGGCGGCATGCCCTCTTTAGCGGCAAATCCCGTCTTGCGATAGCGCTCTCGTTGCAGTTCGTCGTCATCGCCTTGTGCAGCATCGAACGCGACGCCCTTATTTGCTGTGCTACTGTTGCTCTTTGTCTTGTACTTTGCCATCTTTCCATCAGCTTCGTACTCTCCGACAGACTCGAGTGTCTCGGCGAACTGCGTTCTGCCCTCCTCACCCGGTGCAGAAACTGCGGAGATGGTGGCTTCATGATCGTCGTCAGCGGGGACGTTTGCCTCCTCATCTCCCTGCTCACGACCAGACATCCCGAGGCTTTGTACCGTTGTGCGGCGCCCTTCTATCTCGCTTTCGGAGGAGGACTCCTCCTCTTGACTCGTACCCGTCATACTGCCAACATATATGTTCGACCCCATGGGCCTCTCACCTTCACCAGGACCAGGCGCAGAGGCACCTTCACCCGCCATCTATTTTTTTTTTCAGAACAAGGAATCACAAGAATGAACTTCTCAAACTCAACAAGTGATAGGTTTTTGAAAATGAAATCGAAGTAGTACTAAATTATAAGAATGAACTAAAAGTTCTTCTGCTGGACAACTTAGGACAAATATGATGTTTCATACTTAGTACAACATCTACAACCGATGGACTATGTGTGCGCTGTGCAAATCGAGGAATCAAGAATAGAAATCAAATGATCTCAGTGATTATGATCATCTGTAGCGCTAAAAGGAACATAGAAAGGGAAATTACAGAGAAGAACTCGAACAACTATCTAAGCAAGCTATGAAGAAAACAAAGCCGAAAAAGACGAAAGAATGCACTTCTTAGTCGGTGTTTCCTACAAGTGACTCAAGTTCTTTGGAAACCATGATCATTCGAATCTAGTGTTCGGCCTCATCGTACCGGTTAGAAGTCATGATATACAAAAGGAATCATAAGATCATCACTGATCACTATTAGTCTACAACTAAGTATATCTACATGGGGTTTGACAGGGGAATCCAAAATTGCGGAAAAATCAATCGCCTATGCTTGAGAAATCTTCATAGCCATGTGGTGCTGTGAAGGCTCTAGGAGGCTAGCACCTGATGTGTAATTGGTTTGGGTGGGAAAGAACAATTTGCAACTTAGTCATATTCTCAACTTTTGTATTTACAACCTACATTGTCATGTACGCACTGGGTCAGCATCAGCACTCAGGGTCAGGCAATAGTTCACACCACCGAACAATATCTTATCTCATGAACAGACATTCTTGATCTTCATCTTTGTCGTTTTGGTTAGATTACGACGACCTCCGATCACAGACGTAGCGCACGTGACAGGAGACGCTCTTATCATCTCTCAAGTAGATGATCTTCCTGAAAGGATCGTCGATGGGGAACATGAAGACGCTCTCATGCGCCAACCTCGGGCATGACCCTTGGTCTTAGATGAACATCAATTCCTTCAATAAAACGGGAGATAAGCAGACGCCAGCTCCGTTTCAACTCTTCTCTCGTCTGATGTGTTTCACTCAACATTATGAGTAAGTAATTTCAAGACCATCATTTTCATTCCAGACATGTCGAAAATATCATCGACTTCCAGCTTTAGTCTCGACAACAGATTCTTCCGACCGAACCTGAACCTCCTCGTCGGTAAATCTTCGTAGCTCATACAACACAACCTGCAACTACAGCACCGACTCTTAGCAGGATCTTCAAGGACGAACAAAATCGGATAACTATGCAGTTGTATATTAGTGTCAACCTCGAAGCAGCAGGTGTCGCAGATCGACGATGTAAAGCCTCTAGAAAGTCAAAGTTATCAATTTGAACTAGGACGTTAACGAAGATGCATGTGAATGGGCTATGTTCATTACGAGAGGTCTACTACATTCATTTTAGAGAAAGGAGGAAAGGGAAAAAATTGTTGCAGCTTATGACAGACGGGTATGCGCGTGAGAAGTTGCAGCCATCCAAAGACATCGAAGATTGTGGACTGCGCAACGGATGAAATTGGCGGTGGTACACGTTGTACCACTCATGAGTAGGAGTAGGAGTGGGTACAACTACAACAAACACAAAGGCAAGGCAAAGACTGACTATGAAAAGTCCGGGTCCGCGTCTGCAAGCTTTAGCTTTTATGATAGATACACCTTAATGCTCCTCCTTTGGAAAATGAAAAGAAGCGAAGCGTCGAGGGAACGACAAGATTATTTGTTTTTTCGCTTGTTGACAAGGTCCTTGAGACTCGCCAAATCATCGTTTAGTCGGGACCTACCTTTCCCCCCACCAGTCTGGTCCCGGTTGTTGGCGCGATAGTTCCCGCCAGGGTGTCCACCTTTATTGCTACCTCCAGCTGAGCCTCCTTTGTTGTAGTTCCCAGGAGCCGATTGTCCTCCGGACCCCCCTACCCATCCCGTGGGGGCTTGTCCTTGCTGTTGCGCAGGAGCGCCACTCCAGCCGCCATTCCAAGTAGTGGGCGCCGTCTTTGAAGGAGATCGCGGATGCTGATTCGAGGAGATGACCTGCTGTTGATGCTGTTGTAGAACCACGGGTCTCGAACTGGTTGTGCCACCTGGCGGACCACCTGTCGTGGAAGCCCCTCGCGTTGCGTTTGTACTAGGTGGACGCACAGAAGTTGTAGTGGAGGGTGGCCCTCGGTCGTGCTGCACCGCTATATTCATAGGCTGCTGCTGCTGCTCGACAGCATGATTTGGCGGCGGCGCGCCACTATTAGAGGCAGGCTTTTGGTGCTCACTTACCCCGCTTGTTATGCCTTTCTCCCTTAGGAGAGGCATAAAAAGCGGTAAGAAAAGCACCTTTAACATACCCTTAACACTAGAAGAACTGGGTGGAGGAACGAAAACACCTCCACTCGGAGCAGCTGATGTCCCATGTGGAAGTTGTGAGGAAACTGCACCAGTACTGCCACTGACTACAACAACAGCTGGCCTTCCTCCTCCAGCTACGACCACTCGTTGCCCGACTGCTCCAGGTCCACGAGTTCCACCTCCGCTGACAGAAGCGGCTACGACTGCTGGTTGTCCACCTCCCACCCTTCCAGCAGTACTCCTAGTAGACGAGGTAGAAGTAGACATAATAGAAGCTGGAGGAGCGCTTGCAGTCGCATTCGCTCCTACTGCAGGCGGCTTCCACACGGACGCAGCTGCGTTTTCTGCACCTTGAGGTTTTCCTGGACTGCGATTGCGCTGGTTCACTAAATTCCGAAGGTCAGTTGACACTATGCGTTGACCACTACCTCCGCCTCCGCCGTGATACTGACTATTGTAATCTCGGTCACCTGTTGTAGTAATGTAGTCAGTTGTTCGGTTGAGTGACTGTGACGTTAAAAATAATCGTGCGCTTGTTATACTAGCAGGTAGTTTTTCATTTTGATTTTTGTAGCCAACAAAAATTTTCATTATGGAGAGGGCCACAAGAATGCTTACGTTGGGTTTTTTCATATTTGACGAACAAAGGACATTGTTTTGCGACGTGAATATTTACCTCTTGCTGGCTGTTGATGCGTTGCCCAGTTCGACTTCTCTTGACGACTGCGACGCGCGAATTCACTGTGCCGCTCTTGCTCTCGTTGCAAGTGAACAGTTATCTCACGACCAAAAAGCCTGTTTTCAAGCAACTGTCGCAGCTCAATCTCGCATGGGCCTCCGACGAGCCACGGCACAGATCCTTGCGGCGGATTCACCTGCAGCCGCGGACGTGGAAAGTTAATGACCATGCATAATGATCGTTGAAGAAGAAGAAGTTGATGATGAATATTCTTGTCATTAGATACCGGAAAAAACATCCACGCCGTCGTTTGACCCATAATTAGTCAAATAAACGAGGATCAAAGAAGTTTTAGTACTAAGTCCATGTGCATGTCTGTTGCAAAAAAATGATAGCACAGAACTCAATTGTTCCAGCCGTACCATTAAGTCGTATTCCTTGCCGGATACTGCTTTAACCATAGGCTGCTCTTTTCCGAGCCGGAAATGCGCTGCAGGTGCATCTAAAGCCTTCTCTGCGCTGTCTTGTGAAGCGTACTCGATCACAACCTTGAATTATTTTGATTGCAATTCAAAACATAATTGATAACAGAGTGGGTAAAGAGGACAAAGACATCCATTTTCAAGAAGTAGCAGTATGTTGGTGCCCTAGTCCTAACGCCTCTGTCGTCGCATCCACATTGGAAAATTTTCACAAATTTTCCAACAGATTGATGCCACTATAGATTTTTTAGGTTATTCAAGTTCATCAGAAAACTATTATACCACTCCGAAACTGATTCCCGTGCGCGGCTGCTCGAGACACCTTACATGCCGCACTGTCCCTAGCTCGCCCGCCTTTTTTCTTATGGTTCCAATGCCTGTTGTGGACAGCAAATTCGCGACAAGAATGCAATGCTTCGCGCTGCCTCCGCCGTCAGGCACGGCTGGTGGTGCTGCAACCCGTACGTCCTGCACACGCTCCTTGTAGACTGCTGGCGCTGGAGAGTCGCATTCAAAGGGAGCAATGGCAATGCAGTGAACAAGAACAACCAGCTGTATCTGTAACTGTATCTATGCATTCTATAGTTCTCAGTACGAAAACCTGTACCTGAGTGATGTTTTTGGAAAGGATCTTCACAATAACTCTAGTACCTCCTAAAGGTAAACGAAATGTTGAAATAAATCGTAGAACAGGTGGTTAATTTCAATGTAGCACTGTCGCAAATAAAAAGTGATATACCATTGTAGGCTCCGCCTTTACGGTACGCCGGTTTTCGCACTTGCGCTCGGGAGTAGTAGTCGCTCAGCTTGATGGCTTTGTCAAGCTGTTTCGGCAGCATGGTTTTCACGTCATCGGCATATTTTCGGTCGTTGCGGGCTATGTCTTCGAAGTCTGACCACTCACTTGTTTCTGCTCCATAATCGTCGCTTTCTGGTTCCTCTGGCTCTTCTTCGGTGTTGCTGAACGTCCTAGACACTTTTTTTTCTACCACATGATCCCCTTCATTAGCGTTATCACGGGCCTCTTCGTCACCGGCTGGAAGCTCTTTCGTGCCGGCATCTTCTTGACCATTTATTATTACGTTCGCTGAAGATGTCGCCGCCGTGGTGCCGTCCGAAAACGTCTTAGTAGCGAGATCGTGTTCACTTTCGTCTAGTTTTGGCCGTTTCAATGCAGGCGAGTCAGGCTTCTTCTGGTCTTTTTCGTCAGCTTCTGCCCGCCTCCTCTTCAGCATTTTTTCGTATTTTCGCATTTTTGCGACGATTTCCTCATCATTTCCCGAGTTGATGACGCGAAACATGCTCGACGAAGACGCGCGCGGCTTAATCGGAGGACTCCGTGTCACGAGTCTGCTGGGTGACGAAACAGCGGAGGCGGTCGCTTTGCTCACTGCCTGGTGACTCGGAGACATTGGCGCACCAGGACTAAGCGATGCCGATATTCCAATCGCAGTCGAAGAGGACGCTTGCTGCAACTGCTGAGCATTGTATGTTGTTCCGCTTGTTGCAGGTTGTGACGATCTCGACGCCGAGCCAGCAACTGCTGTGCCAGCTGCAAACCCCGTCGAAGAAGCCTCAGCCTGTTGTTGAGGTTTTCCGGCGCCCCCCGCAGTTCCGTTTTGCTGATAATCTTCCACCGAATCGCCGATAGCGGCTCCGTCTGGAGCATTCCTTGATGTCTGCTTCATTTGACGCGGAGCTCCTCCTCCTCCTCCAGAGGTGTTTTCGAACCCCAGCGTCGCGTCTACTTTTGCACATGCTCGTCCGGCATCACCTCCTGAAATCTCTTCATGTTGCGCGACTCCCACGAGGACAGTTGCACCGATCTCATCATGTTGCAATGCATCACCAGGTTGCTGCCCAGGACGAGGCCGTCGACCCCCACGTGGATCGCGTGGAGGAGAACTCGAGTTCGGATCCGGGGCTTTAGGTCGCACATGCTGTATGCCATCTAGATCACCATAGATATCCTCGTCGTCCATGCTGTGCACGTTTTGTCTGGCGAGAACGCCCGTTAAAGTAGCTGAGTCTGGAAGACTCAGTTACGCTTACTGCAACGAACTGCGAGTGTTTAGCAGAAATTGATGCGCGAGCGCAGACGATATAGAAGACAATAGGCCAAGAATAGATGTACAAACCAACGCACGCCCGCAACTATAGATGATGTCGCAGGTACTGGTAACCGTTCAACCGCAAGAACCGGAATGCCCCCCAGTTCGATATCGTTATTGAAAACCTCAACATTCGTTCATAGCCATAGCCACCTCATGTAAAACCAGCACGGGTCTTTGCATCCGCTGCCACGTCTTGTTGTTTAGGGCAGCGCACGAACCCGAAGATTGTGTGGAGCTCCTTACGAAAAGCGTTGCATATTCGCTATTTCTTCTTTGTGAAGACCAGCCTTCACAGTTGTGTTGCCATACTCATGTTGAGGTGAAACCAAAAACTCCAATATTTCTACACTGTCGGCACCAACTACTCGATGTACTTGCAAGTATCTGACACGACGACAAGGAAGCAAGAACAACGACGTACGGCAAAACAACTACTTTCTTACACAGGAGCTACGAAAAAACTATTCATCATTGCGACAATTCGGGTGAGTATTCCGTTTTTGACTTCAAGGTTCTTCAGTCTGGGTTCATAAAGAAACAAAATTTTTATCAAAAAAAATTGCAAGGCCATCAACATCAACATGCATCCTGATAACTACCACTATGAGAGGAGGACCTGCGAGAGAAGATGAAACAATCGACGCGAAGAACAACCTAGTGAAAAAGAATGTTGCAGTCGTTGAAGAAACCAAACGAAATTGAAAGGACTTCGCGGTCTTCTTGTCGGGGTAATCGCGGAGCGAGGCGGGTCATGTAGAAGTTAATTGAAATACAGTCTCAAATCTACTGTGAACGTGAACCATGATGGTACTTCTAAAGATTGAAATTAGACGTCAAGAACCCACCAGTCGCATAACAGATCCAGCTGTGACAAAGATGATCCTGGTCTCTCAGTACCTCGCCTCGTCTTCTCCGGCACCCGCACTTGTCTCTCACCGATTCACTTGATCGGACATTTCATTGTTAAGACGTGGTACACGTAAAGGACTAAGATCAGTATGTTAAGAATTCATTACTACAACATATTTAATTCACTTGACGTCGGATGTGTATTAAGACGCAAATGATCGACAGGAGAGCCGTAAGAGTAAGAAGTGAGTCTCGACACAGATGGGCAACGCGCAGATCCATAGATAAAGTAGAAATAGCTAAAGTAAAGCGGCATAGACAAAATCTGGCCACGGTGCTTTGCTGATCGCTACTCGCTCTGCCCAACTGCGACACCTATCCTGATGGTAAAAATACTAATAGGAGACCTAAGCATGGTCAGGGTTGCACTGGCCAAGATAATTTAGATTTTCACTCTAAAAAGTGATGTACGATCCTAACGCCACGCCTCCTATGCAGCCTACCTACAAGCACAGCAAGCCAACTGAAAATAACTCAATATCCTTGTAACGAAATTGGCGCGTGGGTAGAACCGAGGAGGAGTGAAGCGCAGCTACCTATGCAAAAAGATTAAGGAGGTACAAATACACTGCTACTTATTATTCAAAACAAGCGAACTGAGAGTGCTTAGACGTAACCAGAACTAATACATGCCGAGCACTTTCAAGTTATGCCTTAGTGTCAACCAGATGTCACATTCGTTCCGTATCCGTATCCGTCTTGCTATTTCGTATAATCCTAGTATCCAGGTCGAAATGATCTAGGACATGTTCATCTGGACCCAAGTGTGGAATACAAAAAGTTATCAAGAAGGCAGATCTGCAGATATGAACAGTTAGACCTGAGACGCCCTACGATCACATGCCCCCATGCATAGTATCGAGGACAACCAATTTTACGACAGCATTCTAGATGATGTCGAACATGATGATGTTGATTTCTGTATAACTGTATTTATTAGGATGTCCTACAAGAACAATTTTTCAGTCAGCTAGTACCAGGAAGATCTATCAAAATCTTCTTACGTACTAAGTAAACTCAACTGCAGACAGCAAACCGGTGATGTTTCTTTGTTTTTCGATGTGATCCTGATTACGAAAACTCCCCTAAAGGCCTTCTTGGGAGCACCTTCTTGCAGTACGTAGCTCCCAAGTTAACCGGAAGGCCTCGTGGGCTAACAATTGTGATTGTCGGGCCTTTTTGCTACAGGTAGTGCCATTTTTGTGTTTTCGTTTTAGCGTGACGCAGAGTGATCGCCGGATCATTCCCGGTCTAACTGTGTTGATTTCAGGGAGCTCTTGGGAACACGCTGATCGCCACTGAAACCAGCTGTTGTTCCACCTAATATACTGCGTGACTCATTCTCGAGTTCCGTGCGAATCAGAATGGGAATCGGGGGTTGGGCGCAATTCAATGATCAACCATTTTGTTGTTGATGAGGTGGTCGTGAGCGTCGACTCTAACGCCTGCAAGTAGTCATGTCACTGTCTTCATCAAGAACATCATGATAAAAAAACTAAAAAAACGGGTACAAGTACATCTTCGCTAGATATCTTCATCATTAACATTATCATTTAAGGAGAATATTGACTGTTCGTTGCGTAAAACTCTACTAGTATAGCGCGTTAGGTGCAGCGAGAAGGAGGAAAAAAATACTAATGCTACTATCTCGGGTATTGGGCGGCAGGCGCATAACATCAATTTGTTAGCGACGAAAAAGAGGGTGAGCATCAACATCATCATTAGAACAAACCCGATTACGAGTGCTAGATGGGCATGACCAATCATGTGGATTTTCTATTCACAGCACAAAAAAATCCACGAGCCTCCTTCCTATTTTTTTGGATCAGACTGGTGACGAGTCAGTGGTCTTCCTGCCTGTTTGGGCTTGAGGATAAAGTAGATCAGCCGCGTGAAGGGAAAGACCCAGCGTGGACCCGAGAATACACCGGGGTGAGCTAGCAGAGCGTTTTCGTCCTCTTCCTCTTCCTCCTCATCGTCCTCGCTATCTTCGTCGTCGTCATCATCGTCCTCGTCACCGGGTTCCTCGGAATCCTTAGCCTCGTGTTTCGCGCCGCCTTGCGGCGACTGATCCGCCGCAGATGCACTCCTGCTTTCTTCCAACGACATAGGTCGGATATTGGATTCCTCGTCTAAATTTAGAGATCAAAAATTCTTGAACTAGAACTTCATCGTGTTTTAATCAAACGTTCCCGCTTTGATGGTGACAAACAGTAACAGCAACTGTTAGAGAAGATACTTCTAGTGCACAACAATCATTGTGTCTGTAGATGACTTAACTGCTCATCAGCGTGCATGTTGTCTGGCGGTCCTACTTCTTCCTCGTCCTCAGCCGGCAAGAGTCCTTCAGCACTCATTAGAAGGAATTCAAGTCCAAAGGTCGTGTACGAGGTTTATTTGAAGTCTTTAACTTTGTCTTCGATTTCATCTTATCTCTCATAAAGAGTGAGTTTGAGAGAGCGCTAGTAAAGCTAAGACCTAGTAGTAAGTCGTTGATACGAGGTCGTGTAGATTTCTCATCTCGATTTCCTGCAGGCACAGCTATGCTTCATCTTCGGCACAGAACTCCCGACTGTGACTGTGGTGCCTTAATCTAAGTCTTTCCCGTTCGACATCGGCAGCCAGCTCTTCGGCGAGCCTCCGCTCATCTTCTTCCTCAATGATCCCCTGCTCGTCGAGCAGTTCCCATTCCCAGCGCTCTTCTTCCGGACCTCCCGGGACTGTCCAAAAGATTAGAACAGGTTTGGCGTCGCGATAAAAGTAAATCTACTCAGATTCTTTTCTAAAATAAAATGCATGCGCTCACATATGGCGCGGGGCCGGACAGTGCCCCCCCTGCGGTCTGGTCTGTGGTGGCGCGCGCGCGCGCTTTTCCGCGCCGATTTTTCGCGGATTCTAGTAGTGGAAGGCGTCAAAACTTGGCGCGGGCCTCCCCTTGGGCCTCTCAGCGTGCTCCTATGGGACCTTCTGGCCTCTGCTGACCCTCGCCGGCGGGAGGCCTCCGGGGTAAAAGGCCGCCGAAGGCGGCCACGGTCGCAAGCAAGCCGATGACCAAGGGCCCGAAGGGTACAGGCTGCACGGCTCAGAGGGTCTCGCCTTTTGCCGCCTTGGGGACAGCCAAGCACCTGGAAAGGAAGCAGATGCGGCCCGTCGGGCCCCTCTTGAGGCCCTCCACCTGCGTCGGAGGCCTCTAGGGGACCGCCAAGCACCTGGAAGGACGCGGGGGCGGTCCCTTGGGCTCCTCTTGAGGCCTGTAGGCAACAGCCAGGCAGGTGGAAGAGAGCGGGGGAGGGAGGTCACCTGGCCCCCTTTTGAGGCCTTCCACCCCCGGCAGACGCCTTAAAAAGGGGTCCAGGGCTCACGGTACCCCTCCCGCTAGGGGGGGTACCGTCGCCCCGCGCCCTGGAACATATATATAAAATATCTGTTGTACTTAGATGCGCGATAATGGTACACCTTAATCAAGGGGCGTCCACTTTGGTCAGCGTTCGCCCGACTAGACATACTATAGCGCGAGCCCGATAGAATAACTTATAGGGGTGCCAGATTCGGGATGGGATGGATCGGATGGAACGGATGGACTTCCCACCATTTCAAGTAGGAGCGGAAGAATCAGGGGGGTCCATCAGATCCGTTCTATCCTTTCTATAAACTATTCTATACCAAGTAGTACGACCAATGTCAATCATGGAAACTCGAGATGAAAAGAAACCTCGGACGCCAGAGGTTCAAACTCAACCAGAAAAACAAGTCTCGGCCTTAAGAAGAGCGGCTCATGTGGCAGCCCGAAGGTGTCCCTCAGTAAGAGCAACAATGGTGGAAGCAGCTGCTGAAACCGGGGTCCCAGAGTTTCCACTCCGCGCGCAACGGGTCGGAGATAGTACGCTATCAATGTGGCCATGTCGGATATGAGAGCGGCTGAACGCCCGAAGGCGCCACCACGTGATACTTCGGCCGTGAAAAATACCAACACTCGCTGCGCCACCGACTCCGCATCTTGACGAAAGTTCAGCAGATAGTTTCCGTCTCCTCCAAAAAAAGCGCTTGTCGAAGGATGGCACTTGCACAATTGCATCATGCGCCTGATAAAGAGTTGACTGATGTTTGAAGTCATTCATTGAACAAAAAGCGCCAAAAATTGCCTGAATACAAACTAAAGCCTTCTAAGAATTACAAGTGCAAGAATGAATTATCAACATCATGAACATGACACGAAAAATACAAATCAATCGCGAATTTAAAAACTAGCGCAGAGCGGCTTCTAATTCAAATTCAATGCGTGCTGTCTCGACTCTGTCGTAGTCAGTACAGTAAAAGCCCACAGGCAGTTTCCCTGAGCTGCAGGCAGAGAGGACCGTCGACGCGCAGCTTGTTGCCTTTCCGTACGAAAAGGTTGCTCAAATTCAAGAAGAGAACTGGGAAGGTCGTGTACAAGACTGGTAACAAGTGCGGCACTTTGTCGAGAAGAAACGCGAAGATGCGCAGTTTTGCGATTTCAACCTCCATGACGTTATCAAACACGCCTGGGTAGTCCCACTCATCGCATATATCGCGACACAGCAACACCAGAGGTGACCGCAAAAAGCGCCAGCCCTGATTTGGATGCACTTGGTTTACACCTGCCAGAACAGTATCCTGATCAGCATGAAAGAGGGAGCTTCGCCTTGGGTAATTGCACATAGCTGCGAGGGCAGAGGGATCGCATGGATGACTGGATGAAGCTGAAGAGGTCGAGTGTTGTCTTCGTGGTATTTGTCCTAGTAGCGGACGATCAGAAGCAGTACTAGTGCCGGCTTTTTCAGCCGTAGAATTCGAATTGGATGGTGCAGGCTCTTGCTGGTCTTGCTCATCTCCCAACAAGGAACTCTCTACGAGGTCCCGCCGGTCGAGTTCTAGAAAAAGCTGAATGCGATTGAACACGTTGGGGTCGTGTGGGTCTAGGAAGGCCTCGCTTTCCGCGGTTCCCGCAGGAAACAACCGCTCCACAACGTCTACTTCGTCTAATTTCTTGTTACCGTCGTCATCCGGGTCCTCGAACTCATCCAAAGCCAGCCGCCCAGCCTTCCGCATGGCACCGAGTAACTCTTTGTTACAACTCGTTACACAAGCATAACGAGCGCGCTGCGGCCGCTCGTCCTCTGGTTCCGCATTTGTTGGCCCAGCACCTGACTCGGCCGCTTGATTTTTATTCTTTCCCGCTGCTCGACGTGAGACAATTTGTCTTAAGTCATTCTTTTGCTTGTTCCTTCGATTCTTGTGAGCATTGCTGCGTCCGTGTCTGCCGCGCACCACCGCGATGTCGCAAGCGTTATCCTGGTCGAGCTCGCTTGAGTTGTAGATCGAATCACTGAAATTGTCGGACGAACATGCTTCGTCTGAATCTGGATTGCCACGACGTGTGACGAACCCAGTACCTCCGCCGCACGCTGCATCGCAGTGCAGGTGCATGAAATCTTCCTTGTCCCCACAGGCAGCTCCTCTATGCACTACACTCCGCAAAGACGACGCGTGCCTTGACGTCGCAGCCAGCTGAAAGAGATCGTTGATTTTTCCCTCCGCCTTGCCTTTACGCAAATTCACACCCTTTGTGCTGTCATAGCCAGCTTCACTATCCGACGAGCTACCCGACTCGTCGTCCCCGGATGGATTATCGACCAGTTGCCGCTGCGGTAAGTGATTGCTACGTGACCGCGCGAGCATCCGATATCGCATGCGCTGCTTGCCCTCGGCGATACCGAGATCACCGATCCCTAGGGTAGTTTCACTCATCCAGGAGTTTGCTGGTGTCTGGTCTGCCCAGTCGCCTTTCCGTAGCCACATCTGCCCGACTTCTAGCAGCTTCATGCGCGTTTTACAGGGACGCTGTCGCCGTATGGACCTCAGAAAGGAACGCTCTTTCCACGTGCCGTGTTTCGCCGTGCGCTTCCGCTGCCTTGCTGTTTCTTCTGCTTCGCTCTCACTGGACGAGTCACCGTTAGAACAAAAGAGCCGAGGCCTGCTCAACGAACTTGAACTTCTTGTAGATGCATCACGAATCACGCAAATCTCCAGCGTCGGCAACATCAAGTCAACTATAACAGAGCGCACTACAATCTTTCCAAGTATTCTCGCACGAGAAGATGTTGCGTTGACGCATTTTTGTAACTACTATGCCAGCTATATCTTCATCTTGCTCCATCACAAAAAAGGTTCTGTATGATCTGAATCTGATAGATAAGTACTTCTGGACATTACCATAAATTCTTCTTTTGATTCTTCCGGCTGCTCGTCGTCACCGCTCATCTCTAGTTCAGGCGCTTCATCAAAATGGTTTTCGTATTGAGATTTGAACGGAAAACCTGTACTACGCAGCGTGCCTCCTCTTGCTGCTCTTTTCACTGCGTCGATATTTCCATATACTGTTGCGGCAATCTCGTCTTCAAAATCAACGAGATGCGGATGCAATTCGTCAACGTCGCCGTCAATGAGTCGCAAAAAAGCCTTCTCCAATAAAACGTCTGCGTCACTGGCATTTTCCGACGTTAGCGGTGAATTCGAATTCCGGATGTGGAGAGAAAACACGCCCGATGGAAGTTGTGATTTCTCTTCGGGTACTGGCTTTCTGTCCCTGGAAACACTACCAGCGCTTGTGTTTTCATGTTGCTGCTGCTGGTGCGGCCCTGATAGAACAGGGTCTGATGCTGAATCTTTCTTGCAATCCATCCAGTGTCTCGAAAACATGTTTTCTTCCGTGTAACGCCCACACAGAGCTCCACGAGACGAAGGATGTTCTGGCACGTCTTTTAGGTCTTGCGCGTGTAGCAACTCTGTCAAGAACAGCACTGCTGACCGCTCTAGCGCTGCACTGTTACCGATGGGCATCAGCAAGTCGATCAAGAGCAGTTCGTGAATTCTCTCCGTGATTGTCCACAGTAGCCACGACCTTACACTGGGCGCAACCAGACCTGTCCGCAGCAAGGGCTTCAACAGTGGCACGTAATCTTGAAACAATTCTGACAAAGACAGCTCGGGAATCAGGCTGAAAACAGCGGTCATACATGGCAACGCGATGTCGACCGGATGCGGCAGGGAATGCAACTTATGTTAAAGGTTGAAACATTTCGTTTTTTAGTAGCCATCTCAAGTGGAGAAGGCTTGTAAAAATGAAATGTTTCAACCCTTAATTATGTAGTATCGAAGTCGATGCAGACTGCTCTTGGCCTGCTTGACGAAGAGGCCCATCTTCGCCGAACGCCAATGATGAAGACCTTCGATGTTCGAGACCGAGTCCAAGACTTCTGGAGCTCGTGTCGGCCAAGAAACTCGGATCTGCCTGTGCTACAACTGCAGAGCGAGCACTAAGTGACACGAATTGTGGATCTAGATCAGCGAATGCCAAGTTGTAATCTACACCACCGCGATCGCTACTCGGTGTAGACCCGGCTACATTTTTTCCTTGATCTTCCTGTCGAGGTTGATCCCGTTCACCACCAACCATCCCCGAAGTTGTATCGTTGAAAAATTGTCCTGCCCTGCTGCAAGAGTGCCCTCTTGAATCATTCAAAGCAGGATGAGGATCCGACGCGTCATCATATAATTCGGCAAAAAAGCTCGCATCTCCATAACCTGGAATATCCAAGAGCGCACTACGACCGAGGTAACCAGCCGCCACTGCACGGATAATGTCCCGCTCGAACTCGAAGCGCTGACCAGCCAGCGTTTTGCACTCCTTCTCTAGGCGGCGACGCGAAATTGCCGAGATACGGGGATGCACGCGGAAAACCTTTAATACGGGCTCCGCTGCTTGCTGCAGCATGCGGAGCTGCTGCAGGCAGCGCCGCAACACGCCAGAGTCCAAGCGAATCTCCGTGACTCCATCAGGCAAGCGAGCAGACTGTTCGTGTTGTTGCTTATGTCTCTCGGTCTCGCGGAAGTTGGGATTACTTTAGAGCTCACCCTGATCCATCTCGATATGCATCCTGGATGCTTTCTTGCCTTGAAAAGCCTCTTCGGAGGGATGCCTGAGTCCGAGCCAGAAGATGGATAAGGGTAAGCCTTAATTACTGTTGTCGCCAAGTCGGATGTCGACACCTCCAAATGTTCTCTGCTGCTCTAAGAACAAAGGATCTTGCGCGATCTCCGCGGAATCAAGCAGGCTGCGCTCACCAACAGGTGGTCCACTGGAGGCCTGCCCCTGGGATCCTGGCACGCCTGGCGCTCCTATTCCTGGCTCCACCGCTGGAAATCCGCCCATGTGCTGCTGTGATGGATTCATCCCTAAACCAGAAGCGCTCGGCAGTGCTACGTTTTGCTGATCATGTTGCTGCTGGTGGCCTCCTGTGCTCGATCTTTGCAGCTGGGCTTGATGAGACTGATGCGCGCCGTGCGGGTGTGAAACGCTAGTACTCAAATGCATACCGCTATGTTGAGAGTCAGCACCAGCTGGAATATTGCTTGCTGCGATGTCCTGTTTGACACTACCCGCTTGCTGAACTCCCATCGTATGATTCCCAAACCCGCATGGGACCACGTTCGAACTTGAACCAAATTGAGATGCCATAAAATTAGGCTGCCGCTGGTATGCGTGAGCGCTTGCAGAGCTGGAGGCACTTATGGCTACTGATTGAGGGTGCGCAAAACCTTGGCCAAGCACTGCGGATTGTTGCGCCGATGCTGGCGTGAATCCTTGCGGTAGCGCGTGTTGTTGTTGCTGCTGTATCATTGACGACTGATGAGACTGATGTTGTCTGGGCTGCTGATTCAGCACATCGCGCTGCGGTATTGCTGGGATCCGATTTTGCTGCTGATGATTCATAAGGTCTTGTGGTTGATGTTGACTTACCGTGGCTTGCGGGTTGTAGAATTGGCCAGGGCGTGGCTCTTGCTGCTGATTATTATACCTGTTGTTCGTTTGCTGGTGCTGTCCACCTCCAACAAGTTGAGCATTCACTTGGGCATTCGCTATCGAGCTCTGCGGTACTCCCCCTCCGAAGCCGTTAGTGGGTATTTCCATACCTGTGTTTTGCGTCGAAATCATCAGCTGCGTCCTCATCATGTTGAAACCTTGACTAGCGCTGGGAACCCCTGCGGGAATTCCGAAGCCGAACCCGCTACCAGTGGCAGGCCGACCCGGCGGTTGCCCTCCGCCGCCAGGAGGGCGATGGGACATGATGATAACGCTCTGCGGAAACCGCTACGTTCTTCTAGAGTAGGTCACAGACCTCGCCGGGTCAACAACAACATTTGCAACCTGCGTGACTAATTAGCAGTATCCGAGGAACGATGCGCGAGTCATGCTTTTTCAGAACGTTCCACAGGTGGATACAATTTAGCGTTTATGCGTGAAATTTTATGGCAACAAGAAACACTGCTGAGACCGCAAGAATGCCAAGTTGTCAACAAAGCCAGTTCCTCATCTAGGAGTATGTTCTATCTAGGAGCAAAGATCTATGGCTAGGCAACTGTGAACAACAACAGGCTACTGAAATGTTAATCAATGATTCCCAATCTGTCGTATTATGCTTCTTTCTATATATTTTTCGAGCGCGCGATAACAACTACTAACAAGTAAGAGAAGTCCTGAGTGGCAACACCTGGTCTGGCACTCTGTGTTGCAGCAATGTTTAGAGAATTTAGGCGTGCGATAAAACACAGTGCAGCGAAATCCACGAAACCATCAAGGACGAGTCTCCTGATCAGACCAGAAAATAAATGAACGTGGTCTATGTGACACTTGTATCCTCAGCTTGATGCAACATCATAGCATTTGATCAGTAACAACAGCACGACCGATGGTTGACAAACAGGACTGAAATTCGCGTCAGAAGTCGCGGCCAACGACCGACCCGGAGTCACGTGTGAGTATGCATAGAGCAGATATGCGTTGAACACTGTTCGTTCATATAGAAAAATAGACTCCCACCATGTTGCAGGCCAGTAGCCGACGCGAAATGCGTGACCTACTACGGTTGGATCTTCTACATTAGTCTCTAACAAGCAGAGTCTGCGACACCACCCAGAACACAGCTTCACGATTTCGTGAAGGTTGGTTGGCAAGAAAAGGAATCGGCATCACTTTCAACAGGACGAGACAAGAGTGATTCTGACTTCTTCGCCGCGTTATGAACTCTTGTCAACCTCGAGTGCGAGACATATCCGCATCGGAGAGTAGACCTATCCGAGACATATCCGTTATCCGCCTGGAGTAGCATCGCCACCCTGCTGCAGCCTCCTCGTCTGAACCACTTTGACTCCAGTTTTGTAGTTGCCTACAACTTATGCCTTGAGGGCATAGTTGCGCTGCGGGAAGTTGTTCTTACGAGTCTTCTCCTTCACAGTAACAAGCTTCTTCTGGGCGGAAGTGAGCGCACGACGGATAGCGCGGGTCTTCTTCGGGCGCAAGTCCAGGGGCACGTACCTATTGAAAGTTTTAGATTTGCATTTAGATGACGAGGACGAAACATGAACATCATTCGAAATCTTTCACAACGAATGCGTCTACAATATGACCACCGGACACAAAGTAGGAACATGCGGTTTAGGTTCTCCACGTTAATGCAACATCAAACATGAATGAGCAGGTCCCTCCTGCACTAAGATTTGTACGACTTTTAGAAACTGCCACATTGCGAGCACCGCAAAAGTAGCATGATCGAGCAGGACTTCACTCTAGGGAATCTTTGGCAGAGCAAGGCGCTAAAGGAAAGCATCTACCCTGTGGCAAGAATCCCGACGATGATCTTTGATGATGACAGTGACCGTGTTGAAGACTGGACAAGGAAATCTAAATCTAAGCTTCTTACTGTGCAATCTTACGACCGTCATCTCCAGACGCATAGAACTGTCGGAAGCGTAGGTGAGGTCCGGGACTGCGCCTGTGTTTTAGGGAATCTTTGGCAGAGCGGCACCGCTCAAAAGGGCGATCAGAGCACTCTGTGGCAAGAATCCCGGATCATGGCCTCTTTTTTCTAAAAGAGGCTGGTGAAGATAGTCTGATGATCTTCAAAAAGACGAGGGTTTTCGTCCTGTCCAACCTTTGCAAACTGCCACACTGTACTGGACAACAGCGGGAGCTTGAAAAAGGGCGACTTGTATGGTTTGGGGAATCTTTGGCAGAGCTCTTTCGTATGAAAAGAAACAAAGACTCTGTGGCTGTAAGAATCCCGATGAAGCGCTCTGGAAGGTCGACCAGAGCGCAAGTAGAGGCGTCATTTTCGAAAGAAGGTGACGGGCACGATGCCTAAAGGATTGTAAACCATACCAACAACGAGGACCCAAGGAGAAAGAGACACTTAGGTCACTACCGAAGTGTGTGGTAGAAAGAGGTTTGACTATGCTCTAGGGAATCTTTGGCAGAACTAAGCTTCATGTAAAGAAGGACTCACCCTGTGGCAAGAATCCCGATGTTGACATGCAAAATGGAGAGTATTCTAAACGTGGATCTGAAGGCGGTTTCCGCGCCCCTCCAAGTGTCCGATAGTCATAGTCCGAGCAGATTTTTACAGGCGACTGTCTTTACTCGTTTCTAAATGCTGCGGTCATTGTGTGCCCTAACATCTTCTAAATCTACGACATCTCTTCGAGATATCTACTAGTGGACGAAGAAACAATAAAATTCAAAAATCATACTAAACTAAGCCTGCTTACTTCTTTCCCTCGTACTTGGTGCGGGCCTCAGCACGGATCTTCTGATTGTAGACGGTGAGAAGGCGCGCAATATTGTTCCGCACGACGCGGATCTTCGCGAGCTTGGACGCCGCGGCACCGGTGGCCTTGGCCACCTTGAGCTGAGAGAGCTCCGCACGGGACTCCTCGAGCTCCTTGAGCATCTCCTTGCTCGTCTTGTTACGGAATTCAAAAGCGCGTACGTGCATTTTTTCGAGACTTTAGACTACGTTTTTGTAGAAGAAGAAGTCTGAGTCCTCGACTAGGAGACTCCTTTTTATGTTCCCTGTGACGAGATTGTGAAAAAGACATGAAGATGAAAGGTTACATAAACAGCGGGTCCACGCCATGTAAAAATAGTAAGAAGGGTTTTTATAGTGGATCAAACTCAAAGGACATTTAGAACGATCGCCAAATGGATGCCCCTGCGTCAAGATGTGATCTTTTCATTTTATTTGCTCTGTGCTGATGGGCTCCTCAAAGACTCAGATCTACGAGGACGATTTTCAAGCATCTAGTACATAGATCTTTGTAGGCGTCGGCAACACAATAAACTTTTTAGAAGTAGCCTTCATTGAGCAGAAGGACCTAAAAAACCTTGGAGAGTAATGGGAAAGCCTCCCTCTCGCGTATTTAGGAATTTTGAAACACACAATAATTTAGATCATTTGTAATTTCTGTGATCCAGATCTATGGTGCTGCGAGTTCGGATGTCTTTGCGAAATCTCACATTCCCCTCTCATAATGTACTTCTTACTTCCACGGATGGAGACAGATCAGAGTAGAATATAAGAGAATAGAACACCATGCGGGTATTATGAAAAAACTCGATGTGACAACATGTCACCACTATTTGTTGATCTTTGCATCTGTTCGCAAGTTCTCTGAACTCATTTCTTTCATTTCTAAACTCACATATAGCTCTCTATTTGCAATCCGAGAAAGTGTCAATCCCATAGAACTCGAAGTTTACAGTACATGGTACTTAGGTAATCTAAATCGAAAAAATTCGCTCTACTAGTAAATAAATCGCCTATTGCTTGTGACATTCAATTCTTTTGGCTTTTTTCAATAAAAACAAGAGTTGCGCTGTTGCTTCTCATCGGCATTATTCCTTTTGCTTTCCGTAATGTTCAATGATCTTTTCTCTTCTAAATTCTTCCCCTGCGAAGAGTCGTGGTGTTGATGCCCGAGTACCTGAATAGTGGCTTCTTGGCACCGCAAAACAAATTTGAAAACTCCACTTTCGTAAAGCTTGCAAGCTATCACTAATTATGCATCAGTTTTTTACGATACCTCTATCATAGAAGTACTGCTTACAGTTTAGATTGAACGCGATATCTTTAATTGTCTCGGAAATTCCATCACGAATTATTTTGATGTTTCGCTTTGTTGTGTCTTTGATATGATCATAAAAGTGCACACAATTCGTCTGCTCGCTTCTTATTTGTTGACGCGCACTGGATATGATTTTTCTGGCTCCCTTAGTACCACCGACTAGCAGAAGTTTTCATCGGGTCCCACCGAATCTTCTCCAGCTCCCGTCGTCCACACAAGTAAAACGGTATAATTATTTCTGTAGCCCTGGAACTGGAAATTTTAGGTCTCTAAATCGCGGCCGTCGGGGAATTTGCGTGAGCAACTACTACTTCTTGGGGCTCTAATTTTGCCGAGGGAGAGTATAATCATATTCGTTTTATCTGCAGGCTTTCTTATAAATATCCAACTCTTGTTCCACAACTTGAACGAATTTTTTGTTCATCAAGGCTCTGGTGAGCCGGCTCGGCTTGATCGCCTTGGTTGTAAATCCGGATGCTCATTCGCACGAGATACCGCACCCATAGCTTTCGAAAAGTGCTCATCCTTGTTTAGTCCCTGATTCTCGACTCCAGATTTTAAGGCTTGCGCAACGTGCTCTGAGGAAACGCCAAGTCCATCACCAACAATATTCAGTGCTTCGGCAAGCGTGTCCGTCACCGCATTGTTGTCTGTGCGAGATGCGTCAAAGAGCCCTTTGAATTGATTGTGCAGCGCCACGCTCTTCTGGGCTTCGTTTTCAGCATGGATCTCTTGGGACTGCCGCCTGATCGATGAACAAAAAAATTTAGAATTCTCACGAGCAATTAAGAGGACATCAAACAATTTACGATAGCAAGATCACTCCTGTCGTCACCTCGGGGACCACGAGCAAGGTTCGCTATGCAAGGACACAGAGCTCAAGACATCGTTGAGAGACATCTTGACCGCCAATGCAATGGACCTTTTGACTTTTAGATTGGTGTTGAGACGCATCAAGCCACGGCGTCCTCGTTGTGAAAATCAAATATTCCTAATTTTCTAAGATTTTCAGGGAATCGCTCTCACCGGTCAATCTCTGAGTCGACGCAAACCCTCATGTTGCCCCCCATGTTTTTCGTACACGCGCAGCAGAACTTCTAAGGGTCAAGAAATTTGTTCATCACCAAGATCAGATCAGGATCATTTAGATGTATTATTACTTGTAACGATCAAATGTAACCAGGTACTGAGAAAAAACCAAATCGAGAATATAGTGGAATGAGTACTTTGCAGCTTGATACGCGGCCGGATCATTGAGAAGTCCGCTCTTTTTAGGCAAGGTTGCGCGTACTCTCTCCAGCTCTTCAGGTGTCATCTTGTCGTAAGCAGCTCCGAGCACCCGACGCAGCTTGGTCTCCTGCAGAGCCTTGTTCATCATCTCGTCTTCGAGATCTCCATCATCCATTCCGCGGATCGTGGCACTCGAAGGATTCCTTAACGATTGGTTTCCGGTTTCAGACGGAGCCGGAGAACCTCCGCGTTGGATTCGTGACATCGACGGACGTGGCGAAGCGGGAATCACTTTCTCATGAATAAGTTCTGCGTGAAGCTGGCGCTCCCACGGCGTGCTTTGCTTCTCTCGCAAAGCGCGGGTCTGACGGCTCGTCAACGCTTGAGACACCGAACTGCGCGGGCTCGCGATCACTGACTTCTTTGTCTTCTTTCCGGAGCGGCCGGGTGAGGCACCGCGAAGGAGACTCTGGCGAGCCGTCTGGAGCTGCGTGGCGCGAGCCTTCTCGGCAAAATGTTCTGCGGTCAGCTGCTGCGTACTTGCGGTCATCGCCCCGGTCATCATACTCTTCTTGGTCATGGGAAGCGCGGCGGACGTTCGGTCCACATCACGAGGCGGTGGACGCTGCATTCCTGCTTTGAAGGAACTCTCGGTTCCAGACGTAGTGCCGCCAGCCGTGCTCATTGGGTCCGGCGAGCTGCTCTCCCCACCGCTAGCCGCACCTCCGCCACGGCCTTTATTTCCGGCGCGCGCAGCGGCGCGATTCGACTCCTTATTTTCGCGAGTCGCGGCCACTGACAAAGCGCCCTCAATCTCGGCCATGTCCGCTCCGGGTTTCTCCGCTTTTTTCAAATCGACCAAGGAACGCGGGGGCTTGTCCATCTTTTGCATGCGGTGCACCGCCACACGCCAGCTCTTTTCCTCCTTCACCTCCAATTTTTTCAGCATTTGACTGCGCCGCTCCTCGTGTCGCTTTCTCAGCGCCGTCTGCACATTTGTTGGCAACCCAGTATCAAGCCCTTTGCGTGTGACATGATGGCTCCTCGATGGACTGCCATCTCGACTGGCGGAACCCCTTGTAGCACCTGATCAAAGTTGCAATTGCGATGAATTGATGAACATTATAATCCTAATGTAGGACCTAATCAGTAGCAGTACTACGTACTATTTCTACCAGTACATCAAACATGAACTTCTCCAGTTCGCGACCTGCTTCATCTGTTGTCACATGATAGAAAAGACGCATGGATCAGAACATCTCAACAAGAACGAAGGAACATTTAGAAGAGGCAGGCCAACGCCAAGGCCAACGTACACGACTAATACCGCGCAAAGAGAAAAACGAAGGCACTATTTGGTCGCTAAAAGAGAAAGTTATCATATCCCGAACGAAATAATCAGCGATAGCGGGCTTCATTTTCAATGCTCATCTTGATTAGGTCTTTACCAGCCACTCGCTGGCCGCGGGGTCCTTCCTCCTGTTCTTTTGCTGCTGTTTCGGCTGCAAGCCTCTCTTCTTCTAGCCTTTTTAGTCGCTTCTCCTTATCCGCTTCCTTTGCAGCAGTCTTGTCAAGGTATTGTAGGAGTTTTACAACCGGGTGGTCCAGTTGAGGAACCACGCGGCGGCCTGTCAGTGGATCCGGTTGCACACATTCTACCGCGTAGCGCGCTTGCTCCACTGATTCCTGGTGTTAGAAGCGGTAGTTTTTCACTATACCGAGTCGAGCGGAGTGCCCTGCGCCCCCCTTATTTTCATCCCTTTAAATGATCATGCGAAGCGCCACCCAGCATAGTCCACATGGGATAGTGAAAAACTACCCCTAATGGTGCTTGATGTTGTCACGAATCAACATCGCATAGACCCCCTGCTTATCGAGCTTCAGGGCTGTGTCATGTTCGGTTTCCGCGGTAGGTACTCTCTGCGTCAGCTGTTTGTGCCGCTCGCTGTGGTGTTGTAGGAGTAGTGGTAGAAGAATTCTCAAGTCGCATAAAATGATTGAGGTTGATCATGATGGACGAAGAGATCAACTTGAGAAAATAGTCCTATCTTAATCTTAGCCTCGTTGTTCTATCTTTTAAGTAGTCAAAGAATGCAAATGAGTACAGTAGCCCCTTTAGATTGGCCTGCTTTTTCAGGCGAACTTTTCCTGTTTTCGGATCCTCCTCCCAGTCGATGGCATCGTTACAAATCTTCAAGAACCCATCGTAAACGTCAGTTGGTCCTGTGTGGACATGAGTGCGTGCGTGCGGTTCGAATGACGGCGTCACTCGCCAACCTCGCGTGGTCGTTTTACCAACATCACTCCAGTTTTGGTAATATTTGTCCACTTTTCGAGGGTTATGCTCCGGTTTGAAGGGACCTATTTGTGATAAACAAAAATTGAAATTTATTTGGGTTTCCTCTTCTTGCTATTCCTCAGGCTCGACGTTGTGGTTGTCAACTTACTGCTTCCATTTAGGAGGAAGAACATAACTACGATGTGAAGAGCAAGCTGCCACGTCCGCGGCCCTCTACGACCAAGGACGATGCAAAATCAACATCTGCGTCAATATTCAAGATAGCTTACAATCGGCCGCATCCTTATCCAGGATTTCTTTGGCTCGCTTCTCTTCCCTGCTCAGTCTGTCGTTGAGCAATTGGCATGCACGGGCGTAGAGGTAGTGACCGCGGGACGGCCATTCCAGAGCCTCGTCTTCGCTTCGCAACCATTGCGCAAGTCCGCGTTTGTCCAATGCGGGCTTCGCGCTCATTGTATGCAGGATAAATTTCGACCCCCATGCTTTATTATGTTCCATTTTCAGCTTCTTCGCCTGCATGAAGACCTCGTTTCGCAGGTGAAAACGCTTCTCCCACTCAGGCCGCCCATTCAGATTCTTCGTCAAGTCCTCGAGCTTATCCATCAAAGCGACAACCTGCCAGGTTCATCAGTGGTCGATGTGTAGTTTATTTTTCATTTACCAGTCTGTTTTCAAAGTTTTTACTCAAAGTTCTTACTTACGGTGTGCTGCTTTGTGCTCTATTTCTCAAAGGCAGAATCTTCCACTCTCAAGTACAATAGATAGGGATAGCTGCTGTGAACTATAAAGATTCATCCACAGGCGCACTTCTATGATTATAGGCGTCGAAATACAAGTTGTAGTTCTTCGAGTTTATTTTCTTCCAACAAACTTGTTCATCTGCTGTCATGTCGACCAATATTAAAGAACTAAAATAAAAATCAATGCCGTTTGCGAGATGAGAAGTGGTGCTAGAAGTAGGAGGAGGTCTGGTTCTGGTTATTGTACAAGAAGATAAGAAGTACATCCATGTGTTCTGCGAGTTTTTCTTCGCCACCGCCGTCCACTTTCGCGTTTTTGCGGAGCACGTCCCATCGCATTTTTGCCATGATAGCGTCCAAAGCATGGAGCGTCTTGCGCATTTCTCTGGCTTTCTGCGTTTGGTAGCGAGCTTCTTGACGCGAGGGCAGGCCCACGGCTTTACGTTCCAGGTCCGTCATTCCCCACTTGTCAGTGTAATTCTCGTCGTCCCTGTAGCTCCTCTTGCCAGTGAAGCGATCCGCATCCGCCTGGGCTGCGGCGATCTCCGCGTTCAGCTGGTCTTCGGGGTCCTCCTGTGCCTGCGGCGCACCTGCTGCTCCTGCACGATCTTCCCCGCTGCCCAGAGGAGCAATTGCAGTCCCGGAGCCCTCTGCGCCTTGCGCTCCTGCTTTCTCCCCCATGAGCGCGGTGGCAAGCTTCCCAGAGCCAGAGGACGTTATCGCCTTCATTGCAGCTTTGGCCGACGTGCTCCCCGTAGTCGCGCCCCCGCCAAGCTGGTACAACGACAGAAGGCTGTCTGGGTCCGCTTGCGCATTTGTTGCCTCCTCCTCCGCGTAAGCTTGGACAAAAGAGTGCAGCATGCCGTTCATAGTAAAATGATTGCCACTCTTCGTTCTTTCCCGAATGTCTCCCCCCCCAGCACATGTTGATCTGTTGCCCCCGGCGGCTCCGAGAGGCGAGGACGCGCGGTTCATAGCATACAGCGGTATGCCCTGGGACGTGAGTATCTTACTCTTGCGCTCGCCGGTCACTTCGTTTTCATTCGACGCAACGCGAGTCGATTTCGCCGCCCCTGTCGCAGCAACACCGACTTGCGCGCCATCGGCAACCGCGCTCTTCCGCACAGGTGCTCCTGCAGCACCAGTAGTGGGTCTCGCGACTGCGGCGTACGTATTCCGGGCACTGTCTCCACCGTCTGCACTCCCACCAGTTACTTCAGACGTAACGTTGCTTCGGCGTGGCGCTGGTCCTCCCGCAGCTTCCTTGCTGGCTGCGCCCGCCGCAACATCCGCAGGTGGTTCATCTTCCGTGGAGCCTGGGACCGGAATGCCGGCATTCGACAACATTACGTTTTGGACGTTGAACTCACCACTGTTTCGGGAGATCCGCGATGGCCGTCGATTTATCGATGCATTTGCAGGAACCGCATCATCCTCCTGTTGCTCCTTTCTATTGCCATTGCGAATGGGAGACGACATGTTGGTCAACAAAACTAAAAACAAATTATACTGAATAAGAACGTCTTGCTGAAAAAAGCAGGACGAGGGAAATTAAGACGGCGAAAAATGTATTTTTCTTTAATGCTTTAACAAATGGAAAAAAGATAAAGAGACTTCGCAGAGACGATAGAAGTGGTGGACGAAGGAAGAGAGAACAAATGGAAATTCCAAAAGGGCACTAGGGGCCATGGAGATGGATGTTTTATTAGCGAAAAAGTGACGGGGAACATAGCAGATAAAAAATATGGTTCCTGGAATGAACTACATCACCAAAAGAAAGTACAAAGTAATATTATAATACACAAGTCTGATTGTCGCGAGACGCTCAACAACTCTTCACAGATCTCGGAGACCACGGAGAATCAACATCACACAAGATTAGCGTTACTAACTTCTCAATGCAACAGACTTCAGGTCTCAACACAGTGATTGGTCAACAGAGTTCTCATGATCTCGTTGGGTCAATTACATCATAGTAGCCTCCGAAAATGACTTTCAATCTTTATTCCTACAGCACCTCTCCTTCTTGGAACAGAGCACGCCATAGTCATCGTCTCTAAATCGCACAGATATCCAAAACTTTGTATCAAAGTGCCATCTCACTCATTTCCAGCTAGCTAACAGGCATGTTCTCGTCGCGCTCCCTCACGAGCTAGATGATTGGAACTTCACCGAACATTCACAATAACAGATAAGCCTACGAAGAGGACGAACAAGAAGCATAGTCAGTATCATGATGTCTATGTTCCAATGAATTCCAGCGATTTAACTGTGGACTTCGTCTTCGATCGGCACATCAAGCTCTTCTCAGCAAATAAACGGGCACACTTAATAGATTTGTTTATTTGATGTTCCCAATTACATTTACAGGAGTGAGTGAGTGAATGAGTGAGTGAGTGAATGAAAGAGCCTAGAAGCAGGAGGTGTTTGCAATGCCTTCCATTAAAGGTCTCTAGTTATATTTTTACTTGGTGCCTCTTCTGTTTTTTGACTTTCTTTCGTTCCTTTTCCCCTTCTATTTTTCTTTCCATTTTTTCTTTCCACCTTTGCATAACTTAATTAAAACTCGCCAAATAACTGTCATCTATACACGCCCGTCGATATAAAGCTGGAAAACAAATCGAAGATGATGACTATATGTTAGTTAGTTACTATTAATAGGAAGCCTGGCGGTTCTCCAACATCATGCAACCCGAGAGGCGTATGCGGGGCCCTATTAGTCCGCTGGTGTTAGTATGGCTATGGTCGCGATATGCCTCGCCATTCTAACACAGGGAAGCGCGAGGCGGAGGCGAGCTCGCCCAGAGCAGTCGCGTCCCAGGGGGACCAAAAGGGCGCGGCATCCGGGCCAAGACGGCGAACTACGTCCCACGCAGAGGGCCGGTTTAAGGTTGCAGCGCCACTGCTACTGCGGGAAAGTCTGCGGGTCTCGCAGAAGGCAGGTTGTTCGAAGGCAACCAAGTCGGGGACAGCATGGCGGCGGTGTTGCGCCACCCTCAACAGAAAGGAAAGATGGGCCCATCATCTCTCTCGCGCCAGTCGCAACAGAAGGGAGGGATGAACTCATCTACCTCACGCCACCCTCAAAAGAGCGGAAGGACGCGCTCATCTTACTCGCGCCACTCGCAACAGAAGGGAGGGATGAGCTCATCTTTCTCGCGCCACCCTCAAAAGAGGCGGGGAAGGATGCGCTCATCTTTCTCGCGCCACTCGCAACAGAAGGGAGGGATGGACTCATCTACCTCGCGCCACCCTCAAAAGAGGGGAAGGATGCGCTCATCTTTCTCGCGCCACTCGCAACAGAAGGGAGGGGCGAGCCCAGTCTAGTCGTCTATCTCGCGCCACCCTCAACAGAAGGGAAGGGCGTCCCCATCCTTCTCGCGCCACACTCAACAGAGGGGAGGGATGGGCTTATCACTCAACAGACGGGGGGGACGCCTTCACCTTTCTCGCGCCACGCAGTGGCTTCGTGTGGTTGTTTGGCAGTGCTCTGCCTCCCCTTACCCATTTACGGAAGACAGGTGTTGAGGATTATATGTCTATAATAGAATAGAAAGCAACTTCGGAACTTCTGGATTGCATTGCATGGATGGACCACCCCAAAAACAATAAGTTTTTCGCGGCGCGCTTCGGGCGCCATACTTCCTCCGCAGTTCCAGGCTGCTCGGCCGAGTAATTACTTTACGATACACGAACACAGCCCACGGCCCCAGACACAAGCAGGGAGCAGCGCAAACGCCGTGGCCTGTGTGCGCCAGAGAACAGGGAGCAAGACGGTCGAGACCCCAGGCAAGCTAGCCTAGTGCTAGTCGAGCTACTTACAATAGCTAGCACCTGCCAGGGGCACTCTTCCGGTACTCCTACAACGAGCGCGGACAGGCGCCAGGCGCTCTGCATGCTCCAGCCGCGCTGAGGAGGGGGTGGCTGAAGATGAGGGAGGCGGGCTGCGCAAAGACAAACGCAATAAGCAAAACAGATAGCAACGCGGTGGCCCCCCTATGTATGTCGCGCCCTGAGTCTTCGCCCCCGTGTCGCTCCCTTAGGGAGGTCGTATTCTGACCCCCTCAGCTCATGCAACGCAATGCATGCCATGCCATCCAACATCCTTCTTACGAAATGTTCTATAATAGAGTTAGGCTTTTTTTGACCCATATCGGGTCGGGTTGCTCGGGTTGCTCGAGTTGCCAACCCAAATTTTTTGCGCGGCGCCCTTCGGGCGCAGATTTATGACCCTACGAGAGACCTTAACAGGAGCGCACGACACGACCACGCGCCGCGCCGTAGTTGCACACTGATGGCGGCGCGCTCGTATAAATATAAATAGCGAGCGCGTCAATCCATTCCAATTTAGCAACCTCCTCCAGTATGCTTACTGCTATACCCAAGACTGGACACGTCGCCCGCTGAAGCCAGCAGACGGGCACTCGCTCTCAGCCCCCAAGTAGATTGGCCACGCTCGCACCCGAAGAAAAAAGGGAGAGATCGCCAACGACTCGAAGACGACACACCACAGCGCCACTCACCTCAAAAAAAAAACAACAGAGAGCAGGGGCCTGCGCTCCTTGTTTTCGCTTCAAACACGCGCCCGCACGCTACAAAAGAAGAGCCCGAAAGCCTGCAGAGCCCTTCTTCACACGTGGCTGCCCCTTTCATGAGCAACAACAAAAAAAGGAATCTGCGCCCTTCTCCATTTTTTCACTGCGAGCGTACGAATGCACCTCCATACCGCCCGGCTTCGCCCCATTTTGCTGGGTCAGGATTCTCCTGGCAACCCGTGGCAACCCGTTCCAGATTTGGAACCCCTGCGCTTCGGCAACCCGAGCAACCCGTTGCAACTCGAGCAACCCGAAACCCGTTATTTACCTTACTCTACTATAAGTAATGTTTTGAACCGAAGAAGACCAAGATCTTTCAATTTCTTTGGACAAAAAAGTAAAAGTATAGCATTAGAAATGTTCTATAATAAATATAGATCTGCTCAGGGATGAGTGTTCCTGGGAAAGACACTCAGAAATCTGGGAATTGAAAATCAGAGGGAGGCGGAGAAAAATTAAAACAGAAGATAAGAAATGCTCACACCTGCCAATCGGTAGATCATAATGCTTGAAATACTAATCAAGCTCAATTACGCTTGCACCGACTTATCTTCTTGCCATTCTTGTAATCTTCAACAAGAACTACTCAATCTCAAATGAGAAACAGAGTCCAGCTGAGGAGCTGCTCCCTCACTCAGGAGTTGTAGGATGTGTGATGTTGTTGTTGTACACCCAGTCAGACCAAGAGAAATCGCACAGCCAACGACGCACTCTTACAGACTCAGCGAGGAGTAGACAACTGAAGGCCTCTCCCTTTCTAGATCGAGTGGAGGTCATGATTTTCTATATTACCCTCATAGGGTCACGATTCACTCTTTCATGCTCATATGCTGACTCTCATCATGACGCCGGCATGAGTGCTCGCGTGTGCAACTGCAAGCGCGTAGTCCTCTCATGATTCATCTGAAGTAGAGTCATCTTCTAATTTGCAGCTGAAGCAGAATTTTTCATATATGAGTAGACGCTTTGATAAGGAAGATGGAGAGGAAGATCGTGTTTAGGGAAATTTCAACCGGAGACTTTCTCGTTTCTCTTCGATGGCGTAATGCTCGAGTGACTCTGCAATTGAATATTTGCGAAATTCAAGGACTCTCGCTGTATGGTCCTCCGTTGCGCAGTGCTCCGTCACATCCTTCTCGGTTTCCCCTGCCCATTTTGCAACACCTTTCGGCGGCTTCTTGCAGAGGAGACAGTACCAGCCCTGACCGCCTTTGCTGTACTGCAAAACCAAGCTTCGAACGACTGCGTCGGACGCTGCAGGCTTCGTGTGATCTAGTTTTTGCTTTGGCGAAGGAGCGTGCGGGGTATGCAGTACTGGGTCTGGGTCTGCTCTGGTGCGGGGGGAAAAAGATGGCGCCAGCTGCTTTGGCTGAGGATGTGGCTTTCGCTCGACTTTCGCTCTTTCATTTACAGTCCCTTGCTTGATTTCTGCATTTGTGGCGCTTAGCGGCACGCTTGTCGAAGAAGCCGAAGCAGAAGACTTTGCAGTCGCGGTGTCGAAAGGTGTGACAATAACTTCATCGTGGTCCTGCGACTGCTCCTGCTCTTTTCTATTCTTTTTCGCCCGAGATTTGCCTGTAGAAGGGGCTACAACTTGTTCTACTTTCTGATTGGAGCGCAGCTCTTCTAGTTTCGCAGCTTTTATTCCAGAAGCGTTCCTCCCTCGTCTCTTCATATCGCTACTGCTTCCACTAGATGGTAAGGACGGCGGCGAGGACGCTACAGCAGTATTAAGATTAACGCGAGGGAGAGGGTGTATTCGAAGTCTATTAATTTCGTCGTCTTTTATCCTTTCCTTTTGCCACGACTTGTTGGTCAGCACGATGAGGCGGTAGGAGAGGTAGTCTTGGCATCGGGCTTTGTGCATATGGCTGCTGGTGTGCGATTCGTCCATGTACTTGTTACAAAGGAAACAGAACTCGCGACCATCTTCCGTCCAGCCGACGCATTCGCGCAGCTGAGCGCGCGTGTCTCCCTGCATGTACTTCAACTCATCGTGCAACCATCCTACGAGTTTTGTGATCGCTCCTACGTCATCCACCTCCCGCCTCAAACTTTTGTTTTTACTGTTCACTGTGTTTGAGTTGCTATGCTGCGAGGACATGATCGACGAGGAAAGTACGAAAGCTGAAAGAACGTCGTCCCGCAAACTTCGGTTAGTTTCGCCTGACTTCATCGGCCTGACTTCAGAACTCGAAGAGGTTAATGCATTTTTCTCACCACGACGTTTCTCATCTTCTACATCGGAAAAATGGTCATCGTCGAAATTTCCCAGGTCATTTGTGAAGTCTGCAGCTAGCACTCGTATTTCGCGTTCTATTTCGCGCAGAGCTGCCTCGTGATCCACCCTGAGAGTCTGCAAAAAGGCAACAAGATCGCTGTCATAACGGCCACCCGAGTTTTCATCCTTACGAGTCTCCCAGATTCTGTCTATGGAGGTAAACCCCCTCCCAGGAGGCTCTCGATCTAGCAGTCCAGTGATAGCAACATCCACAGCTAAAACACTCACTGCCAGGCCGCACAGCCTCTTCAACAACTTCACTTTCTCCTCCACCGACAATAAAGTCCTACTAGACGGAGTAGACGTTGAAGTAGGTGTTCTAGAAATTGGCCTGTTCGTCTTACCCGCGACTGGTGATGCATCGAGTTCCTGTTCCTCGTCTTCATCTTGTTGTGAGGAGCTGTCGTCGTCTTCGTCGGCCTCCGCTTCTACCCCCTTCTCGCTTACTCTATTCTTATCGGCAGGACTTCGCAGTGTTGGGGGCCACTTCTCTACCTCGTCCACGCTCAGCGTTCCGACAAGGGCCTCGAGGACATTGCAGTATTTCTTTTCGGCGTTTTTCCGCTCTGAGCGCGATGCAAACGTCACAGGTAGTGGTCGGGTGTCCTTGCCTGCTAAACAAGGCTCGTGGGGGTCCTCGCCATGCTTATCGTAGAAGAGCCGCACGCCGACATACGATATTGGCAGCATCCATTGTCCAAACTCAGCTACGGCCGGCCCCAGCTCCACGAATTTCACTCGCGCAGCCTCTGAAGCTGGCGCAGAGCGTGGCGAAACCAAGGATGAAAATGGACTGCTCCCTGGTACAACACTAGAGTCGGCAGCGTTCATAGTCCGGTAATCTCGTCGTAGCCTCTGGTAGAATGGAAGTGGCATCGTGCGGATGGACACCCAACAGTTGTCTGAGCCCATCCTTTCGAGCGAGTCGATGAGTGCAAGATGATTGCCACGATTGTACAAAAAATCCCCGCCACGCCGCTCTGTTTGTGTCTCCATGCCATACAGCTGTTTCAAGAGTGTATTCGCCAGTTCTAGTTCGACATCACCTCTATCAGGGACGCTCGCATCTTGAATATTGGCAGATGAACTGGAGGTGATGCGGAAGGTCAGTACGACTTTCTTTCCATCGAGAAGAGGCAACTCCAAACCATGATCAAAATCTGGATGCAGCTTTGGGTCCTCAGGTTGCGGCGTTGAAGACAAGCATACCCTTCTCGGAGATTCCTCCGCCACCTGGATATCTGGCACAAAGGTGACTTTTTTCAAGAGCTCAGACACTCGCAGAGTTTCTAGTCCTTCTCCCGTGAGTCGTCGCCAGTAGAACTCCACGTACGAACGTGTCCACTCGTCCCCCGCATCCTCCAGTTTCTTGAACTCCCGTTTCACTTTGGTTGCGTCTGATGCCTTCACATACGCGGCTCTCTCCTCCTGCACCTTGGCCTCCTGCCTTTCGACACCAGACGTTTCGCTTTGCCAGGCCGGATGGATGACCCGGTACTTCTGCAGGACCTCGCGGACGACCTGCGTCACCAACGTTGTCGTGCTGTCGAGACTCATCGATTGTTAATGTTGCGCCACCGGGCAGTCATGTTTATGATCGGCTCCAGAATAAACTCGAGTCTTCTACCGTCCAGCGAAAATATCGATGGACTAGGCACAGGCAAAAAGGACCAGGTAGTATGTTTTCTGTATCTATTTGAAAGAAGTGCTCAAAACAATCCTAAGATGGAGGCAAATTCATTCTAATAGATACGATGCCCATGGCATGCGTTAGCGCTAGAAGTTTGAGTTTCAATGACATCTTGAATTTTTTCAAAAGCGATAGCAATCAAGGTAAAGCTGAAAGACAAAGAATCCCTGAAAAAAAAAACCTGCACCAAAATTTTTTTCGGATGAAGCTCGCACTTGCTCCAAAAATACGTGAGAATGAATCCTTGTTCTTCTCGAAAATACGTGAGAATACATTAAGAACAAGAATAGGCAGTCTACGAAATTGCCACTGAGTGCTTATCGTTCATCCATGATCATTGTAGTTTTAGTTACCTGTATTCGATATCGATAGACGACTAACCCAAAACAAGTACGTCTTGAACAAGTATGAAGCAATCAAATGAAGGGGCCTTTTTGGTCTCCAAAATCCAGGAGGAGCCTAAATTTCGTTGTGTCAAATTTAGGAGCTTTTTCGGTTCTCAATTTGAATGTGAACAACCCCAGTCCAGGACCTATATCATTAGCAGGCGAAGGGACGCTTTGCTATCCGAATGGAGTAGACAGAGCACTTCGTCGCAGCACATCCACATGTCTCACTCCCTGTAGCTGTAATATCAGAATCATTACTCATACTGAATAGAGAATTCTATGCGTATTTTAGACACTTCATTCATGTATCCAATCGACAAGATGTCTGTACTCAAGCGCGCGCTCATCATTCAACAGACAAATTTTCTCATGCGTTGAGGCAGGCACATTGCCATACATGGCTTCTTTTCCACTACTTTTGTAGGTATCTATCCTGGCGAGTTGTTCTCTCCACCACAGAGCATGATGATGAAGAAAAAGCCCAATGATCGTGAAGACGAAACAGAAGAGAACGAGCGAAGGTTTGTCCGACAAGAAAATAAGAATGGAAACATATGCAGCGCATTTCATGTAAGACACCGGCGTAGGCTTCTTTATCAGCAGAATATTAAAGAGCGAAATAAAAAATGAACAACGACCCTTCCGAACTCTCACTCCTCCACTCCCAAACCCCCGACACCCGAGCCCCTAACGCATGAACCCAGGAACTTAAGAAGAGGAACTTATGTAGAGCTTTGCTATTTTAGACTAAAGTAGCGAAGTTGTTGACTTTATCAGCCAGAAACGAGGTCCGGCCTACGCGTAGCCAATCACGACCGCAAGCGATTCCATCTAAATTCTAAGCGATATAATCAAGAACTTTGCTCTTTTGGGGTAAAGTACGAAGTCCTTGACTTTATCAACCAAGAACGAAGCCCGGCCTACGCGTAGCCAATCACAGCCGCAGGCGATTCGATTTAACTTCTAAGCGACGCAGTCGCCAACTTTGCGACTTTCGGCGCAAAAAGCGAAGCTTTCGACTTTATCTATCAGCCAGAAACGAGGCTCAGCCTACGCGTACGCGTAGCCAATCACGGCCCAAGGCGATTCAAGTCAAATTCTAAGCGATAAGGTCAAAAACTCTGCTACTTCGGGCTAATTAAAGTAGCAAAATTTTTGACTTTATCGGCCAGGGCTAAGCGTTACTTTTCAAATTCGGGCACTCAACTCCAAAGCCACAAGCGTGGCATGCCATTCGCCTACGGTCACGACTTCAGCCAACACGCGGCCCGTGATGTGGTGTAGCCAATCGCGACCACAGGCGACCCAATTGAAATTCTAAGCGATAAAGTTAAGCAGTCTACTACTCTGGGCTAGCGTGCCGAGCTTTTTTCTTTCATCAGCCGCAGCTTTCCATACTTTTCAAATTCGAGGACCCGACGCCAAAACAACAAACCCAAGGCCCCAGGCGCAAGGCTCTAAGTCTAATACTTCGTGTCCAGGGCTTCATGTCCAAACCTTCAAAGCCAAGGCCCCAAGTCCAACACTTCAAGCCTGGCGCTTCACCTTCAGCTTCAAGCCGTCACGCCGAAGGCTTCAAGCCCAAAGCATAACGTCCAAGATGTGAAGCCCAAGCCTTCAAGCCCAAAACTTCAGACAAAACCCTTCAGGGCGGGCCCAAAGCTTCATCTTGCAAAGCCAAAGCCTCAAATTCCAAGCCCCAAGCCCGAAGCTTCACGCCTAGAGCTTCGCTGTAGCTCAAAGCTTCAAACTGGAAGCCACCCGCTTCGCTTCAAGCTGCAAGCTAAAAGCTTCAAGCTCACCCCAGGAAGTGACGCCCCCACGGCCCACCCCAAAAGGCTTGTTAAGCGTAAAGCTTTGCACCCGGGTCAAGGACTCCAATCCAAGAACTTGCACTATATTCAAAAGCCCGCAAACTCTGAAACATCTCAAAAACCTCAGAGAAGCAAGCTCCTCTGTCAATTTCCGCGACGCCTCTGCTTCGGCTCCTCTTCCGCGGACCAACTCCGCCAAGAAAGCGCCGAGGTCTGCCGAAAGAGGAGCGGGGGCGCACGTCTTGAGGGAGGAAATGCCTGAAGGAGGTGGAGGATTCTAGTGGAGGGAAAGCTATCGGGCGCTGAAGTCTAGTATTATTGACAACTTGAGAAATCAGATGAGTTCGAAATTGTCGCGGAAGTCTTCGCATCAAAGACGGATCAGCATCAAGACTTCATCATACATAATCAGCACTAGAAAAAGACAAGGGTGTATATAAGTAGGTACATTCCAAGTGGTTTCTGTCGTGGAGAATGAATTTGGACTCTAATAGGTCTGGTGCACAAGGTACATCAGAGTACAACTAGCCTGCCGACTGAAATTAATTTCGAGAAAGCGTAATTACAACTAGGCCTGTGTGGGCCGCATCGCATTGCTTCACTTCTTTCTTTGAAATTCTTTTCGAAACCGTTCTTTTCCATGCTTTTAATTTCGACCCAAGCTGTTGACATCGCTGAAATTCGAAACAGGCATATCACAACGAAAACTTCTTTCACATTCTTGAAACACACCATAAATATAATAGTTACATTTAGTGGTCTTTTGCGATCTCGTCGGCTTCAACCACAGATAAATATCGTTCCTCATTGCAAATAGCGAAACCCACAAACTACACGTGCTTCTCTTACTCTCTTCATCTTTGACGAGTAATATGCACAACTGTTCAAAAATAAAGTTCGTCTGTTGCCGACACACGTCAACAGAAGAAGTGATGCAAATAGTACGCGAGCGTATGCACATCAAAAAGAGTCCTAGTAACGTGTAGTTCGCTTTCTGTGCAGACAACATCAACATCTACAGGGTTGACCAGTGCAGCTAATCTTCTATTCATTTCAGAAAAACATCTTCATACCTACTTAGTAAACATCAACGTGAACATGACAACTAGAATCATATACATTTAGTTCATTGACCTCTAATCAATCCGCTTCGGTAGGAGTAATGCTTTATCGTTTGAGTGAAAAATCCCGTGCTATGCTCGTTTAGCGAGGTTGTAGTGATTAATACGGCAATGAGACGGTTTGTACGAAAAATTAATAGTCCAGGTCCAAGAAAAGGCATCATGCAAATAGATCAGACACCATCAGTACTGTTGTACCTTCTAATTACAACTACATAGTATATTTTTGTATCTAAATCATTTCTACTTCCCCCCCTTCGTGAGCTGCACCGAAGACGACGACGAGCTCGACGAGGAAGATGAGCTCGACGACGACGATTCGGAGCCTTTGGTTTGGAAAGCGAGATTGAGGATTTCCGGTGAATCTAGTTCCGGAGCCAGATCGAGTTGCGGTCGCTCATTCACTGGCGCCAGGCAAACCCTTCCTTCGTCAGTGCCGCCTCCGCGATCAAAAGTTACCAAGAAATGGCGCATAAAAATCTCCCCAACGATGAACAGGTTCGGGCCATACCTGTTGTATGTAGAATGATGTTGAGGTCGACGAGTTGGCATGTTAGAAGTACTGAGTACTAATTAAAAATTTTCGATTATTGGGCATCAGCTGTGAATGATCTTCGTTCTAATTCAGAATAATTCATTGATGCAGATCATTTAGTACGCGATCGACATCGAGTGACGAAAAAAAAAAATCTAATTCAACTGCCTCGTCTAAGTAATTGTGTAATATATTTGAGTAGATACGAAAAAATTCAATTTGGTAGCCTCATCTAACTGTGTAAGTATCTTTGGTACGGTGAGGGAACGTCAATGGACATGAGTCCCGGTTTACAGTTGGTTCCTGCGACTCCACCACCCACAAACCACTGGTCTGGCGTTTGAATCACGCGGAAACATTAGAGGTATAGAGAATTCATCTCAGGAATCGTCTAGCTCTCCTTTTCTTCTACTTGTTTTCTTCTTCCAGATGACTTGGGAGATGAATTCCCTACACCCATAGAAATAGTTCTCTTCAGGCTGAATATCCTTGCCCTCAGGAATCCTCGGTTTGCCTCCTCGATTTGGCAGTTTGCGGTCGTGAAAAATCGCAAAATCGATCACCAACCAAGGAAGATTTCTGCAAAACAAGAAAGTGAAAGGGTCGAGGTGGATAAAAAGGATGGATCATCGGTAACTACAAAATAGAAATACCCCAGCGTACGGAACTACAACTGACTGCAACAACGTTCACGAGTCACTTGGTTTTTACTCTGCCCCAAAGCCAGCTCGTCAGTCTCGCTCGCGCACGCCTGCGAATGAAATGCTGTTGCCAGCTTTGAACTTGCAGACAGCCGAACTGTGCGCGAGCGAGGAGACGAGAAGCTTGAAACCGTAGGTGTGGGAGGGTGGGAGCAAGAAACTCTCCTTAATGCGTGCCACCAAGGACTTGCGTGAGCATGAGTATGATGCGAAGTGGTCGCGAAAGGTGCCAACGTGGAGGCATGACGATGTCAAGCGGCGGGAAGCTGTGGGTGGACGTACGCAAGTGCCCCGTGAGTAAAGGCCACACCGCCAGCCATACTTGAATATGATGAAAGAGCGAAAGTGAAGCCAAGTAAGCATATGCAAGTAGTGAATGGTAACGGAGTGAACGCATGGCGAATTGGGTGGCGAATGAGTAAGGCGCAATGACGAACGGAAGGCCGTATGAAATGTGCGAATGGCTCGGATTGCGTGCGCAAGATGGCGAATGAAGGCTGCAAGTCGAATTAGATGCCCCAACGTAAGACCCAGGGTGGGCGGGACGGGAACGAGCAAACGCATTGAGACGAGTATACGAAAATACGCGGTAACCAGCGCCCGCGTGTAGGATGCGCGGCCCCCACGAATGAGCGCGAAGCGATATTATCCACCGATATCATTCACAACGGCCGCACTAAGTTTGGCTTGGCGCGATTCTTCGGATCGCTAAAAGCCATAAAGGAAACGAAGCTAATCATTGCCAATTTCAAAAGATTGACGAAGCAAAGGCAGCTAGTGGCTGTAGTTGTAGTTGTAGTTGTAGTTGTAGTTGTAGTTGTAGTTGGCACCCACATGAATAAGGATTTTTGCAGCGTTTTCTAGTCGTGTTAAGGTCCTAAAAAAAAGCACAAAAATCCACAGCAACAATCTAGAAAGAGGACGAGCATCCAGCAAAAAAGGAGGCCAAGAAGGACACAAAAGCGAGGGAAGGCCGGGCAGATTCCACCGAGAACCGAAGCCATTGAATCGAGAACCGAGTCCATCCGTGGAGAGCTCTCATAGAGTGCAGCCCGATACTTCTGCGCTCTGAATCGAGAACCGAGTCCATCCGTGGAGAGCTCTCATAGAGTACAGCCCTCTACTTCTGCGCTCTGAATCGAGAACCGAGTCCATCCGTGGAGAGCTCTCATAGAGTACAGCCCTATACTTCTGCGCTCTGAATCGAGAACCGAGCCCACCCATGGAGAGCTCTCATAGAGTGCAGCCCTATACTTCTGCGCTCTGAATCGAGAACCGAGTCCATCCATGGAGAGCTCTCACGAAGGCGCCCAGAAATGAAAAGCATCAACATCACCAAAACCACAGAGGAAACCTATGAGAAAAATATATCCAAGGGGCTGTCTACTTTGATTTTTGTCCACAATTTGAATGCGAGAACGCGAAGAGAGTTCTGCTTCACAAGCTGAGCACGCTGAGAGATTTACGAAAACTATTACAAACATGGCAGAGCCATGAACGACGAGCCTAAAAATCCACACAATTTTCTACAGTAAAAACAGCAACGCCCTCACTTCTTCCGCACCGCCTTGGAGCTGGAGGCAGCGCCTGCCGTCGAACTTCGGAGAGGCCGAAACCTCGAGGAGCCCTGCTTGTAGTGTTTCTGCAGAAATTAGAGCACTACTTAAGAGACCGAAAAGCCCCACCACACGCAGGCCCTTCGGTGCGTACCATATGGATAGAACTCCTAGAGGTTTGTTCGTATTCTCCTTTGTCCGGTTTTCGTGGAAAGCCACGAAAAGCGGACTTACGTCCAGGATCTCTAAGGTGACGTCATACAAAAGGTGAGAGAGTGCAGAGAAGTGAAGGAAGCAAGCGCAGAGGAGACCAGGTCTGTCACATTCACACGGTGTCAGCGTCGCCGGCTGCCACGGAGTCAAGGCGATTCAAGGCAAATGCGTCCAGGGTGCAGAAGGCAGGTACCTGAGGGAACAAAAGGCAGGCACTTGACGGCGCAGAAGGCAGGTATCTGAAGGGCGCAGGAGGCAACTAAGTCTAAAAGTACTTGAGGGCACAAAAGGCAGGCACTTGACGGCGCAGAAGGCAGGTATCTGAAGGACGCAGAAGGCAAGTACTCAAGGGCACAGAAGGCAGGGATCTGAAACTGCAAGGGAGGCGCAGAACAACAACAAAATACCTGAGGGCGCAGAAAGCATGCACTTGAAGGCGCAGAAGGCAAGTACCTGAAGGGTGCAGAAGACAACGACAACGACAAGTACGTGAGGGCTGAGGCTAAGGTCACAGAAGGCAGCCAGACCCAGACCCAAAGGCCCTCGACGGCGCAGAAGGCAGGTATCTGAGAGCTCAGAAGGCAGGCGCCTGCTTTCTGCGCCGTCAACTGTCCACTGTCA